TGCTGTTGCTGTTGCTGCTGCTGTTGCTGTTGCTGTTGTTGTTGTTGTTGTTGTTGCTGTTGCTGCTGCTGTTGCTGTTGCTGTTGAGCAGCCTGTTGTTGCGCAAGCACAGTTCGTTGGGCAGCCTCCAATCTCGCACTGTAAGCTCTAAAGTAGGGGGTTTTGGCCATATCAGCAGGAAGTCCTTCCAATCCAATCCACCTCTCAAAACATTCCCAAGGAGTTCGGCGTTCCGCACCGGATGAGAACTTCGACTGTGGTCCTAGACAGCTTGAAATAAGAGACCAGTTATACGAATATTCTCGAACAAGTTTACGTAACTCATCATCCTCTACGCACGTCCATTGAGAGGATTGTCGAGATTCATAAAATCCAACAGAGGGCATTGGGTGTTCTGTTGGTGGCCGGAAGCAATGGCTTGGATGAACACGGTCGCGGATAGGTTTATTCTCTGGCTGGAACAGCGCCACATTGGTTTGCTCCGGAGGAATATCCACGGAATTGGCGTCGGCGTCATCATTATCGTCATAATCATGCGTGTCATAATCATATCGGCTTTTCTTACGTGGCGGTCCTTCTCCCATAAATCGAATTTTGCCGTCAATCCACTTGGACACGGGGGCAATGTCCTTCTTCCAAACCGCATCTGGCGATTGTTTCAATGATGGTTGTTTTGTTCCGGGCAATATCTTTACAGGTGTGTAAAGAGGCAGCTCCTCCAAGATCTTTTCCGATGCCAACGTTTTCTCCATCCGAAAGGTGAACTCATCTGAAGGAAGGGAAAAAACCGCGGCTGGAACCGGCCCGTAATCCAAATCAGGCTGAAACTCATCATTGAATCCATCACTAACGGAGTCGTCATCGGCAGATGGTACAAGATCAGGAGTGGGATGCTCTCCATTTTGCAGCGGGATTTCCACGTCCAGTTCCATATGTACTGGCTGGGGTCGAACCCGAACGCGTAGTATAGCGCGGTCCTCTTCTTTGCTCGCAACGTACTCTGCGCACCACTCAGCACAATTCTTTGCAGCGGCAATCTTCCATTTCCGTTCTTCTCTAAAGTCCATCCGCATCCATTTCATATGGTCTAGGAGCATGTCCCAGTGAGTTGCCGAGCGGGGCGGCTCCGGAGAGCGCTGCAGCTGCCGGAGAGGCCACCTATTGGAATGTTGCAATTGATACAATCGTTTTAGAGTACGGGTGTTCGCTTGTTCTGCATAATCCGTCATATGATTCGCAGTACTCAAGGTCTTATGGGCTGTTGCAATAAGTGAAGAAAGATGTGTGCCCCTGGGAGGAAAGTAAGCTTTGACAAGAAAAAGTAGGTATAGGTAGTCATCTTGATCATTAGGACTAGGAGCATCGGTCTGGTTTGACAACGCCAACGATTTGTGCTTTTGTGGGGAGGCCGGTTTGGGGAAGACAACAGTTGAGAGCTTGCTTCGTCCCTTTCGATCGCGCTTTTCCCTCAGCTGTAGCTGACTTTCTGTAACAGAAGCCTGGGATCGCGGTGACGTGGTCCTTTCGCGGGGTTGTTTGTCAAAAAGGGCCTTGTCTGTTGGAGAAATTGGTGATCGTGGTGTCTCCCCTAGTATCTCAGAAACCGATTTGTGACGGATCGCACCAGACGACACTCTTGTGGTCATCCGCTCTGGTCGCGAGACCTGTGCACCCCCAACGTTGGCGGGCGACGCCTTATCCACCGTCTCTGAACCGGGGGACCGCACAACCTCCACCAAGTCTGTGGCCGGCTTTTGGGTAATGGGCGTTTCAGACGGCGTGGGTATCGTGGCGCTGGGAGCGGCATCAATCGGAGTCGTCGAAAAGGAAGGCTTATCCTGACGAATCTCCTCAAGCCGAGGTTTGGGCGTAACGGACGCATTAGACATTGCAGCTTCGAATTTCAGCTGTTCGTCCGGCGTAGATGGAACCTTGGTCGCGATGGCCGCTTGATATCCTGGGATGCGAGAGACTGATTCGTCCTGGCTCTTGGTGGTTGACAGGGGGTCTGGGTACGCTACCGATTCCTCCGTCGAAGTCGAGGCGGGAGATCGATCCGTCGCTGGCGTATTGAGAGAAGACGGGCCGGTAGAGATGGGAGAAGATGGAGCAGCATCCTGTGGGAACGCAATAGATACAGCACGGGCCTTTGTATTTGGGAAAGTAATATCTGCAGGCGAACTGGCGGGTTGGGCGAGGGTCTGCTTTTGGGGCAACAGTGGGGTCGGATAGAGCTGAGGATGAAGAGAACGCAAATCCCTGGGCTCTTGTGGTTTGCTCGAGTCTGAAGCATTTGAATTCGGTGACCAGCCCGGCGATCGGGGCGCGTCGACTTTTGCGGGTGCGGAGACGTGTTTGTCCGATGTGTCTAATATACCCAGCCCATTTACTCCAGTCGACGCGTCTCCGGCTCGAGAAAGAGGGCGATTATCAGTTTGGACTTGAATGCCATGTTGTTTCGGCGCGTGAATGCTTGATGCTCCAGCGTCGGGGATGGTCGCAAGACTAGGCCTCCGTGGAAGGGTATCCTGGTCGAAAAACCGGCCTCTAGACCACGAGAACGAGAATCAGCAACACAAAATCGGAATCAAGGACGATAGCATCAATGAAGCATGTGTGCCGTGAGCACAACAGAGACGTACTTTGTGATGTCGTTGGCGTCGAGGAAGGCAGCTTCCTGGCGTCGATACTGCTCGGTCTGCAGCGAGACGTTGGTGCCCAGGCAAACGACGGTCGCAAAATACAGCTCGCTCAGTTTGCGCTTCCGCGACTGCACGCAACGCCTAAAAATCCCAGCGAGCGATTAGAACTACTCAAACGGGCACGGGGAACAAAACTGTGTGAATTAAAAGATGCACAACGTACTCGATCTCATCGTTCTTAGCCTTGAGCAGCTCGTCGCGGAGCATCGAGTCAATCTCGGCCAAACCACATCCGATTTACACGGAAAAAAAATAGTAACAATTAATCTGAGGACATCTAACCCAGAAAAATCGCTCAGAGTTGATGGAAATGATGGGGTTGTGGTGGAATTTGATGAAAAGTTGAAGTCGGGGAGCCTGGAGATCTGGGGGGGAGGTCAAAGCAAGTCGAATGGGACGAGATTTGGGGGACGATGTTCGGGTGCAGCCCGTCGACCTTGGCTCTGGGAGTCTGGGAGGCCCAACAGCCAGCGACTGCTCAGCCAAAGCCGGTCGCCACCGCGCTGCGAAGACAGGGGCTGCTGAGTCACGCTCTGGGCGCCAAGGAGTGCATGTGACTGTGCTTGGCAGGGTTTAGGTCAGCAAGTTGATGCACTTCTGCTTGCCTCAGTTGCCTGGGCTTCCTCTGACAACACAGCCTATTTCCCCTGCGCCAACACCACCATGTCCTCCCCGCGCGTGGACAGGCAGCAGGTCGGCTTTCAAGCCCTACCGAATGAATTAATACTATCCATCAGCGAGCAGTTCTCGCAGCTTCGAGATTTAAACTCACTTGCACGGTGCTGCCGCTATCTCTACGAACTTCTAAACCCGCTTCTCTACCAGCGGGACGTCCAATGCTACAACTCGGCCCTCCTGTGGGCTATAAACCACGCAGATATTGACCTGGCCCGGCGTGCTATTAACGCCGGTGCGGATATCAACGAAAAAGCCAGAAGATTCGAATGGACTCACAAGTACCCCCTGGATATAGCGGTCCGGGTGGGGAGTAATGTAGCCAACAAGACGATTGTGCCCAGAGGGAATCCGCAGGAATTTCTGGAACGAAACAACCGCTTCGTCCGGTTCCTGGTTTCCCAGGGAGCGGATTTGACCATAACCGACTGGGAGAAGTCGGCGTTGTACTCCGCCGTAACTCGCGGAATGGTTGATTTTGTCCGGCTTTTTCTTGAGAATGGCGCTGACCCATCGATGAAATTAGCATTGGGCAAGAGCTTGGCCGACCGTGTGGTTTCTAGAGTGATCCAGGATGATCCAATGAGTTTGAATTATCTTGAAATCCTCAGGCTCTTGTTCCAACATGGCTTAGATCCGAATGCTAGGAACCGTTACCAGCCGGACACGCTATTACAGCGTATGGTGAATGCTGGGGGAAGCAAGCCTGGATACAAAAGGCTAGAAGAGATAGTATGTACGTTGCTCGACTGTGGAGCCGACATCAATGCCCCAAACCCGGCCGGCCAGACGCCGCTTTCTGCCGCCGTGGAAATTGCACATCTTGCACCGAAATTCCTGAGATTATTGCTTGAAGGGGGAAAGGATATCTCGACCATTCGATTACCGTCAGGCCCAGAGCAGCAGAAAGCGGTTTATTCCGTATGTGAGGAGGTATCAAAAGCAACTGGCCAAAAATTCGAGTTGCTCCCCGAATAGGTTCCATAGAAAGGAGTGTCAAATTCTGCCAGGACATATTGCCACTGTTTCGATAAGCTATTCGTTCCTCGTCCTGTCACCGTTCACCGCATACTATCTAGTAGTCGCCTGACATACCCCATGCTCTAGATTAGAGTAACAGAGGCAGAGTCTCATATATCAATGCTATTCGATATATACAGAAGTGAAAAGGGCGTTAGGTAGCTTTACAAAGCAAAGTACGGAAAGTATTTAGCCGCGGAACAAACCAATTGAATATTACCTTTTATTGTCCAAGATACCCGTTTCAAACTAAAATACATGCGCTATACAGTCCGAACCCTTCCAGCCGCCGTTGTTGTTGCCAGCTATTCGCCCGGAGCTACTGTCGTAAGGGGAGTGGGTGTTGGTACTGGCGTAGTGGTATGGTCCCAGTTGTATACTGGGCCCACGCAGTATGTTGTGCCAACCATAAGGCTGGGATCACACGCGGTGGTTGACAGAGAAGGATTGACCTCCCAGAACAGATGCGCGGGAATAAGCTGAGCAGTGCATACCGCCGCACAGGTGTCCCCCTCGACGATGGTATACCATTTACCGCATTCCATCGTGGTGCCGGCAGCAACTGTGGCGTTGACGGGAGGAGCTACAGTCCTCCTCGTATATCCCGGTGCAGGTATGGGATTGGGTGTGGTGCCGGGTCCCACACCTGTAGGGGTATAGGTTCCGGCTTGAGGAGCTAGGCATAGAATATGGCCATGTACCTGGCTTGCGAAATGTAGATTCGTGCACGCCATGTTTATCCAGTTGTTGTAAGCACGGAGACCCCCTACTTTTGTTCCTGTGGCTATTTCGATGGAGGTACAATTATCGGTACTCTGAAGGGTGTAAACCTTCTCGCAGGTGAGTGGAAGACATAATTCCGACCCAACTGGTAACCTGGAGCAATTATGGATAATTTCAGAATTCCCAGAGAATAGTGCGGCGGACGAAACGCTTTGTGCCAGCGCAATAGAATCACACGTATCTCCGTCCTGGATGGTGTATTTCATGTCAGAGACGCATATTGGTGGTGGGGGCGGCGGCTTTATCACGGGCGAAGGGGGTAATTCGGTGGCGAGAGACAGGCCACATTTGCTATTGATAACTTCAATTGCATGCTTGTAATCCTCATTATATACCGAATATGAGCTGGATTGCATGATCTCAAGTCTCTTGGTGTAGCAGTACGAACATAACTCGCTTTGGGGCATTTCATTGACGTTAGGCACAACCGTAAATCCATCAATAACATCTAGCAACATTAGTTCCACGAAGATATCGATTGATAATCGGGGGGAAATTACCATTGCAGTAGCTGCCAGTGGCGGGATCTTTGAGACAGGTTTCGTTGTATCCCTGATAGAGATATCCTCCCAAAATTGTTGGGAGTGCCCCAGTGATATTTTGGCCAGCACATGCTATTGACACCGCGTCGAACCAGTCCTTCAAGCTACTTTTACAACCTTCATCACATAGGGAATCGGTGATTTCCTGGCTAGGGAGAGTCCCATGGTAGCTTGGTAATATCCATGTTTCGTATAGGGGATGACAGTCGATGCGCTGTGTGACTGCTGTCCTACAGCTTTGAGTGATATCCGAGAGCGTGGTATTCTCGTATAGGTGAAACCCCGGGAACATCCTCTCGCCTATTGTCGTTTCCTTGTCCCTCACCCACGCCAATAGGGAGGACGTATATCCATTCTTATTTTCGGCGGCGTAAGTAGGTCGAGTCCCTTTTGGGGTGACCATCTCAACAATAGCTTTTGTCACAAGGTTGAAGAACCAGATGTCAGTGCTTTCTTCAATCTCAACACCGCGATCTTGACAGTTGTCTGTTTTCACGCAGTCTTGGTTGTAGTTCGAGAACCAGCTATAGAGTCCTGCAAAGAAGTTAGCGGATTAGAATATATGTATTTTTCATAGCTCGAAGGACTAACCAGCGCCCAGGATGTATGTCGAGGTACTGTCAAGCACACGGAGTGCCCACGAAGAGGCGCATGTTGTTGAGTTAGCGGGACAATTCTTGAAGCTGGGATCATTTGGAAAAAGACCAGTTCTAAACGGCTTTGGTGCTGTTGGCACTGGTTGGAAATATGGCGATTCAGTTTGGATCATGCTCAAAAGCAGATCTTTCGCGCCTGAAACTTGATATTGATATAGCACATTGTGTTCGGAGGATGTGCCATACAACCAGGTTGGCCCTTGACTTTCAATGAGAATTCCACGCGCCGCATAAATATCTATTTGATCCTGGGTAACCACGTCAAGGTCGTGGTCGGCAACCCAAGCCCACAAGTTTTCAAGATAGGCCGAGGACCGCGGGGTCAGATGTAAAAGCATAGAAGCAGCTTTGCACGCATTATTGACCGTCCCAGTGAGCTTTGGGCATTCCGTCCGTTGAAGCTTAGAGCCGATCGCACCACCAACCCGAAAATGTGCGTCTAAAAGTAACTGTGTCAGCATATTTTCCAGAAAATGTTCTCCAGAGAAGTAGAAAATACGTACCCCACATTCCCGCAGAGCCCGGACTGCTTTCCCGAACATTCCACTCCATCAATATAGCCCCGGCGGTTGGGCCAGATACTGTAAACATCATGTCTTGGATCTCAATAATGCCAGTATCCCCAGCCTTGCCAACCTGGACGGCGACCTTTGGATTCAGATCATCGGCGAATTTGGGGCCAGTAGCCATAATTTGTGACCATGCCTGGCCAACAATTCTCGATCCCACTGGCACTTGCAATGTGTTTTTAATAACATAAACACCAAATGGGAAAAAAACGACGGAAGACATATTCGCTGCCCGGGATAAAATGCCATTGAGCACAGCAGTATCATCTGTCTCTCCATCGCCTTTTGCTCCAAATGCCCTTCACATCAAGGATCTGGCTGTGACCGATATCGAGGTATTGTGGACGTCGCCGAGTGAAAAAGTTTCTCTTATAATGCCCACTGGGTGCAAGGAGAGATTCTGAACGATTCATTACTGGGATGGTTTGTCCATCAACAAATCGGCCCGGTTGAGTAGAATTCACGAATAGCCCAAACCCCCAAGAATCAACCATAACCTCGTTGCCACCAGGCAACAAAATGTCTCCACTTTCAGCTTCGGTAATTGCTTTTGGAACATTGAAAAAGCCAGTGTTCTGAACAAGCAACGATGTTGAATTCCTCCCATGTAGTGAAGTGCTGATCCCCACGGGAGTATTTGCGATGATAGAGTCTACTAAAAGTAGGGAACCCACAGACTGCCCAGTGCTTCCTGTGCCACCAGCCTATTATCATTTCGGAGATGATTAGCTAACTGATTTATTCCTCAGGAAGATACGAATATAGAGCGAGTCAACGTACCCCACCAGTAACAACTAGACCACTTCCACAGGATTCGATGATGATGTCCTGCATAGTCCATGCCCAATCCCAGTGAACCTGCAAAGCAGTCTTGCAGTTAACGAAAATCAGATGGGAAGTAGTGAATTGTTGATTCCCAAAATAAGCCCTAGAACCTAGTATTAGACATGGAATTTGAATCTTTTCATGATAGTTGGCAACATCGTCAACTTCGCTGTTCATCTATCCCTGTCTTTTTCGCCTGTGGTTGAATGCAGGGGTACAGCAACGCGAGACACATACCCGAAGTTTCCACCGACGAAGGTGAGATTCGAGAGAAATCCGCCGCTTCCATTCTCCATAAAAATTCCCTGAGATAATTGTCAGAATATCTCTTTGAGACGGTGCGAAGGGGGAACAGTTAACCTGCTGTGTTGTATCCTGCATCATGTAAAACTCAATGTTTTCTAGGGACGTGCCTTGAGCAACCTGCCAGTGGATGGCACATACGTATGCGTCTGGATTGGTTCGCCTAATGTCCATTTTAAAGTTCTTGATGCTCCGAAGGAAATTATTTGTGTTAAGGTACCTATGAAGCACGATCAGCTGAGTTTCACATGTAGAAATTTGTTGATATTACCATTCGCTTCCGCTCCCTCCCTCGTGGTAAACATTAGAGGAAAACACTCCCAGCCCAACAAAGCTTGAAGCTGCCAAGATTGTAGGATAATCATATGGCTGCAATAATCAGTCGATGCGTTCATCGAGTCATCATCTTAAAAGAGGTACCTACATCACCAAGGAATTGTGTATTGTAGTATTGGATAATCGAAGAGCTAACCAAGTACGTCCCAGCAGGGAAATAAACAATGGCTGGATATATCGTACTGGAGCCGCAATTATCACCACATCGATTTCCATCTGAGATTGCACTATTAATAGCAGTGGTGTCGTCCGTCACGCCATCACCTGGTTTGAGATTAGCAAAACCAAGACTACAACCGTCATTGATACACCGCCTCACCTTTGGCTCCATATTCCTTGACATTTCTCCAAACCTATAATAGTATATAAGCCTGTGCGGCGTAGTGCCAATTTTGAAACGTGCTGGAATCATAAAGAGGAATATACAAGCTGACCCCGGGAAGGGAGGGGGGCTTACCTTGTATCCAGCGGGTGCGAACGGGCTGGACCCTCGCTGCTGCATGCTTGCCATCCAAAACTGTGGGGTTGCCCGTTTCTCTAGGATAGCGGTCGAGTTGCTTTCGGTGGTAATAACTTGTTGTAAGTTGTCGCCAGAAACGATGTACCCTTCCAACCCGTTCGGACGAACGTAAGATTGGGGAGGGGTGTTCGTATCGTTTGTTTTCAGCCTATATTTGGCTTGAACCTGCGCAGCAACAAGACTATGATTCCCTACCAGCCTCTCTGGAGGGCTAGCCTCGGCAAGAACCCGAGCAGCTTCGACGAGCTCGGGGGGAATTGAATATTCATGGACTCTGGCTGCGGTACTCCCTGCTGTGGCAGCAAGAATCGAGGTTGGCATTGCAGGTGAGGGACTTTTCGGCACCACATCAGCAAACTCAAGTATCGAAGGGGGCTTCGGGGGCTGGCGGTTGGCTCGTCGAAACTCATATTTGTTCAAGCGAGGATTCTCCAATCTTGCCTTGTTCACGGCCGAAAGGGCATCCAGTGCTTTCCGAACAAGTTTCTCTGCATCGGTATGAGGGGGCGGCGCCGTGTTTAATGGCAAACGTGCAGTGTCCGCCGTCGTGCTATTCACAATAGCACGGTGGTGTAAGTGGTTATGGTGGTGGTGCGATCCATGCTGGAGAGCAATGACCTGGTTGAGAAGGAAAAGGAATAAGCAAGATAACCAAAGAGGAAAGCTGGCTAGACAGCTGGTAGTTGACAGAGGCCTTTTCATGGTGAAGCCGTCGCCAGATAGAAATGCAATGATCAAAAAGGAGCAAGAAGACCCGTAAAAAACGGGGGAAGCTTAGGTTTATCGACCTTTTCCTTCTGCCTTCTCCTCCCTCCTTCAAGAATCGGAAGAAGGGCTTCCTTCGACATGTGGAAGACAGGACTAATTGGCTCCGGTGAGATTAGAATGACAATGATCCAATTTCATCCCGGGAACCCCGCCTGGACATGGACACTAAGTTTCTCCAAAATCAAATCCCGGAGAGTTCAGAGGAGCAGCAGGCTCCCGCATGGCTTGGAATGGGTTTGATATCAGAAGCCTCCCTTGAAATATCACTCTCTGGACAGCGTTGGTCCATGTGCAAGCAGCTTGGTAGTTCGCCGAGCGGGCTCTCATTCCTGGATCTCACGAACGCAGCATGCATTGAAGGCCACACTGCCCAATCGGAGACCTGTGAGCCGCGGAAATCATTTAAAATCCTTTAAATGAGCATCGCTGTGTAGCGTGACAGTGCTTTAGCCTTGGTGATGAGACCTGAATACGGGTTGCTATCGATGTTGTCAATGTTGGTTGATGTTGGGACCGGCGTCAAGAAAGCTTCCCCGAGATGGTCAATGCACTAGTTAGCAAACTATGCAAGCTTGAGTCTTACATAATAGGCAGCTGGTCACGCGCCAATCGATGCGCCAAGCCTTGGCTTAATGTTGGCTTTAGCTACCTTGGGCCTAGCGCCAGGCCCCGGTGCTGAGCTAAGCTTCGTTCCTGCATCGCGGCGTCGGTTAGTATCCAACGACCATCTTCACCTCCCGTCCGCCTGCAAGGGACCCAACGCTCCGCGCAGGTCCCGATGAAGTTGCAGAACTGTTCTCGCGGCTTCCGCCACATGGGCCACATGGGCCACATGGACCGAGCCATTTGGCCTACTTCTCGGGGTGGGGCCGTTTCTCCTGGTCTCGTCCACGATTGCTTCGCGAGATACCGCACAGCATGGATTACTATGTAGCTATGCTCCTCACAGTACGGAGTATGGCTGGTCTAGTTACATATGTGCTGAGCCAAGAATAGAGATGGAGATATCGATATCTCCGATACGAATAAGCCACGCCCCTCTCTTGGATGGTAATACTTCAACATCTTTATAACCATTGACCAAGGTCCAAGGATGCGCTAGGCCCGCGGATGTTTCCCGTAATGGAAATAATGTCAAGTCATCTCGTTTCTATTCAGGCGAGGCCCAGATTGTTGGCAGATAGTCAGGGTCGCCCCTGTTTGTTTCCGACGGCGACTTTCATGATATCCTCCTCCGCACAGGTCGGCCTATTATCGTCCTTGACTGTGGGCCCATTAGTTTGGTTAGTCCTTCTCAAGAAGCAATCTCCCGGAAGACTGAGCCCGGTGATTGCTCTAGGATTGTCCTGCAGGGGCGTTGCATTTCTGTCTTTGCTAAAATGGTTCCGTCAACTTTGCGAATCGTAGCTATGAAAGCCGATATGACTGTGCCTAAATGCATGGCCTTCGCACCATTATTGAAATGGACAGCTTTTCTTCTCTGGAAATTTCTTGCTCTCGATTCACCCCCTCGTGGCTTTTGGACCTAGAAGGCGAGGGAGACCATTGGGACAGCTTAATCAAGGAGCCGTGAAGATGGGGTTTCACCACCCGTTGCCACTGTTGAACCCAATACTCCTACTCTACATATTTATATTCGTCGGTGTTGCTTTATCACAGAATTGTAGCAAAGACAACCCATGCGCCACCGGCTGTTGTTCGAAGTTCGTAAAATCCGAAGGTGCTGACCTTATTGAGAATGTACTGACAAAACATGGTTTTAGGCACGGATATTGTGGAATTGGAGACGAATTCTGTGTATGTGTCTCACTTCTTGCCTTGGAAACTCCCCCACTAATACCGTTTTATAGTCTCCCGAAAACTGTGTTGATACCTGTGATTACGAAGGCCCAACAGGTGTGCAGTGTGATGAGAATAGACATTGTGCGGAAGGGTGTTGCTCAAAGTACGGAGTTTGTGGTTACGGCCCAGACTGTAAAGTGGCCCCGTTTAGAGTTGTATATCGAGTATATCTGCTAACCGGCACATGTCTCAGTCTGTTCTCCAGAAAACTGCCTGTCCACTTGTGATCGTAAATCAGAATGCGATCCGGGAGATTTTGGGCTTCGATACGCGCATAGATCCAAGTGCCCATTAAATGTCTGCTGCAGCAAGTGAGTCACCACTAATACATCTCGTACAACTCTAACAGTGCCTAGGTATGGATTTTGTGGAACAACGAAAGATTTTTGCGGTATGTCAAAATCTCCCTTCTCTCTCTAATCCAACCACTTCCGCTACAGTATTCCCGTTTCACATTTTCCATTGTTGTGAGAGGCTTTCCTGCTGGCGTTGATTCCAGGCACATGGGATCACCCCTCATCTATCAGTTGATGCTAAATTCTCAACGCTGGAAGAGTCAATCGTTACTTCGCCAAACTACTCAACGGTTCATTGATTTGCTGATGAATGCCTACAGGAGACAAAGTGGTTAAACGCCCCAAATGCTCAAGTCAATCAACTGTTCACAGAATAATTGGCTATTATGAAGGATTTGGGACTCGAAGGCCGTGTAATGCGATGTATCCTGAATCTATATCACGGGTATATACTCATATAAACTATGCATTTGCGAACATCGATCCAACCACGTTCGAAGTTCGCCCAGCAACGCTAAGTGATATTGACCTTATGGCCCGGGTTACCGCTCTCAAAAGACAGAACCCTTTTCTTAGGGTTAATATTGCACTTGGAGGTTGGACATTCAACGATCCTGGGCCAACAGCTACGACCTTTTCAGACCTTGCGGCTTCTGAAGATAATCAAAGAAAATTTTTCAAGTCACTTACTTCTTTCATGGCAACCTACGATTTCGACGGTGTGGATCTTGATTGGGAATACCCAGTTGATACCGATAGAGGTGGTCGGCCAGAGGATTTCGAAAATTTTCCAAGATTTATGGCCAATCTGAAAAAGGCTCTAAAGTCAACTGGCGGAAGAGAAGAAGTTAGCATTACTCTTCCAGCTTCCTATTGGTATTTGCAACATTTTGATTTGAAGAATCTATCTCCGCATGTCGATTACTTTAATATAATGTCCTATGATCTGCATGGAACCTGGGATAAAGGTGAGTAATATCCTATCTTTACAACAAGTCGATGCTTACTTCGCTCGAAAGGAAATAAATGGACGGGAAATTTCTTGAATGCCCATACAAACCTTACGGAGATTGAACTAGCCTTAGATCTGATATGGAGAAATGACATCGACCCTAGCAATGTGGTGATGGGCCTGGGGTTTTATGGGAGGGCATTCACGGTCCAGGACAAGAATTGTGTGTATGTATACGGTTTTTTTTCTCTCTTATTGCTCGAATGCCCATATTCCCCCAACTGTGACTGACGGACTACAACATCACAGCGAACCAGGCTGCCTATTTGCATCTGGATCGGATCCTGGTCCCTGTAGCAGGGAGCCCGGTGTTCTCCTAAATAGTGAGATTGACGATATAATGCGCAGTAAAAACATTCAACCAACATATGATGAAGACGCCGCCGTCCAAATTTTGACATGGGACGACCAGTGGGTTACTTTTGACGACGATACGACTCTGAGGGTCAAAACGGGCCATGCTCGCCAGCGCTGCCTGGGCGGGGTCATGGTGTGGGCTGTCAGTCATGATACGGCGGATAATAAATACGCAAAAGCTCTCAGTGACGCTGTTAAGCCCTCATTTGGGATTTTCCTTCCTATCGAAGACGAGGACGGAGACACTATCATCACGGTCCGCGACCCAGTCCAACAATGTAAATGGACTGCCTGCGGTGAAGTGTGCCCCCGTGGATACCATGTTGTCGACCGATTGGACAAAGAAGCCAGGCGCGACGAGATAATGCTGGATCAAAGCGCCTGCCCACGCGGTTCTGTCCATACATGGTGTTGTCCGAATGACTGGGGTACGGTAGAGTGTGGGTGGTATCAGCATAATAACGGCAAATGCTCGAGCACATGTCCGCTGGGTGCGATCGAAATCGGCTCGAATTCAATGTACTGCAACAACAGAGAATACCAGGCGGCATGTTGCAAGGTTGGAAAGCGAAGCTTAGAACTTTACCAAAATCTGGAATGGTCCAAACGCCCTAATTGTGATGATGGATTATGCCCCTTTATTAATCAGATAAAAAGTCAAGTTCTAGCTCGGTCGCGGACTGGAAGTGGCGGGGCCACCTGCAATACCAGGTGGGTCAGGACGGGCCGTTTTCCCGAATTCGAGGGCTGGGAATCGAGAGCGCTTTGTTATGGCACCCGTGACCCAGGAAAGCTTGAGGATTGTGTCGGAAATGAATTTACTGGAGGCAACAATCCAGGCCACTCATCCCTCTTCTGCGATTCAGGATGCCCGGGTGACAAAATCAGGGTGGCTATGGACACTGAGGCCCCCGGTTGCGAAAAACACGGCGGTGCAAACTCCGTCTGCTGTCGACCTTCACTCTACGTTGAACACTCGAAGGTGAACCCCGAGATAAGTGATTTCCGTGATTCCCTAGACCGGTATCTGGACAACGAACAATGCCCCGTGAGAGGCCCGTTTGACTTGCATGCCACCAATGATGGTGATTCGGCAATGCTAAAGCTCAAGCGAGACCTAGGGCTCCCAAGAGATTTGGACCTACTAGTCACCACGTTATGGGAACTCTTACAAACACCTATCCATACTGCGGTGCAAAAGCGACAGGCTTCAGATTGGGACACGAGAGTTGGGACAAAATACCCCAACCTCCTCATAGCGAGGCTCAAGGTATTCCTCGTAGGCTCGGTCGTTTGGAAGCTCAAAGGATCGCTATACGCGGTCTATAACTTCTTGTGTGACCTGCCAGGTTTCAATGAACAGTTTGACGGGCGCAAAGTATGCAAGTGCGGTGGTGATATTTGTGACTTTGGTATCCAGGTGTGCTCCCCGGAAGACGACGAAAACCACCCACCTGCCAGGCCCCCGCAGAGTGCTCTAGGTGAGGCTCCGAGTTCAGAACCGCAGAAGCGACATCAACCTAGGAAGTTACAGAAGCGCGCTGAGGTAAAAGAATACAAGGCGTATTGCCCAGACGGAAGTTATCACACCCTGCAAGTAACGGCTAAAGAATATCCTTCTGCTGGAGACTGGGGTTTCAACCACGAAATATGGGGGCGTGTGGTGGATCTAGCGGATCTTACGGACTGTGGCAATCCGGACGTCAGCATATATGGTACCGCCCCGGATAATGAGTATCACAGTAAGTTGGGTGTACCGGCATCTTTTGAAGGCATCTTTGGCTCACATTATCATAGCGGAGCATATTTTTGAAATCCAGACAATCGCCCTATTTTTTGAGGCCGCGAGTCAGGGGAAATATATCGACGGGACAGATGGTGGTTATACGCGAATAGACTGTGACTTTTTCCTGACTTTGGAGACCATGCTCATTGACCAAGATGAACCCGCAACGTTCCCTGGAGGTCTGAGTACCCCTTACCCAAGCGAGAGGATTATGGATACATTGGGTTCTTCGGACAACAGCGAGCATTTTTGGCTGCTCCAACGAGGTATTAATGGAATGAAAGCGCTCGTAAGTAAACACCACTCTTTGCCGCCCGCTTCGATAGCTGAAGTTGCCTCAGGTCTGGGCGAACAAAGTTCCACAACACGACCGCATGCAAGCTTTGGTCGATAATGTGGATGATCCTTGGCCAGCCATCATTAGTATCCAGTCTATCATCGCGGTGTTTTCGTATCTGAACAACGCGGCAGTCCACGACTCGTTTACTACACTTGCAAATAGGATTCGAGGAGTATTCGAGCTGATTCAAACCGCGTATGAGGCGAAGACGACGAAAGAGGTGAAGCTAGTAGAAGCATGGGACGCTTTCTTCTTGGATCTCTTGGAGGGCATGGAATCGGTCGCCTTCAAGTTTGCTGACCATTGGATCAGGGAGATGCTCCGCCTGTGGGATACGCCACCTCCGCCGAATCCTGACTGTGCCATAGCGGTCGTTGCCGACCTCGAGAAGCTAAAAGGATCCTTGGGCGGAATGGTGATTGACAAGACCGGTCTAGATTCATGATAGGACGAAGAATTGGGCATGAACAGCTGTAGATTATTTCTGATAAAGGACCCGGCAGGCAGAATAGTGCAAGAATGTAATCGATAATATATTTGATGACTGCTTGAGCCGCCCAGAGGCCACGTAGTTTTAATCCTACCAGATACTCCGCCAGGCAACAAACAAGACCAGGTTCTGCATCTCATCCAGAAAGTGGTGGCATGGAATGGAGGGAGTGAGAGAGCAAGATGCGGCGAACTCGGGCTTACTCACCACTGACCGGACTATTGTTGGTCCGCCGCCGCGAAAGTCTGCGCAGAGAAACCTGAAGCAGCGCTGAGCTGCTTTGACGGCAGGCTTGAGGAACAGCAGCTCGCCAGCAGAAAGGTCCCACCCGATGCGATGGCGAAGAGAAAGAGAGAGGATGCCGCCACCCCAGTCGATTCCAGCCCGCGCAAGACCCTCAAGTCAGACGTCGTGGACGGGGTCACGGTTCAGATCGTGACAGGCTCATACGAGCGAGTCCTACACGGCATTACTGCAACGATTCCGCGAATTTCCCTTCAGGGCCCAGCGCATAAACCCGATGCAATCCAATTTCTTGACACCTTTCTCTACCATGCACATGCTTCCGCTATCCGCTGTCTCGCTCTCAGCCCCATGTCCGACGATGCGTCTCAGTCGCGAAACGTGATCCTGGCCAGCGGCGGAAGCGACGAGCGCATTAACCTCTATACTCTCTCGGCCACTTCAGCCCCGACGGACGATAGGTTCCCCTCCATTCCAACATTGGCGGGAAATAAAATACTGGAAAACCCCAAAAACCGCGAGCTGGGTTCGTTGCTTCACCACTCCTCCGCCATCACCGCGTTATATTTCCCTACAAGATCCAAATTGCTAGCTTCGGCCGAGGATAACACTATCTCTATCACAAAAATCAGGGACTTGTCGGTCGTGTCTACCATCAAAGCTCCGCGACCGAAAGCGACTGGTAGACCGAGCGGAGATACCGCGCCGGCCGGCGGAGCTCCAGCAGGCGTCAATGACTTTGCCGTCCACCCGAGTATGAAGCTCATGCTCACTGTCGGGAGAGGCGAAAAATGTATGAGGCTCTGGAATTTAGTGACGGGGAAGAAGGCTGGGGTTCTAAATTTTGGACGAGATGTTTTGGAGACTGTCAAGGAAGGCAAATGGAGCAGTGGCGAAGGGAGAAGAATTGCTTGGGATGCTGCGGGCCAGGAATATGCTGTAGCCTTTGAGCGCGGTGTTGTGATTTTTGGCATAGTAGGTTGTTTTCATCCCCTTTGCGGTCGGGCTGCCTGCTAATATGGGTCAAGGACTCGGTGCCCAAGTGCTACGCTCTCCCATCTCCGCTGACCAAAGTCCATCAAATCAAATATGTCCAAGCTAGCGGCGATAAGAAGAATTCGCCAAGCGAATTTCTTGCTGTATCAACCGAGGATGGGCGGATACTGTTCTACTCTTCTGGCCTAGATTCAGTGCCCCAGGTGGACCGGAGCAATGGCAAACCTTCAGTTCCTGCGGCCGCGTTGTGCTACCAGTTGGATGGTAAGGAAAAGGGCCAATTGTCCAGAGTCAAGGATTTTGAATTCTTACCGACCGCGGAGTCTCGCCCCGGTGAGCCACGCAGCTTGATTGTTGTCACCGCTGGAAGCGATGGCGTAGTCAAGCTCTGGGCCCTCGATCCGAAGCAGCTGAGCCGTAAAGAGAAACCCAAGGTTCCGGCTGAGAAAAAGGCGAAAAAGGAAAAGCCCGCCGACCAAGGGCCTGAAAATGTCGGGTGGTTGCTGGGAACATATGAAACCGGAAATAGAATTACGTGCCTGAAAGCGTTTGTTCTAGGCAAGGCTACGGAGGATGAAGACGAGTTTGATGGGTTCAGTGGGCTGTCGGACGATGCGGAGGACGAGTCGGGGTCAAGTGGTGAAGAAAGCGAAGCCTGATAAGATCGTCTCTGTTAAATAACCACAAAACCACAACACAAGTGTCCTCCAGTGCCAAGACATGTAAGCCGGAACTCGGAGTAACTATCCAGATTGGATATAACGTCTTCGGACTGGGTAAACCTATATCCGGCTGCTTACATAATGCGGGCTTTGTTGGACGAAACCGCGTTTGCAGTTGATCCTCGCTCTGGTTCAAACCACCTGGCATCATCGTCAAGTCCAGCTTGCAAGAAGCTGAGAAGCCAGTTGCGAACCCCTTTCTCCTCGCTGGTCTGTACTAGTCGAGGCAACTCCTGCTCATCGCTTTTGCTGCTGATCCGTCAATTGCGCAGCAACCATGTACATCCTTCAGGTATAGCCAACATACGGAGGACGGAAGATCTGTAGCTTGGAAGCTAATGTGTTTGGTGACAGCAACTCGCCCGGCTCCTTGATCAGCCGTTCCTTCCCTGGAAGAAGATTATAGTTGGATTCTCCCTCGGGCAGTATCTCCTCGAAGGCTTCCTGTCCCTGCGCCAGTACAAGGTCCTCCAACAGAAAAGGCCTCCCAAGGTTCTGGAAGGAGAGGTCTCGCAGGAAGTCTTCGAGAAGAGTCAGGTTTGTCTCACGGATTCTTCGAGCCTTCTTTTATTCATCTCCCTGTTCATCATCTTTCTGGAAATGCCATGGTCAAGAGGCTGATATTTGGACAGGCATATGGCCGCGCAAAAGCCAAATTCGGCTTTGTCTCCGGTCTCTACAGTCAAATCCAAAACCTCGCGTTTATTTACTATGATGCGCTCCCAAAGCTCTGGGCAGTTACCGGTATCTGGCTTACACGCTATCTCCCCGACCGGTTCCAAGGGGAAATCACCCATACTTTGGTTTTTGTCTTCACGTTCAACATCATCACCACCTTGCTTTCGATGCCCATCTCGTATTACAGCACCTTTGTCCTCGAAGAGAAGTTCGGCTTCAACAAGCAGACCGTGAAGCTATGGCTTTCGGATATGCTCAAAGGCCAAATGCTCGGTATCGTGCTTGGTACTCCCATCATCAGCGCCATTTTGAAAATCGTCCAAAAGACTGGAACCGGCTTTTTTTACTATCTTTGGATGTTCGGCGTTTTTGTTCAGCTGTTTGCCATTACCATTTACCCAATTGCTATCCTGCCGTTGTTCAACAAACTTTCACCGTTGGAACCCGGTACTTTGAAAACTGGCGTTGAAAACCTTGCTCGCAAGTTAAATTTCCCGCTGAAAGAGCTTTACGTTATTGACGGAAGCAAGCGAAGCGCTCACAGCAATGCGTATTTCTACGGTTTGCCCTGGAAAAAGCACATTGTCATTTACGACACTTTGATTGAGAAGAGCGAGCCCGAAGAAGTTGTGGCTGTGCTGAGCCACGAGCTTGGGCATTGGAGTTTGTCTCATACGACTAAATTGTTTGGAATTGCCCAGGTAGGCCTCAACCCTGGAATTGGTGCCCCGAAGCTCTCTCTAACGCCCCTTAGTTCCACATGTTCTACATTTTCGCGCTATTTTCCGCCTTTGTCAACAACAAATCGCTCTATAAGTCTTTCGGCTTCCACAAGGAATATCCAATCATGGTCGGCTTCCTTTTGTTCTCGGATGCCCTGGCTCCAATGGATGCTATTGTCAAGCTGTTGATGAATATCCTTAGCCGAAAGTTTGAATTTGAGGCCGGTATGTCTTTGTTGCTGTCGTTCAATGTGGTCAATGAAGCTAATCCGTCGTAGATGCATTTGCTGTCAAGCTGGGCTACTCGGCCGAACTCGCAAAGTCGCTCCTGAAGCTCCAGATTCAAAACCTTTCAACCATGGATGCGGACTGGATGTATGCTAGCTATCATTATTCTCATCCCATCCTACCAGAGAGACTCGGCGCTCTCGGCTGGATGGGAGGGAACGTCACTGGCAAAAAGAGTGAGGATTCGGAAAAACCAGTCAAGGCAGCCGACCGCGAGCTGTAAGAAAAGATTAGTCTCGATGTTGCATTCCAGTTTATCTCTTCGGCTTGTGTACCCCCTGTTTGGTTTAGGACTTTTCGGATGGGAAACTTACCGGTATCAAATGATGGGCTTTCGGCGTTGTTGTAGTTTGGTAGATTATTCCAGTCGGATCCTTTCAGCTTGCAGCTGAGGCTCGAGCTCTCTGTTCGGCCTTCCTCCTCTCTTTCTTCTTCCGCTTGCGCTCTTCTTTGTCGACAGTAATTTCTATCACCGAGGCGTCATCGTCTCCCACATCACCCTCAACGACTGTAGCCCCTACATCCTCGTCGCCCTCTCCTTCAACACCCTCCACCAAATCGACCTGCTCCCGCTCAAAACTCCCGAGATCCTGCCATTCGACATCCTGCTTCCCACCCTTAGAAACCCTCTTTCGTTTCCGCTCGCCTCCCCAGTCCTCCCCGTCCGTAAATGCGTTTGCTCGCTGCTCGCCCTCCTCCAAGCGGCGCTCTAAAACGATGTCCCTTCCCAAACGTTTGCCGGTTAGACCCGCATGCACGCGCTTTAAGCTGTGGATGATCGGGTCGAGTGCCGTGTCGGGGTTTGCCGAGACGGGGCCATGCGCGGAGAGGGTGCTGTCGGGTTGGTAGGACGGGTCGCCGTTGGCGCGCTCGAGGAAGGCGGCTAAGAACTTTTCGGCGGCTGAAGGGCTGATGCTGGTTGTCGAGTGAATGGAGGTTGGTGGAAGGGGATTGGGTTGGGCTTGGAATGCCATTGTGGACTTGAAGGCTGGGTGAATCCTGCTGCGGAGAGATGTTGGGCTGAATCAACGCAACTTGGAGCATTTGGAGAGAGAAAAAAAATTATAATTCCGATAAGTTTGGCGGATGTGGTCCGTGCGCAGAGTCTTCAACATCGAAACGTCGAGTTTGATCGTCAACCACGAAGGATTCCTGACATTGACACAAAACTGCTTCTGCCTCCAGGCTCCTTTAACCGCTAGCTATTTGGATCGAGGGAACGGGAAAAATGATCTGCCTCCGCTGCAGCAGGGCTGCATCCCTCAATCCTGCACAGCGGATTCTGAATTCTGCATCTCGAACACTCACATCGTAAGACATTTCGACCTCGCACCGTCAATTCCTTCATAATTCTAATTAAATATTCAACAGTCGAGCTCGCCTCTCAATCACCCTTCCAGCCAATGCGAAACCATTTCCCTTTCTACCACCTCTCCAATCCTCCGCACCGTCTTCGGGCCCCAACGTACAGGCCCTTCGGCAGCATTTTCACACCATTCACACCGGTTCCTCACTCCCTTGGGCGGATCTTCGCGTCAATTTTCAACCACTGCCGCTCTTGGCGCCGAACGGAATAAGGTACAAATCCTTCAACGGAGGGTATCAGGAAACGTCGAGCATGGCTTTCTCGCAAAGACTACGAAGTAGAGGCGGACGAGAGCGTCCCTGTCGAGAAGAAAGAGCAAGCAGAGAAAGTACTTGACATGGTAGATTGGTGTTTCTGATCCCACGGACAGTTACGCGGTTTGCAGAGTATGGCGAAGCAATGAGCAGACGGGATTAAATGGCACGGATTCGGATGGTTGTCCTTGCACAATGCAGCGAGAACTTGACAAGGGTGAAAGCTATAGCCCGAACGGAGCGTCCCCTGTTGATCAGCTTGATAAAGCTGAACGCATAGCTTCTTGCACGGGGTGCATTGTGTTCTACATTGCTGTCGATTCCTCCAATTTTGTGGCTACGAACTTGGAAATCTAGTCACAACTTGTATTATAGATTCAAATTTGCTTTTATCAATCATCATCACGTTGCATTTCAGAAGCCTAGTACGTTAGTAACCATAAGCCCGCCCCCGGGATAACTTTATCTATGCCGTAAAGAAGACGCAGTAAAGCAAACTGAACGGGAAACCATGGGAAAAAAAAGCCACCTGGGCACAAACAGTGGCGGCGAAGGAATCAGAGAAAAAGAAATAGTAATAACGGGCATCATCATCCTAAAACGAAAATTGGGAATAGAATTGAGAATCCAGTGTGGGAAAAGCCTGAGGTCCTTGATTCCGAAGATTTATGACATTTTTTTTCTGATGGCCTAAAACAAAAATGGAGTTGCTTTATATCTAAACACGCATTTCTGCCACGCCAATCATATGTGCTTGAGCTTTTCCCTTGTGCTGGTTGAGAAAGGTCGGGAAGACGACAGGTTAACTTAGTCAACAATAGGCTCCACGGTATTTCCTCTGTTTCCTTTGATCAGCAAGTGGTTGGATAAGATGCAGATACGGACACTACTTACGCAACAATATTCGCCCACCCAATCAGACGCCAATGTTTGTCGATTCTGCGACTCAGAGCGATCTTTTCACCAATCTCTGTACATGCGGGACCGGTCAAGCTCAACTTCGCTGCGTCGGCCTTGACACCCATAACCTTTGCTCCGGTAGCGGTGGAGCCAATATTTACCATCAGAACTTCATTCTTGGAAAGTTTAGCAACCTTGGCTTGCTTGCCGTCGGCGGACTTGACACCAAGGAGACGACGAAGGAGGAAGTAGTTGACCTCAAGCTCGCTGTAGATAGCAGGAAGTTTGCCGCGATGGCCAAGAACAAAACCCAGCAGACGATCTGCACGGCAAAGGGTGGGGTCGACCTTTGTTCCGACACCGATCAGGCCACCGGGCACAGCAAACTTGAGGTCATTCTGTTCGGCGAGGAGGGAGATAACACGGCTAAAGATGGGACGGCACTTGACTTTGCCTTGCTCATCTCTTGTCACGATACCAGGGCGGATCTCGATCTCATCGCCGAGCTTCAACACACCGGTTAGAATAGAGCCACCGGCAACACCACCCTTCAAGGAATCAATTTCGCATCCAGGCTTGTTGACGTCGAAGGAACGGATGATAATCATATGGGGAGACGCCGCGAAATTGCGCACGGGTACGGGGATATGCGTGCAGAGGTATTCATTGACAGCGTCAATGTTGTACTTGAGCTGGGCGGAAATAGGGATAATGGGTGATCCATCGGCCACTGTGCCGCGGATAAATTTCAATATCGACTGGTAATGTTGAAGGGCGCCATCTTCTCTCATCAGGTCGACCTTATTCTGCAAGATGATTATATGGTTAAGTTTCATGATCTCAATTGCGGCCAGATGCTCAGATGTCTGGGGTTGAGGGCAAGTTTCATTTCCGGCGATCAGAAGCAACGCTGCATCCATGACAGCGGCACCTGAAAGCATAGTACTCATGAGAATATCGTGACCAGGGCAGTCGACGAATCTGGGGGGGGAAGGGAATCATTAGAACTGAGACCTGTGAGGCAAGCGTGGATAGAGCTGGTACTCACGAGACATGTCTCTGTAACCGATATGTGCCTGCGCATCCTTCCCGCTTGCACGGCGGGTCGACTTCCTTTTCGCTCTTGAAACTCGTATAGCATCCCGGGCGCGGGCACTCGGGATTGTCGCACTTGTAAATCTTTGCATTGGCATAACCCAGCTTGATCGTGATATTTCTCTCCTGCTCATTCTTGAATCGAACAGTCTGCACACCGGAAATCGCCTTGACCACCGTCGACTTGCCGTGAGCGACATGGCCAATAGTGCCGATATTAATTGTAGCTTGTCGGGCAATGATCTCGGGAGACAGGGGAGTTAACGTTGAGAGGTCCAGCGTTTCTGGATCTGGTTGCTCTGGGAGTTCCGGCTTGGGTTCGGCAGGTGCTGAGGGCGCGGAGGATGGCTGTTTCAAGGCGGATTTGAGGGGCTTTGCGTCTAGCTCTTCGAGATCCTCCTCCAGGTCGTCAAAATCGTCCTGGTCAGCGCCGTTCTGGTCGGCTGCCAGGGTGGGCGAGCCCGGCTGCGAGTCGTCGTCGGAGTAATCACTCATGGGCGCCATGATTGCGGGAAGTCGGGGATACTGTTGCAGACCTGGATTGAGACAGTCCACGGCAAAACAAGCACCGTCGTGGTCTGGGAGCGAGAGAGATGGACTGGTTGATGTTGGGTTGAAGTCGAGATGGCGAAAAAAGCGACTTGGATTTCTTTAGTGGGGCGAAGCTCCAGGTCGGCTTTTTGCTGCTAAACCGAAAACAGATGACTCAGAGAACCAACTGGTTAGTTATATAGTTATCACTCTCAATCTACGTCTGCACGCCGAATGCAAGCCTATCTATGCGCCTAGTCCTCGTCTTCACTGCTCCCAGCGTCGCTGTCCAACCCGCTATCCTCTTCGTTCTCCTCATCCTCCTCCTCCTCCTCGTCCAGCTGCAACCCGTAGTCATCCTCAAAGTAACTGAGGGACTGCACTTCAGGCTTGAATCCGAGTGATTCAAATCCAGTTTTGATTCTCTAGATGTCCCATTAGCTATGATTGGCGGCTGTGGATAATAGGCACGATCCTGCTTACCTCTTCCAGAACCGGAGCACATGTTACCACCACAGTTGAGCTGTCCGGAGTAAAGACGGGAAGAATGATATCTCGAAGAGCCTCCTTGAGTTGGTCGATGGTGACCGCTCGCACTCGCTTCAACAGGGTTTCCTTGTAGTCTGCGGGGAGGTTCCGAATGACTTGCCGAATATAGCTGTCTTGCGCGGAAAGGATGTTCGTTGCTTGCTCATTTGCGAATCCCGCCACGATGGTGCTGATAGCGCCCTCAGGGGACATCACTGGATCAAGCACCGCAGCCCCCGATATATGGTCGTCAACAACTTTCTTCGCCGCTTCGAACGCTTTAAAACCGTTAGGCGACCGGTAGATGTTGAAGTGGACGAGGCCAGTGTCGGTACTGTGCCTAAAAGACGCCCCATAGGCTAGGCCGGTGCCTCGGACGGCCACCCACAGCGGACCCTCCACAGAGTTCATGTATGCAATAGCAACCATGAGCGCTGGCAATTTCGGGTGGTCATACGAATTCAACCCTTTTGTAGTCGCATTCACGTGGGAGGAGTCAAGAGTCGGCATCGGTACGATGTACGCAAGCTGACCAGGCTTCTTACCGGCGTTACTGAGCCGCTCGTGTAATTTGACAACCGGCTCAAGAGGCTTTGCCATATCAAGGCCATCAACGTATGGTTTCCAGGATGAAACTGGGTTCTTCAGCTTCGATAAATCACCAATGACGAGTATCCGCATATTCTTGGGCTGGAACAGGGTTTTGCGGATCGTCTCCATCCGTTGTATAACTTCCCTAGGGTCCTTCGCAAGCAACCGTTTGACACGCTTCAAATACTTGGCTTTCACCAGTGTTGACCTCGCCCGAGGAAGAGATTCGGGGGCATATTGGATCATGTATCGCACAGCGTCTACCATGCTGCTTCCGCTCCGTTTCGCATCCGGAACGTCCGAAAATAATCGGGTCGTAACAGCGACAAGTCGTTCAGGATCGAATACAGAGCTCCACGTGAGCTCCTTCAGATACATGATGGCGGCCTGGTACTTTTCCACTTCAACCTGAAATGTTATTGCTAGCATTTCAGAATTTCCGGGGCTGGTATCCATAGTATATCCCACGGTGTCCCTTTCAAGATCAACGATTACCTGCTCAAATGAGATGCGTTCGCCGTCTCTGTCGATCGGAAGGCTAAAGAAGGTCTCCGTGTACACCGATAACAGCGGGAGAAGTTCCACGGGCACTCCTTGAGTAGAAATCACCAACGAGAATTGGACAAAATTGCTGCTTATGTTCTCAAAATGGATAAACAAGGAGGAATTCATGTCATCGGAATCAATCAATTGCTGAAACTTGTTATCAGGTCGTCCGTCTTTCAACGCAGTACCTGACTTAGCCGTGGTTGTATGGATAAAATGGATTGAGTCCGTATCGGGGACTTGGATTTTGGCCAAAATTTCCCTAGGGATCGGCTTGTCATTTTCAGCCTTTGCCTTTGTTAGCTTCTCAGCAAGGAGCTGTAGGCCTTTCTCGCCGAGTTTCTCCTTGCGCTCTTGAATCCGAGCCTCCTCATCGACTTTTATTTTGGCGGCCAACTTAGCAGAAGGTACTCCAAGGACTGAGACATGGGGGGCATCGGCCATGTATTGCTTGATAAATCCACGCCACTGGTTGTCATGCCATGACTCCAGCTCTTCGTACTCTTTGAGAGTCGCAATTTCAAGAAGCCTGGACCCGTTTTTGTCACCAAAGAGGAAATCACTAATGACATAGTCTGCAAACGAGGACGCTGAGTTTTCTGCAGAGAACTTCCAATTCCGCCTGTGCCTCTCAATACATTCACGCATGTATTTCATGTCTATCTCATTTCGCATAGCGTCAGTAAGCACTTCAAAAAATCGGCGCTCAACGTCACGTAAATTCTCTGTAGCAACGCTGGTTAGAGTAAACCGAATTTCCGTCCGTGGCCTTTCGTCAGTTGAATAGTAAACTGCAGTAGTCACCTGCTCCTTTTCAACGAGCACATTTTCTAGTAAAGCCGCTGATGATCCCGCAAGATACATCAAAGCGACATTGAGTGCAGCGGCTATTGCTTGTTAATTTTCATCCTGTTGAACTTTCGTCCCGGGGAGAGTTACTCACTCTGAACGCGGTCGTTGCAGTTCGGTCCCAGAAAGCGGATTTCAATTTCACCAAAGGATTCATCCTCCTCCGGGAACTCAACAGTGTCGATAACAGACTTTTCCAGCTGCGGTGGTTGGGTTGATTCCACCCATGGGCGCTTGAAGGGAGCATCAGGAATAGGAATAGCGTCGAGAATAGTATTTTCAAACTGATCCAATACGGAGAGGAGATCAACATGGTCCACCTCTCCGATAATTACCAGACACAAATTCTTTGGCTGGTACATATCCTTGTGGAATGCACGAATACGCTCTGCTGTGAGAACGCGGAGCTGTTCCATCATCCCGCCAGTTTCATACCGAAAGCCGACTTCTTCTGGGTACATCAATCTACGAGACCGTAAATCTATCAACTCTGAAGACCGATTCTGGACCCCTTGCATCTCAGAATATACTACTCCCGCATCGTGTCCGGTGCCATCGATATGGTAAACTTCGGTATAGCATCCGGCATCGGTGAGAGTGGGCGCCACGATATGCTCCAAATATATGGGCAAAATCAAGGAGAATCCCTCCCACCCGGCAGTATCAAGGGTGTAGGCGGTATGGTCGGTGGCGGTCCATGCGTTTGTATCGGAATACAGCCTGGTGGCCAACTTGTCAAGGAAGCCTTTATACCGGTAGTTCCTTGAACCCATAAAGCATAAATGCTCTAGGGTATGGGGTGAACCGGAATCATCATGGATTTCAGTTGCAAGTACAAAATACCCGTACACCTTTGGCCCTTTTTGGTCTATGACAACCACCCTCATTCCAGTCCTCTCAGATTCATACTGCGTAAATCTGCTAGCAGAATAGTCTGTTTTGAATTTGTGGAGCTGGCGAAAATAGCTCTTACTGCCTTGTTGGGATACCATTCTCAGGTCTCTCTGGCGCAAAGCTCAAGACGAGATGAGCGCAGAATAAAGCTAAGTCACTCGTCAGCGGCTTCCACTCAACAGAAAAATCATGTCATCCTTGGGTCAACACCCGCAAGATAGGTATTAAACAACGTAGCAATCAGTACTCTGAACATACGGCAGTTTGGTGGGGGCGGGGCGCACAGAAATCGGGAGGGTGCACGAAAGCCAGGCTGCGTGGACAGGATAGCCTTACTTAAAGAGCAGATCTTCCAGGGAGCTCCGTGGGCTGTGAGGCTCTCGGCTGAGGCAGACCCCGGTTCAATGGATGTATAAAGACGAAGAAGTAGTTATAGTGCGGGGTGTCTTGTCACAGCACGATGCTAGTTATGATATGCAACATGGGGACAGGCACATAAACCAGGACGAAGATGGCAAGAGAGTGGCTTCACACAGCATCAAGCAGCCTCAGCGCCTTGTTTCCTGTTGACTGTGAGAGCACACTGCTGAGCCAGAGAGCCGAAGAGCAGTCGTGAAGGTGGTTTGGAGTAGCGAACTTAGTGTTGAATTGAAGCTGCCATGTGACCCGGTGCTTGGCTGATCTCCAAAGAGACAGCTTTCGTATATAGAATCAACCACTGTCAACAGCATCAAGCGCCGCGACTGGAGCGCCAAATCGGCATTTCTCCAAGCAAAGGATTCCGCCGTTAGCTGCCAGCGAAATGAATTGAGCGACTACCCGCAATGGCTTCTGCTCCGTCCAACGAGGCAGCATGTCAAGCGCTTCTAGACTTCGTGACCGATGGGCGGTTCCCAGACTCGGAACGCCTGGTTTCTGCCGACTTCCCCTTGGAAATTATCCCAACAGAGCTGCAGGAGATAGCAAAGGCCAAGAAAGCAGTCGAGGTGCGTTAGACAAGATGATCCGTGGTTCGAGGAAGCTAACAGTCTCCTGTCACGCAGAATGAAATATCCACCCTCAGCCGTGAAACTGCCACCAGCATAGACGATTGGATTACCCAAGCAAAGCAGTTGCATCTAGATATAGAACACTCCAGGCTGGCGGCGAGAGAAATCGTCGCTTTACACGAAAAAGGGCGAGAGCTTCGTGATCGAGTGGCCGATGCACAATCAGCAGTTGACGGGCTACATGGTGAAATTGCGTTTAATGGAGCTCTGCTACAGACACTGGAGGCCGCACGCGTGATTGACGAGAAAGCAGGCGAGGCCCGGTTAGCACTCGACAGCGGTCACTGGATCAGGGCCATTGAACTCGTCCAGGAAGTCCAAGGATCCCTCTCCGGGACCAAGTTACCTGAAAATACCAATGTTGTCAAGTTGCTATCCACTAAAGCGACAGAACTACGCACTGGTATTGCCAACGCCCTTCGAGCAGAGTGGGACTCCTTGATAAGGATAGATGCGACTTCAAGTGAACCAACAGTCACAAGTAACGATTCCGGTAGGCTTAAATGTGCTGGGTGCTTTTCATTTAACTTACCCAGAAAGTAGGTCGTTTCGCAGATATGCTTGCTGGGCTCTCCAGGTTACAGATATCAGACAGCGTCTTTCAGTCTTTCGAACAGGATTTAATTAATCATATCATCAAACCTGTCATCTCCCCCCCAGCAGTATCGCAAGGGCGAATATTCTCCATTGATAAGGATTGCTTGAGACTAAAACAACTATCATCGAAACCGCCGATTACGGATCTTTTGAATAGTGTATTATCTGCATTCTCTTACTTCAAGGAGTACTTTCCCGACGTCGTCGTTGACCGGCTACTTGTTACTCTCGCAGGCACAATCGCTTCACCGCTAATAGCAAAGTGGTTAACACCCTCAGTCCCTAGCGACCTTTCCTTACTAGACGGGTTCCAGGAGACAATCGGTCAACTTCGTCAGTTCATTTCAGGGCTCGAGAGCCAAGGCTGGTGCGGTTTGGAAGAGCTGAACGTTTGGATTGAGCAAGTCCCCCGCCTCTGGCTTACCCAGCGGCGCTGCAAAGCGCTGAACGACGTGCGACTAGCTATCTCCCGCAGCAGTGGCCACATACGAAAGGTAGAAAGGATAGAGAAGGAATGTATATCAGAGGGCAGTGCCATACCTGGAGAACACATTATTGAGGATGATTGGAACGCTGAATGGAGTGATAACGAAGAAGAAAGTACCCCGGAAAAACCATCAAACAAAGACATACCGCAACTTGAAAGTGGCAAAACAGACGCTGGAGATGAAGACGTAGAAGAAACCGACGAGTCGTGGGATTGGGGTGACGAGAATGATAATCCTCCAGCGGTTGGTCAACTCCAGGAAATAGCCAAGTCACGTCCGCAAACAAGTGGGCACGGCAGCGCCCGAGAGGAATCCCGAAGAGAAGTGATTCTGAAAGACTCATATGCCATTACAGATTTGCCGGACTGTATTTTGGCAATAATCTCTGCTCAGATCTCGGACGCGGAGAACTTGGCAAAGTTTGGGTTTGCACCCTATCAGCTTGTTATCATTATTGAGAACCATGCTAACGCGTTCCAAAGGGCACATCTCAATCTCGCGTCCTCGCGACCAGCTCTGCTTGCGCTGCCAACACTCGTTGTTGCCATGTTCAAGGCAACAGCCCCATTATTCTACTCGCACAAGTTTACTGTCGGTCAAATACGTCTTTACAACGACTGTATGTATTTTGCCGAGCAGCTACGTTCGCTCTCTGAAACGAGGAGTCTCCCGAAGCTAAGCTCGGATGCGGAATCGATCGAGAAGTTTGGCAAAGCAGCATATGGGAAAGAGCTTCAGTCACAACGTACAGTTTTAACCGATTTGCTGGATGGCTGTCAGGGGTTTTCGAATTGCTCGCAGGAGCCGTTTCTCGGAGAATGCAAGAATGCAATGGCGGCCGCGGTGGACAGAGTAACCGACGTCTATAAAGAATGGCATCCGATATTGTCTCGCTCTGCGCTTCTACAGTCGATCGGGGCCCTCATGTCAGCTGCTATTAACAAGCTGATACTAGACATCGAGGATTTGAGCGACATCTCCGATGCTGAGTCGCGATGCTTAGCCGAATTCTGTAGCTCTCTATCGAAATTGGAAGAACTATTCCTTCCCGAACCTAGCACAGACGCCAATGCCGCCAACCAGCCAGAGGCGATGCCAATGACGGCGATGTATGTTCCGAATTGGTTGAAATTCCAATATTTGATAAATATCCTAGAAGGCTCTCTGGCTGATATCAAGTATCTGTGGACTGAAGGGGAATTGAAACTGGAGTTTGATGCGGAGGAACTGGTTGACTTGATCAAAGCGCTGTTTGCAGACTCGGATCATAGGAAGCGGGCGATTGCAGAGATACGGCGGGCTTCAAATGTACCCTAGAAGTATCGAAAGCTCAATACTTCTCTTTCTCCTGTAACGATAGTCAAAAGCTGCTCTTCAAGGCCACGGCGCGGAACTGCACATGTTGCCGCTTCGGCCACCGTAACTACAAAAACTTGCCAGCAATTTTTCTGCGCAAAACACGGTCTCCCAGCTGGTAAACAGGCAAGGAAAGCCATTGATCGGAACGATGGAGACTTCGACTTCGGCAGTGCAGCCGCAGCCTGCGCAAACGCAAGTTAGGCTCCGGTTCACCACGAGAGATGCTGACCTTGCGCTTCCCGAGTCAACGGGCCCGATTCTTGTTCCGACAGGTATGGTGTCGCGCAACGAGAGCAAATGACCCCCAGGGCGAAAAGATTGCTGACCCAGTATCATTTTAGGCCTACGAAGATACGCTCTATCAACTCTCGTTAACGACCTCCTCGGGAGCGAAAAACCAGTACCGCTCGAATTCCTCATCAACGGCACATATCTTCGCACGTCGATTGATGAGTTTCTCACTGCCAACGGCATCTCCGCCGAAACCACCCTTGATGTTGAGTACGTGCGTGCGCTTATCCCGCCGTTGCATGTTGCGTCGTTTCTTCACGATGACTGGGTGAGTTCTGTGGATGTTCTCAGTGGTGCGCCAGGTGATGAGAGGATCATATCCGCGAGTTATGATGGGTTGTTGCGGGTGTGGAACATGTCGTCGGAAATTATCCACACATCTCCATCGGCAAGAGATGGAGGGCATAGTGGCGCAATCAAGAGCGTGCGACTCTTGTCGCCGAACCAGATTGCATCTTCAGGAATGGACCGGACTGTGAGGCTATGGAAATACTCGGATCAGGAGAAGGGAATTACCCCTCAGATCGAATATTACGGCCACAAGGGCAGCGTGGACTCGATCTCTGTTCATGGAAACCGAATTCTATCAGCATCTGCCGATCACACCGTTGGACTCTGGTCGACAAGAAAATCTGAATCACCCGCGGCGCCCCCCAATATGCTCCCCACGAACTCAGCGAGAAGCTCTAAGCGGCGGAAACTGAATTCATCTGTGAGCACACCTCAACGGGGGCCGCTATCCATGCTCAAAGCCCACACGGCGCCCGTTTCCGCTGCAATCTTCGACGCCAAAGATTCTACGGTGGGATACTCGACCTCCTGGGACCACTCCCTTCGTACATGGGATCTTGTGACAGCTACTCTTGTTGACACCCGCACCACGTCTCACTCTCTACTATGCGTCGAACATCTTCCCGAACATACCCTCCTTGCAGCAGGTTCTGCGGCTAGACATGTCACGTTGATCGACCCTCGTGCTTCAGCCACAACCGTCTCGGCGATGACGCTACGCGGACATTCGAATGCGGTTGTATGCCTTGCTAGAGACCCAGATAGCACGTACGGGCTGTTAAGTGGAAGCCATGATGGGACGTGCAGGATTTGGGATATTCGTTCCACGAAAACGGACACGGATGGCGTCGTGGGTGAGAGCATATATTCGATTTCGAGAAACAGCGTAGGAGAGGGCAAGCGCGTAGGAGGAGACGGAGTGAAGGTGTTTGATGTGTGCTGGGATAAAAAAGTCGGGATTGTGAGCGTTGGTGAGGATAAGGTCGTCCAGATAAATCGGGGAGAGGGAGTTGTGCCCAAAGCTGCCTAGGACAAGCAGCCCTTGGGATTCATTGGGTTAATTGTGGAATTCAAAACCAAAATAGAAAATCTTTTTCTCTTTCCAGAAGCGTTTTCCATCTCAAATAGCCACTTTATACATCTAGTTATACATGTCCAAACTTCAAACGCCGTCATGATGCATCAAATCCCAGCTAAAATAGAAACACGAAATAGTACACAGCGAATTCACCACCCCTACAATCTCCGGTCGACTCTGTTGAGCTTGTAGGCCGTTCGGATCTAGACACTTTATCAGCCAAACCCATCCACGGAAGAGAGCAAGGGGGCCACTCCAGCGATCGCGTAAAACTGACCTGAGATCTGGTATTCTGTCCTCTCACGGGTAAGCCCATTGCATGCCGTTTCCCTCGGTAGGTCCCTGTATCTTTCAAAAGTCGGATATTATCCAGTATCTCCCGGCGCAGATCGTTCTCGATTTTCATTTTGGAGAGGGCAGCGGTGATGTCGAGGACTTGCTTGTTGGCTAGGTCACCGATTTTTGCGGTTGGGTGGACATAATGGCGGGCCATAAGGCGGGCGCAGACAGAGGGCCCGATTCCGAAAAATGATTGAAGGGATTTCTACAAGATCGGGTTAGGGACTGGCGTTGACGGCTGGTGGATTGGAGGGAGAAAATTCGCGTACCGAGACGAGCTGACGCTCAGAGAAACTGACGCCCAGAATGAAAACCTGCAAGCGGGTAAGCGATTAAACCTGCTCTAGAGACATTGCACGCCACGACATACCATCTTGACGGTGATTAGATTGGATTGAATCCAGTCGTCGGAGGGAATACGCTCAGACTGTGACTGGAAGCTGTGCGAGGAGGGAGTTGGTCAGCCAATTCAAGGTCCAGTCGGGGAAATAATTCTTCCGATGTGTTTGAGGTGAAAGCTGGCCTTCTGTCTCTTGTCTCTCGACTGCAGACACCATTCTCCATTGATTATCTGAACCGATAGTCTACATCTGCGAAACCATGGCTAACATGAAGCGTCTCGTGGCGCTGGGCTCATTTGTTCTCTTTGCTTTCTTCCTATTCCTCTCGAGGGCGGAGGCTAAGGGCCCAAAGATCACCAACAAGGTAAACACAGCAAGCCCCCAGCAATCGCGTATCCTAGTGCTCATGACTTCTGCCATATATACAGGTCTATTTTGAAATTCAGCATGGGGATAAACCATTAGGAAAAATCGTTATGGGTCTCTATGGCAAGACCGTTCCAAAGGTTAGCCTCGCCTGATTCACATCCGATGTAGTAACCCGCAAGGCTTCTATGCTAATTTGCCTGAGCAGACCACAGAGAACTTCCGGTGAGGGCATGGTATCCTCCGATATAAACGTCTAGGATGCTCATTATAATCAGTGCTTTGGCCACTGGCGAGAAGGGCTTTGGCTATGAGGGCTCTACCTTCCATCGTGTCATTAAAGACTTTATGATTCAGGGCGGTGACTTCACCAACCATGACGGTACGGGGCGAGAGATTGACCTGAGTTTGCGCACAGAGCAGGGACTAATTTATCGCGATTAGGCACGGGCGGAAAATCCATCTACGGCTCAAAATTCCCCGATGAGAATTTCAAGCTCCGCCACACCAAGAAGGGTCTCTTGAGTGAGTGTCTTGGTGTTGTAGCTTTGACGGGATGTCACGAGCAAACGCGACTAATCCGTGCATGATGCTGCGTATAGGCATGGCTAACGCAGGCCCCGATACGAACGGATCCCAATTCTTCATCACCACCGCGGTTACGAGGTATGTGCTCTTCCGTGGAGGTAGCTTAGGCCTGTCAAAGTATCTAATCTTCCTACCAGCTGGCTGGATGGCCGCCACGTCGTTTTCGGTGAAGTCCTCGAAGGCTACGATATCGTCGACGCCATCCAGAACGTAGCCAAAGGAGTGGGTGACAAACCAGCGGAAGACATCAAGATCGCCAAAAGCGGAGAAATCCAAATGGAACCGGAAGGTAGTGAGAAAGAACTTTAGATACGGCAATTCCCAAAAGCTTGCTAAAGCTTGACTCCCTTCTGCATCCTGCCTTGCTCACTAGGATTTGCTGATTGCTTGCATGTCTCAAAAGGCCGCCGTGGTCGATTTCGCACATATTTTGAATCCCCGATGTATGATCCTGCGAAGCGACAATAGAGAATCCTTTGTCTAATGCGGTGTCGGACTAAAGTCCTGGGATGAGGGTTACCGGGGGGTGAGACCAGGCTGGAAGTAGACTCTCTGTATGTATATGGAAATCAAAGAATATACCTATGATTACATCATTTGTCCATTGTCCCGGCTTGTGCCCGTGGCTCTCAATTGCTATCAGTGCAATGAAACGTATGGTGGCACGAGGGCCCTTGGGCCTGGGTTTGTTCGGGCTGAGACCAGAAACAAGGGACAAGGTGTTGGCCCCGAATATCGTCGCTGTGAAGCTGGCAGTAGGAATGTGTGATGCAATCGAAACACCCATCCCTTAAAAAGATCCATTGGAACCTCCCCGTCCCACGAACCTCTGCCACGTTGAGCACTCTGCGGGTGATAGAGCCATCAACCCGCTTGAATCCGGGCAGCCTTGACACGCATGAACCTCCAGATTTAAGACTTTTGTTATTATTCGAGCACGTGAGAATTCGAAGTGCCAGTCGAAGGCCTTGCTGAAAGCATATCAATCTGTTGCAAGATATTGACTTCATGACTCCACGGACCCTGAAGATTCACCCGACGGGCTCTCGCTTCCGACGCTTTGATATACGGACATGGGTCGGTTTAGCGATGCCACCCGTCTGAAACGTAGAATCTTTGTTACTGCACCACCCACCGCCAACAGCATGATGAACTTCCGTCGCGCAGGAACGGCGGGTAGCATTTTGTGCACCGTAACATAGCCTTATCCAGGGCGGATGCTGAGGATTCCACGACGGTTGTGACTAGAGTCGGAAACCCTCTAACAAAGACCAACATGCTGGGAACCAGGACGAACATCGCGAACGTTTGAAGGGCACAGGCGGGCGGTCCGGGATGCCAGGAATTGCTCAAAGCTGGAGGGACTGACGACATTGGCTCTCGATTGCTGCTGAGTCCGAGAATGAACCCAATCCCGTGCAGTGTTGTCTGCTGATCTGCCGCCCGAGCCTGTAATCGAAAATGTAGTCAGATAGTTAATCGGTCTGTTTGTTGTCGTGAACGCTGGCCCAGAATGCTCTCTCCGGCCAAACCCATGCGCAGTAACTCGACTACGAAAACTCGACAGAGTATCCTGCGACTATAATCCTCAGCCGGTATAACTAGCTAAATAAGAGCAAAAGCAGTCAGCATACAGTAGTTCGTCTAATTCGGCATCTTGGGCGCATTTCTGGAGCCAGTGGGTTTTCCATGTGACACACTCCACCAGCGCAGTAATTAGTTATTTCTCGATTCCGGCGATGTTGTATCTCGAGATCTGCCTTCCTACGGCCAGGGGGCCTATTTCAACGTCTGCCCGTCACATGGATCCGACAAGACGACTCCGGGGCAGCACGGTGCATATGCACAAGGGGTTGAAGACAGCAATCAAGGCCGCCAGCGCACGATAACAGCGGGGGAAGTTGGAAGACAGAAGGGTTCTCGGAAGCCAGCCGGTGATCAATTCGCGCTCCAGCGCAGCATCACACCCTGCGCGCGTCTTGTCTGGCGGTGATGCACTGATGGAGAAGTCCAACAGGGTCTCTCCGCAGCTGGCATGGAGGACTGGGAATCTGTGTGGAGAGAAACAGGGATAACTACAAAACACAAAACTAGTTCATTGATTATTTACTTGCAGGGACCTGACTAGCGGCATCTCGAACGTTTCTGGTGGAGATCGCAGCGCCATTTGATTCCACTTAGTATTGGCTAACTATGGCTACGACTAAGGACATCTGGGGAACTGAGGCGGGGGTTTCAACCTCAATGGATCGCGAAGGTGTCAATCAGACGAGAAGACTACACGATGTCGAGATGACAGATCCTTCACTCGCTCGCTGGTTGACAGCTGCATTGCCTGACAATGCCCGTACCACGATAGCCCGGCAACTCACAGCGTCTCGGCGAGGTGTGTTCGCGCTACGATTTAGCCAGCTAGTTAGTTATCGCGGACTGGGAGCCCCATGTGGTGATAACTGTCGCTGTGTCCTCGGCTCCCAGCGCATGTGAAAGGTTTCGTTTCCCCCTTTTCCCCTGTTTGCTCCACCCCCGCGTGCTTGATGTCGATAGACTACCACTGTTTCCTCGAAACTAGCAAGAGATGGCGAGGAAATGCCGTCAGGGCTGGGTTCGAGTTGGCCCAAGCAGCAGCTAGGGGGATGCCATCAGGTTCTCGCTGGCCGCTCCAGGGTGCAGTGAGACATGCAAGCGGGCGTGCGAAATATATAAAATCCACTTGGTTCCCCGGATTTTCTGTCTTTTTGTCTCTGCTCTGTCCACCTCAAGTCTCACAGATTGCTCTTTGAATTCGGATTCTTCTGCACCGGTCAATAGACAGCTCGAACGCCTGCCCATCAAGATGAAGTTCTCTCACGCCCTCTTTGCCTTCGCCGCTGCCGGCCTTGCCAGCGCTCAGCTCCCAGACATCCCGCCTTGCGCTGTAGGTTGCCCAGCGCCTCGTTGAGAGACTATAGGACAATCTCATCTGACAGGATCTCTAGCTTCTCTGCTTCGTTGATGCTCTCGGCAACGATGGCTGCAGCAAATTGACCGACTTCAAGTGCCACTGCTCCAAGCCCGAACTTCCCGGCAAGATCACCCCTTGCGTTGAGAAGTCCTGCCCAGACCTTGAGGCCCGCATCTGTAAGTCCATCCCCCGCCGGCGGGGTGCCGTTTCGTGGAGAGAGATGTGCTCTAACCATCGACGTCTAGCCGTCTCCAACATTGTTGTGGACCAATGCTCCAAGGCCGGTGTGCCCATCAGCATCCCCCCAGTCGATACCCGCGTTCCCACCGATACCACGACTGCCGCTCCTCAGCCATCTGCTTGCATCCCTCGCCGCCGCCGCGCATAGGCTGGCCAGGAACCTGGGTGGTACGGCGTCCTCTGAGGCCACAGGAGGGGTTGAGGCTGCCATTGGTGCTCTGCGACAGATCTGCGCGGGAATCATGGCCTTGTAAATAGGGATAACTAAGAACTAGTTGAACCATAATGCCAATGCACACATGCACACATGCACATATTGCAATGCCTTTTTTTGTTTTTCTTCTTCGCCTTCATCAGTGTGTTTTGCATAGAAGAAAAAGAGCCTTGTAGGCTTAGTCGCAGGTGAACAATGAAAGCAGTGTCTGTCTGCACTTGTCGGGATAAAACGGAGCTGAGATTGAGACCAGATCTCGCTGTGATGATTGCAGAAGAAAAAAAAAAGAGGCTTCTCCCACACAGACGTGGCCCTGCAGTGCTACGCTTGCTCACACGGGCCCGTGCGGTATTTAAGATGATACTGATCAGAATTGTTGACCGCTAACGATGGAGCTGCAGTCCGCATCCAGCATCCGGCAACCACAGCGGCTCACAACCACCAGATGCTCGAGGGCCGGAGCGCGGATGTGAAAGCTTCCCGCTGGATCTGGAAATCCCCAGCATGCAGTGGCAATGGCAATGGCCGTATGACTTTTGCTCTCAACCGATCTCCAGTCCATGCGATGAGGCCGTCGTCGATCGCCCTCTGCGCCGTCGATGGGGCTTTGAGTCCAGGCCAGTTTTGCCGCCCTTGGCGTATTTGCTTGTTTCTCGACCAGATGCACATCCCCGTTGGAGGCACAGCAAGACACGGATGCTCGATCGCTGTCGCTTGGACGACCTACCGGCCTCTCAAGGGAAGCTCGCGAGGGCCGCCTTGACAGACAACTCCAGATCATGCAATCTGCTGGTTTCTGGGCTCTCTGAAGGCGAAAAAGCACCAGAAAGAGTTTCCCATCCAACCTTGTCCGCTGCTTCCCCGTCAAAGGGCCAGGAAGTCTCTTCGTTCCCCGTCAACTCTATCGTCGGCCACCAAGATCTTAGCAAGAAGCCCACCCTCCTGGTTGGGCCGTTTGATGTGGCTTTTCTGTCCAGGTGGCCGTGCGGCAGCGACAAGCTCAGCAGCTGGTTGTGTGCGTGGGTAGCTTAAAATACCTCCCTGCCGTTTGGCTTTGACGAGGAGAGGGGGCGAAAAAAGAAAGCAGAGTGAGGAAAAGAAAAGAAAACAAAAAAAGAGAGGAGAAAGAAGCCGTTTCCCAACGGTGGAATCATATCACCTGTCTGGCTGGATCATGGCCGTCTTTGGCTGTCGGTAGGGCCCTCGACGCCTTCAATTCCGTCTGTTCTTCTCAAAGGGAATCACTACTATACATACATCGGGACCGAAATTCTACGTGAAGCGTCCTCTCTTGCCACCTTTAACCCCCCCAGGTTCGTGGTCTGAAGAGTTGATACGCGTTCCTGCCGAGGGCATCTCAGCGATGCCTCCCAAAAGTCGAAAAGTGAGGGCTTCGGCTGCGCCGGCAACCACGGCCTCTGACGGCCCTGCAGACGGTCATCCGCCTTCGTCCAAGCAGCAGCAAGACGTGTTTCACTTTGTCAGCGTCAATCCCACGTCGGAGGTGCAAAAGTCGCACAACCGAACCGTCATCCGCTCGCATGCGAGCAAGTACATCTGGCGTCAACATCGAGCTGGGCGGTCGGAAAAAGGCGGCTCCAGAAAGCCATCCGCCAGGGACTCTGAACCTGCTCTCTCTGCTCCCGCCATCCCGAAGCCATCCACCCATGAACCATCTTGGTCCTTGCCGCCCCCTCCTACAGGCCCGGCGGAGCTGGAGTCAGGCTCGTCGTCAAGCTCGCTTGCGAGGGAATCAGAAGAGCCTCCCACCAAGGTTGAAGATTTCAATGAAGTTAAACCCTCTCCCTATACAGCCGACGCATCGCTATCGCCCGTTCTATATCGACAGGAACGTCACCCGGGGAACATTCTTTCGGCCAATATGGCGCTTGGAAACAGTTATGATCTCGTCGATGGACCGTTCAACCAGCTGACAAGTTGGCTGGCGGACCCGGGCCACATATATCCGTCGATGCTGGGCGAGTCGGCAATTAGTAAATTGATGCGATATGGTTAGTGATGTTTGGGCCGGCCTTTCTATTGTTGCTAACTAAAACCCTACTCAAATAGCTGTTTCGGAGCTTTGGCCAGGCCTTGTGCTCGGCGCCTCAAATCAAAAATGGGATCGGGAGGATGCAGCTGAGAATTGGCTACCACGGGCCATGAAGAACCCGCCTCTGTTTACAGCGTTTTTATATGGCGCAGCAGGACACATGCAGACACGAAAGCGGCTCGAGGGCGCACATTTCAGCCCGCAGACGAAGGAGGAGAAACTCGAGCAGATTGTGTGCGAGACCGAAACGATCAAGCAGCTGAATCAGATGATGCAGAAGCCGTCGCAGGCTTGCTCGGACGAAGTCATTCTGGCGGTGCTGTGTATGGCATTCAACCGGATCGACTACTCCGGGTGGACCGTGTCCGACCCATGGCCCAAGGCACCGCTCCGAAATCTTCAATGGCTCGACGTGTACGGGGGGCTCTCGCTCAACGACCACCACATTAAAGGGCTTCTTGCGCTGATTGAGATGCGAGGGGGGTTGTCGCAGATGAAGATGCCGGGTTTGGCGGAAACGTTATCCACGTAGGCACATTTTCTCTACTGGGGTTCGATGTGGGGGCATGTGGGCTGATGATGCTTGTTGTAGGTCCGGAGTGATGCTCTCCACGAAATACCTCGTCAAGCCACGGCTGCCGTTTGTGCCCATATTCGAGGAGACGGCAGAGGGTCGAACGCCCCATTGGCCGACGCTGCTGAACCCGGCCATGATAGAGGGCCAGCCGGACCCGATCGCCACGGCCGGGTTGCCCGCGGACATCAGCGAGATCCTTCAATGCATGCGAGACTACAACAACGTGATCAATGTCTACTCGCAGGGCCTCCTCCCCGAGCTGGAACTGGCGGTCATCGCCGACCGGCGCAACTGGATCCAATACAATCTGGTCTCATTGCGGTCGGTGTACGAATACCACGAAGCATTCTTCGACGCGCACAAGACCTACGAGATGTGCCGGCTGGCGGCCATGATCTACAGCATGCTGGTGATCTTCCCGCTCCCAGCGGCGAACCGGCCGTTCAAGCGGATTGCGTCGATGGCGCGGATGGCGCTGATGGAGACGGAGACGGAACCCGACCCGTTTGCCAGCTGGCGCCCGGGGCGCGAGATGCTCCTGTGGGCGCTGGTGCTGGCGGGAATGGCGGCCAAGGGCACCCCGGACCGGGAGTGGTTTGTGGGCAAGCTGGCGGCAGCGCTGGCGACGGCGGGGCCGGGCACGTGGGAGGAGGTGAAGGAGGCGCTGGGGCAAGTGATGTGGATGGACAGCGTGTGCGACATGGGCGGGCAGGCACTGTGGATGGACGCGATGCTGGCGGGCGGTGCGGGAACTGGATCCACGGCCGGATCCATCTGAATCTGAATCTACAGGCGCTTTCCGGGGGATGCGCGTGCGGGTCTGAGCGCTGGATTATTTTACCTTTTTTTTTTTTTTTTTTTTTTTTTTGGATATTTATTAACTATCTAATTGAACTAGCCAATGATGAATTGGATATGAATTGAGAGCTGCAATCATCCGAACTGCAGCCAGAATATCGCCGCTGCAAAACTCGATTTGGTGGCGGAACGAAGAGGCAAAACCTGGTTTGCTGTGTTTGCCTCGGGGAAATCTCTATCAAAGGCGAAATCAAGTATCTGGTACTTGTGATTCCTGCCAGACGACAGTGAGGATGGCGGTACCCGCGACCTCTGGTTCCCTGCTTGAGAAAAGCTAGACTGAGCCTTGCTGACCTCAGCCGCGCTAAGCCCGAGCCGGCCTAGCGTGTGCAATTTTCGTCTTTTTCGCTTTCCTTCTTCTTCTTCTTCTTCTTCTTCTCAACGTCAACCCATCCGCTTCCTCCTCCTCGCATCCCATCTTCTACCTTGAGTGTTCTTCTTTTGCCTTCTTTTCTCTTATCTTCACACCCCTATTGTTGCAAAACTAGACCTTAGATCGAGAGAGAGATACAGTCGTCTTCTATTTTTCTATCTCTCTTTTCATTCCAGCACATCGCCACCGCACAGTCGAGTGAAGAGTCTTCCTTTTGAAACTGACACCAGCCGTTTGTTTCTGACACTCTTTTCTCGTCTTCCTTTTTCTTCAGATCGGTCTTTACGAGTCTGAAGCTTTCGCCAACCAAGCGACGAAGCAACATCCTTGCAATCAATCCCCTTGTCTCTTGGTGCGTGGAACCCTGCGCCCTCGTTTTCTTCCTTCACTCCGCTCCTGCTAACCCGTTTATTCTCCTTTAGAATCAATAGTAATCATGGCTGAATCTCTGAAAATGGCCGGCCTCTCCCTTGAGGACTCTCAGCATGCTCCAAACCACGCCACTGGACGGGCTCCCTATATCCCTCCCCATCTCCGTGGCCAGCAGCAACGCGGTCCCGTCCCCATGGATGGTCCCGCGCCGCAAGCTCGTGCTCCCATGCCCTCTGGTTCCTTTGCTGCAAAGTACGTATTTCTCGCGTCCTCATCCCCCCCACATATCCATTGTGTTTTGTAGTCTCTAACCCTGTGGTGACAGTGGTGCTCCCAACAACTGGGCCCCGCGTGGAGCTAATGTGAACGGTGCTCCTGGCTGGAATGCTGGCAGCGCACCTCGCTTCGACCCAAATGCATACGGCCATCCTGGTCCTCGTGGCGGCCAGAACTACGGTGGTGCTGGCAGCGCTCCTAGTGCTGGTGCCGCTCGCGGATCTGGTGACGGTCAGTGGCGCGATGGAAAACACGTTCCCGGCCCTGCCAATGCCCGCCTCGAGCGTGAACTCTTCGGTGTCCCCAACGACCCAACCAAACAGCACACTGGCATCAATTTTGCCAACTACGATGATATCCCTGTTGAGGCCTCCGGTCACGACGTTCCAGAGCCAGTGACAACATTCACAAACCCACCCTTGGACGACCATTTGATATCGAACATCAAGCTTGCCAGCTACAAAACCCCAACTCCGGTGCAAAAATACTCCATTCCGATCGTCATGGGTGGTCGCGATCTGATGGCCTGTGCTCAGACCGGCTCCGGAAAGACCGGTGGTTTCCTGTTCCCAATCCTGTCCCAAGCTTTCAAGAATGGTCCTTCTGCCGTCCCAACCCAGAATGCCAACCAGTTCAGCTATGGCCGCCAGCGAAAGGCGTACCCCACTTCTTTGATCTTGGCCCCAACCCGTGAGTTGGTCTCTCAGATCTACGACGAAGCCCGCAAGTTTGCTTACCGCTCCTGGGTTCGCCCATGTGTCGTCTACGGTGGCGCGGACATTGGATCCCAGCTTCGCCAGATTGAACGCGGCTGTGACCTGCTCGTTGCCACTCCTGGGCGTCTCGTGGATCTAATTGAGCGTGGACGCATTTCCCTCTGCAATATCAAATACCTCGTCCTCGATGAAGCTGATCGCATGTTGGACATGGGTTTCGAGCCACAGATTCGCCGTATCGTTGAGGGGGAAGATATGCCACCTGTCAATGGCCGTCAAACACTCATGTTCTCTGCCACATTCCCTCGCGACATCCAGATGCTCGCCCGTGACTTTTTGAAGGACTATGTCTTCTTGTCCGTTGGTCGTGTTGGCTCCACTTCGGAGAACATTACCCAAAAAGTTGAGTACGTCGAGGATAACGACAAGCGTTCCGTCCTTCTCGACATTCTTCACACCCATGGAACCGGCCTGACGCTGATTTTCGTCGAAACCAAACGCATGGCCGATTCGCTTTCCGAGTTCCTTATCAACCAAAACTTTCCCGCCACTGCCATCCACGGTGACCGCACTCAACGTGAGCGTGAGCGTGCTCTTGAATATTTCCGAAATGCTCGCTGCCCCATTCTGGTTGCGACTGCAGTGGCTGCTCGTGGCCTCGATATCCCCAACGTTACCCATGTCGTCAACTACGATCTGCCAACCGATATTGACGATTACGTGCATCGTATCGGTCGTACCGGTCGTGCAGGTAACACCGGCCTGTCCACCGCTTTCTTTAACCGTGGCAACCGAGGTGTCGTCCGTGACTTGATCGAATTGCTCAAGGAAGCCCATCAAGAGGTCCCGGCGTTCTTGGAGAACATCGCTCGTGAGGGCAGTGGGTATGGCGGTCGTGGCGGCGGTCGTGGTGGAGGCCGAGGCCGTGGCTCAAACACTCGGGATATGCGACGCATGGGTGGTGGTGCCCCACCATCGATGGGCAGTGCTCCTTCCTATGGTGGCAGTTATGGCGGTGGTACCAACAACTATAGCAGCGGCGGTAGCTTTGGCGGCGCTCCATCATACGGTGGTGGATACAGCGGCGGCGGCGGCAGCTATGGAGGCGGCAGCTACGGCAACCCATCCGGCCCTACCGGTCCATCATCTTGGTGGTAAATTACTGTGTCTCTTAACATGACCGCGGGAGTTCTTGGTTGGGTCTTTCTCTTATCGGCGAGCTTTCTCGACATAATTGGACGGATCAGACTGAGGCTCGATTTCTTGCGTCCGAACGGTTTGGTCATGATTTGCGACGAATTTCTTTTCTAATCGGTGTTTTAACTCATTTCGTGCGCTTTCTACATTGATTTCAGTTATGGTTTAGATGCGCTGTTCGATGCAGTCCGATCTTTGCTTTCGGGCCTTCCTTGCATTGTGGTCGTTGGGCTTGTTCGATCCAGATTGCATGAACATCATAGATAGCGTTGTTTTTCCTCTTTCTGCGACCGCTTAATTCAGATACCCCTTATGTCGTTCTGCCGCTGAAAGAGGAGCTGGCTCGAGCGAATTCGAGCGGGCACGCATTAATGCTTTTCGTTTTCCCCGAAAAAGTGCTTCTTACGATTTTCATGCCGTCTAATGTTTGCCCGAGCTGCATCGATCTGCGCTTTTTTACATAGATCTCTTGCGTTTTGCTTTTCGTTTTTCCGTGATTTTCGTTTTTGTCTCAGTTTGTTATGGCTGCTTTTCTTCACGATTCGGGTCTTCCAATCCGTCGGCTCCCAATTCTTCGATTCTACGCGACTTTCAGAGAGTGTCCGTTTTGCCTCTGCTTCATTCTTCGCCTCGAAAAAACTGGGTGGGAAAAATCTTGGTGTTGAGCTTTGTGATATGGGCTTCGAGCGTTTACTTGGCACTAAGAACGTCCCTCCTTGACGCACGGCGAAACGACGGTGGTTAATAGACGGGTTTTTTTGCATTGCATAGCGGCGTTTTTGAATTTCCAACCGACCTACGGAACAGGGCGGGAAACAGATATTCTCTTTCCATCTTCGATGGGGTTGACCTAAAGGTTATCGATATCATTTGGGACGATTTCGTTTTCTTCCGGACTTCTATCATGATGGGAAGGAGAATCTACATGGAGATTTGAACACACACTTTCAGATGAATGGTTATTCGACTTGAAGCCCACGTTTTTCAATCGTCGACCGTTTTGAAGCACGTCGCCATCGGCAGTGAGTTCTGGGAGATGGAGTCTTGCTTTTCCGTCGCTGTTGTTTTTCCTTCGGGGCGAATAATAATACCTCTTGTTTGTTCCTTTTTTGAGGAGAGGCCTTTTCAGCGTCTTGCATGGACATCCGGATTGAATTTTTTACTACTCGCGTTCAAAGGGATTCCCGGGGGTACAAGGAGGACACTTTTGAATCTGCTTAATTCGTGAAGGAAAGCAGTGAAGGAGAGGACGGAACAAAAATAGTTGCTATTTTCTTTTACCCATTAGTAGTTAATTGCAAATGGTACATACTGAATGATATGAAGTAGTGCCAACAGCCAGAATCTCCAGCCATTTATAAAACATCTGCATCAGGTTGCACTATCATTCGGCTGGCTTTGCCTTGGTCCGGTCAACAAACTTGATCACCTTGTTCCCGGTCTTGCTACGCTCAAAATCCTTGTCGCTCTGCACAAACGTGATGGTGAGGAGGTGTGCATTGATGGGGAGGAAGCCGAAGAATCGTTGGATCCTCTCGACCACGGCGTCTCGCGACAGCAGTGTGACGGCGCCGGAATCAGGGCGGAAGAGGCGAACTTCCATCGCGATCTCGGGGGTGCCCGGGGTGTAGCTGTGGACAATCTGCCATTGCAAGATGCCGTACTCTTCCGTGCGCATCAACGCCTCGATCTTGCTGAAGCTGAAGTACTCCGCAAACCACTTGAAGCTGAAGCGTCGGTCACGCCCGTACAACCGCAGAAGCTTCATGTGCTGCGCTTCCTCTGCCGGGATCTTCGCCAGGGCAGCGGGCGGCAGTGGATGGACGGAGCCGAGATCACCAGATACGTACCGCACCAGCGGGTGACGCAGCCGCTGGAGGGAAGTCTGCACGATGATGCCCGGCTGGCCTTCGGGAACTTCGCCCACAGTCTCATCGGCGGGCGTCTCGGTGTCTTCCACAGACGGCGGCAGCACCTCCAGCAGCATCGCACGCGTGTCGTAGATGAACTCGGTATGGTCGTCCTCCGTGTCGCCCGTCAGGTCCAAGTTCGCCACTGCCCATGCTCCGGCCTCAGAGCTGCCCATTATCGAGCAGATCGTCACAGGGCCCAGGATGGATCGGATGAAGGCTCTCTGCGTGCGGATCAATGGTTCGGAGGTGTAGAGGATCTTGGTGATCTTGATGGCCTCTCGCTCCGCTGCCGGGAGGGAGGCGATATAGGCTGCGATCTGGACCATCTGGCTCCCGTCTCCGGCTACGACATTGATTCGATGGCTTACAACCGCCCGGACAACGTCGTCGTGGGACATGTAGTGGCCCGCGCAGAAAACGCCTCCGCCCGCCTGCTCCACGATCTCGGTGACCAGGTCAAGAGCCCTGTCCGAGACGGCATCAAGTCAGCGCTTCCGCTTCATTTCTCTGGCCCGATAGGAAGACAGCATACCGATAGAATGAGCCTGAGATATGCATTGAGAGAGTTAAGTCTCCTGGCTCAATCAAACCACAATCCTTGACCAACGCGCCGATTGCGTTTCGATGCCGCCGGTTCTCAGCGGAATCGGTGACAAACATCATGGGAACTCCGCCAGAGCCTCCGCCAGTGACGCTGATGTATCCTTGCAGGCGATATCCATTGCGAGGGCTGGTGTCGCTCGAGAGCCGCTGGATGGTCTGATACCTATTCGAATCGACGTGTAAATAAGATGGAATTGAGGCAATAGAGCAGCGAGATAAATCGCCGGCGACCTACAGACGCTCCTTGCGCATAAGAGGAAAGCTCTTCAAGTCCAGCGCATTTTGTTGTTTGGCCGCCGCAAGGGTTTCAGCAAAAGCCTCCGGTGTCGAAGGGTACTCTGCAGCGGAGTAGAACGGATGGACACTGGCACTCGCAAGGATATCAGCGAGGGAATAGAATCTGGACGCCATTCCGGCCGTTTATTTTAAATGCCCTCCTCTGTCAGTTGATGGGAACACAGAATCCCTCGTGGTCAATCCTCCGGACTTGTTGCTTTTGTGCAAAGCGTCCGCGATTCACGACTCTACCGAGTACATATATATTATGCCCCCCTCAGTTCGTGCTTGGTTCATGCAGCAGCTCTGGGCGATTTGATAATAACCTCAGGCAAGAGACATGCGCCTGAAGCGAGCATCATCACGGGAGGGCCGAGTCATTGTGCTGCTCATCTTGCGCCGCTTGTCGTTGGGACTGGGGGATTGGCCCTGACGATTTTCGCTTGACTTGCTTTTCTTTTTTTGGTGGCTGGCGAAGGTCAAAAGGCTCAAGCCGACAGCAGAAGGGCCGCCACCAGCTCATTGACGCCCTGCTTACCCTGGCGTCTGCCAGCTAGCCATCCGCGATCGAAAGAGGAGAAGCAGAATCGTGGCAAGGGCCTGCATGATTCCCAACGATTATGTCCGATCGCATGCCGCCGTCTCTCGCTTTTGGGAGACAGCAAGGGGATCTGCACGTCAACGCTGCGAGGGCAGGGATTGCGGTTTGTGATGAGTGGCTGGACGGGATTTTGATATTGACGGACTCAGACATTCAACCATTTGTTTTCAAAAAACTCAATTAGTTACTCTTGGGATTTCGACCCGTCTACTCCGTAGTTACAGTGGAACTACAGCAGGATGACGGAGAGCCGATCATCGAGATGGTTCAGTCTTGCATCCGGAGAAGCTAACTAGCCAAATGCGAGGAGTTTATACTTCGTATTGCGAACACATTCACACAACTCGCGAATCCCCCGCAACGAATGGTCGAGCATCCCAGCGCACTCGACGCAAGTGGCGATGTGGATCTCTGACCTCGCTCCGGGCGTGAAGCCACCGCCTGTTGTTGATCAGGATCACTGATCCTCGAGGAAGCAATTCGGGCGTCAGGTGCAGTGTCGCCGCCTTGGCCTGCGGGCTCGACAGCACTGCTCCAAGCTCCTGAAGCGCCATCTTCGCGCCGGCAGTGAGGGGACAAAGGATTTCTTCGCGAAATCGAAACTCGGGTGCCCCGTTACCAGGATCTTCTCCCAGTAAGCCGGCGGTGATGTGCCGCTCGTCACTCTTGATGAATTCAGGAGGGACTGTGATGCGATATTCGGGCCTGGACAGCGACGTCCTCGTCGACGGGGACAGTAGACGTACAAGCATATCGATGCTGAGAATCGACAACGTCCCTCCGCCGCAGCGATCGGGCTGCAGCACCTGCAAAGCAAAGAACCGGGGCGGAAGGTGCTCGTAGCTGCAATCCGTATGCCATGGAAAGTCCTGTGCCGTTTCTGAGCGAGCCGGCTTATCCGCCGTTGGATGCGCGCCAGGGAGAGGGCGGACGTCCCAGAACCAGCCCCGAGACGCGGAGTGCGTAATGGGCAGGCCATGTCCGTGGTGCTTGTGCAGGCCCAGAATGAGCTGTTGCATGTAACGGCTCTCGTCGTCCTCGAAACCCAATTTGATCTTCAAAACTCCCGTTTCGTCGAGCAGCTCGTGGACGGAATCGATATGCGCCCGCTCGTCTGCGCAGCTAGGACTGGGTGCACGCAGCTGGGCGATAGTAGAGTTATGACGACCTGGGTTCTTGAATAAGCATTCTTGTACGCACTTTTTTGTGTTGGGTGACGGTTGGTGCGACACTTACATGATGAAAGACGACGGCCTCGCCCAACAGCTCCCAGGCCTGGCTTACACACCCTGCGCAGGGTATGCCACATTGTAGTGTATCACAAATTCGAACCCCTTCTAGCTTTTGCAAGCCTCAATGGCAATGCGTGTTGAAGACAGAAGCCCTGGGAAAAGTGGGAAAAGAGCGAGCACTTGTTCTGGGTCCAACCCAGGCCAATATATATGACGACGTTTGGGCATCCGAGCCTCTCAGTCGGGAACTTCGCGATGGTTGGAACCAATTCTATATGTAGTTACTGGAGAGATCCTCAGGCAGGCAGCCTCCGATCGCTCGTTCTTCAGACCTGGATCCATTATTGCACCGTCACCGTGCCAGTCCTTCTGACGGAATGCTCGGTACACGAGGGCAGAGCTTCGCAATCCTTGAAGCCCTTCTTCAAAGGGGTGGTGCTAACTGCGGATATTTTAAATCGCACTGGAGAGTGGGCAATCATGGTTTGGCTTGCCACAGCCATGAACGATGATCAAACCAATCCGCAGGGCCCTGGCATCTCGTCGACAGCCACTTGCTGTCCATCAGGGGCCGAACCGGATGAAGCCGAGCATCAGCTCAGCCGCCTTGACTTTGCTCGCTCAGTCGAGCTAAACGTTTTAACGCTGCTTAGCATCAGCCACAAGCGAATATTCACTCAAAAAAAGCCCGGTCATCGCCGAAGATCCCAAAATGAGGGCGTTGGCGACTGTTCGATTCGTTGCAAGCCTGCCCAAAGGCCCTCGATGGATAATTCGTCAACGATGTTGAACAGGCTGTAGATCAGGGTTGGCTGGCCTGGGATTCGGATCCAAGCTACTGCAAAGAATTGAGTCTGTCATCACGGAAGGAGACCGGATCAAATAACTAATGAATAGTCGGGCGGGAGCAGATCTCAGATCTCGCATATAAAGCTTGGATAAAAAGACACAGCCATCCCCCGTCTCTGCTCCGGTTAGTTAACTAGTTAGCATATAACTTCACATCCACAATGTCGTCTGTTCATGAAACTGGTGTGCCGCCCGGCTATGGGATGCACACCATTCCCCCTACTGTCCATGCCGCGATCCGAAAACATTTGCAGACAGGCCCTTCACATAAAGAGTCATTCTATGTTGTTGATGAAGAATTCATCCACAGCCAGCTGAGAATGTGGGCAAGCAAGTTCGGGCATGTTCAACCCTTTTACGGTGAGGCTCCAAACCGCAGGGCCGTATGCATATGGACTGACAAAAAGCGTAGCCGTCAAGTGCAACGACAATCCAAGGCTGTTGAGCATTCTTGCAAAGCACGGAACGGGGTTCGACTGTGCTTCCCAGTCAGAGATCAAACGGATTCTTGACCTTGGGGTAAAGCCAGATCGGATTCTCTACGCGGCGCCCATCAAGTCCGAAGATCATATTCTATATGCCAAAGAGCATGGCGTGGTCCAGACAATGTTTGATAGCGAGGACGAGCTGCGGAAGCTGGTCAAGCTGTTTCCCCCGGCGCAACTGTACCTCCGCCTCTGGGCAGATGACCCTACTTCCCGTGTTCGCCTTTGCGACAAATTCGGGGTCCAGTTACCGCAAGCGAAGAGACTACTAACATTGGCGAGAGAATTAAACATGACGGTAGTCGGCCTCTGCTTCCATGTGGGCTCGAGCGCATCGGATTGTGATGCATATCGGCGAGCAATTGCGCTCAGCCGAGAAGTTTATGACTACAACGAGAGCTTCGGTGCGGACAAAAGGCATCCCATACGGACAATCGATGTCGGCGGTGGATTTTCCCGTGGCAATTTCGACAACGCAGTAAGGGCTATAAACGAAGGCATCCAGGAACATTTCGGGGCGGACAACCAGCTGCGATGGGTCGCTGAACCGGGCCGTTACTTTCCAGACGAAGCGTTCCATCTGGTGTGCCGGGTGATTGGGACACGGCCTCGCCCATCTTTAAGTGATGAACCCCCTCCAGGGGAAGCATTTCCCGTTGGTGACGTGTATATTAACGACGGTATATATCGCAACTTTTTGAACGCTATAACCGAGCAGGTAGTACCGCCGGCTCGATTGCTTGATTGCACTGGCTCGCCGTATGTTCGGGGTGACGACACAGAGGATACATATGTCCTCTGGGGCCAGACGTGCGACAGCTTTGACAAGATAAACAGCAGCTGCGTGCTCCCGCGGCGGGCCAAGGTTGGCGATTGGGTCTATTTCCCGTCAATGGGAGGTAAGTTGTCTTGTATCTGTTTGCCCCTGCACTCTCGAAAAGCGGCAGCTGACCGGATCCCCAAGCGTACACGCATGTCACTGCAAACGACTTTAACGGGTTCCCCAAAGATACACAGACCATCTGGATTCCCAATTCCACCGAGGAATCCAAAAATGCAGTCTCAGCGCCATTTAGAACGCTGAAAACACTGCATTACTACGTTGTGAGCGCATTCAGCCTGCCGGGATACGCTGCTAGGGAAGCCGAGCGCCCCGGACTGAAAGCCAGTGGTGAGTTGGCAGCCTTCAACTCGAATGCCGGGTTGGTCGGCAAGTTTTTTGCGGGTGCCAGAGCCCTTCACATCTTTTCGGGGGCGCGCCATGACGAGCAGTGAAAGCTCAAAAAGCCATCAAGGACATTGGCGGCATGGGGCTGACGGCGTTGGATCATAGGCTACTATCTCTCTGGCGGCAGGCAAGCTTCTCTTGGTTGAGAAGCATAATGTATATTCAGTTTCTGGCAGCTGTCTCCAATATTCGGAAGTGGATATGTGGCATTGCAACATGTAGTTTACTCTTTCAATCGAAGCCGGAATCCCGGCGTTTGCTAAACGGGGCGTATCGCTGCAACAACTGTTCGCAAGGACGTTGACTCTTTGCTCTGCCGTTGCACACGGCTGGATATGCTGCGGTTGACGATATATCTGGCCAACCAGCCCGACAGCGGATGTAGCACGGTGTCTCGCGCAATGGATTCGCAGATTGCAGATAGGATTCCGTGTAGCCCTGCTATTCTGATAGTTCTTTTAGGCATGGAGCGACTGCAGTTCCGAGTCCGGTTTGAGCGACCTTGTGAGATCTGAGCAGTCGCATCCGATGGGATACAGCGTAGATCCATGTCACCAGGCGGACTTGTTCGCTACGACGATGGCGGAGAGGAGCTTCGTGATAATCCCAGCGAGACTGGCGAAGTTGCTGTGAAGGGAGTGGACGCGCGCACGAAGCCGCGGTGGCGATCTGGCTGGGCTCCAGGCCAATCTGCAATCGTATAACAAACGCCAAAATCCCTGAAGCAGCCGTTCTGGCGCACCATTGGACGTGTGACGGAGCGTGTTGGACGCCTCCCGGCATTCGGTTCTCCCCTAGTGGCCTCGCTGCACATCAGTCGAAGCCTGCATGAAGCGATCGGCTGAGCTGACGGGCAGAGGCTCCCGGCCATTTTAGCACCATGGACGGTAGAGGCACTCGGTACAAATTCTCGCTGTCAGGCTGGAGGGTATGAAAAAAAGAGCACGCAGTTATTGAGAGCGCTATGATGGCAGCATCCACCGCTGTACAGACGGAGAAGAGCAGCCGAGCAAGTCTCCAGCAGATATGCCTGCTGGAAAGTGACGGCGAGCGAGTGGTGCCGCCGCTCCGTGCGGAATCGTCCATTCGAGCAGAAGAAAAAGAACAGCTGGAATCCCTTCTCCTGCGCCAGTATCCTCGCGAATCGTGGGCCAAGGAGTCGTACCGCGCCGCCTGCCCACATCCAATATTGGTGCACCCGCAGCATTATCAGAATATCCAAGCGCTGCAGGAAGCACTGGCTCTCGCCGTCACCAATATCGTCGAACGATGGTGGAGTGATACCGCCGCTGATTTTCCCCGCCGGATGCCTTTGGAGCCACAGGAGGAGGATCTGCTACAGGTAACTAGCCCTTTTTTTTTGTTTCTTCCTGTGCGATTCACCTGGCGAGAATGACAGCGCTGACCCGGGATTCTCGCAAGGTCTAGTGGATGGAGAATGAAGGGCGAGATGGGATCCGTCCGTATAAACAATGCCTCGGATCCTGGCGACCCGATTTCCTCGTTGAAGAGACATCACACGCCGCGGGTCGCGAGTCGATAGCAGAGCGATTTGCCATCTGCGAGATCAATGCCCGTTTCTCGTTCAATGGCTTTTGCATGAGCGAAGCCGGCCAGCAGGGCCTAGCTGACATGGGGGCGACGCAGAAGCATCTGCTCAACGTCTTGGAGCCTGGTCAAGTGAGGGACCGCCATCTGCGTGCAGTCGACGACAGGATGCTGACAGAGCTAGGTCATTGAGGGATTGCTCAGCTTGTTCGACACGAGCCGCCCGTTGCACCTCCTAAAGGGTGAGGAGTACGGAGTCGATATCCATCTCTTCGCACACGAGGTCGAGCGGCGGGTTGGAATGCGCCCGAGATTCATTACGCCAGACGAGCTACGGTTGGTGCCGAGTCAGGATGCCAGGTTTGGCTACAAGCTGTGTGCCATCGCCAGGGACGAGGACAGCCAGCCGCCCAGCTCAGGCCGCGATAGCATCGTCGGCAAGCCTCGCCGGGCAGCCAGATTTGTCCACAACGCAGAGGTTCTCGAGGAAGTCCATCAGGTGGCCTTGGAGCTGCACCAGCGGGAGCTGCGAGCATTGTCCCCGGAGATGCTACGGCAAATCGCGCTGCGCTGCTTTAACGATATGCGAACGATACTCCTTGTCCACGACAAGAGGATGCTGGGGATAGTATTACAGGAGTTAGACGACCTGGTCGCCAGACACGGCGTGCTGACTGAGGAACAGGCGCTAGTTCTACGAGATGGCATTGCACAAACCATTATCCCAGGCTCACCCGCCATGGAAGCGTTTATCCGCCAGTGCGAAAGCGAGCCGGGCCTGAAGGACGGTTATCTTTTGAAGCCCATTCGAAGCGGGAAAGGGGCGGGAATCATTTTTGGAGACGAAGCCTCTCTCGAGGAATGGAAAGACAAGCTCGAAGCTCTCCGGCAGCCGGCTCTCACGCCAGGCCAGACCAGCTACATTGTGCAACGCCAGGTCAAGCAGCCGACCTACGGTGTGCTGCTCCGCGAGCAAGACGGCCTGCAGCACAACAGGCTGATCGGGACCTATCTCTCCGTGAATGGAAAGTTCCTGGGACTTGGGGTCTGGCGCAGTGGGCCGGAGCGCATCTGTGCCGTCAGCCATGGAGGCGCGTTCCTATTCTCCGTGATGAGCTCGCGGCACCAGGTGGCAGCGGCCAGGGGAGGAGGGAGTGTATCCAGATACGTGCAGCGGCTGCACTCGATCGGTTCCTGGATGAAGAGGCGGCTTACTCTACGTCTGAAGAATGTGGATTAGACTCTGTAGACGATGAGGCCGTATTGGTTTCCTGTCAGTATTTAGACGGTGCTTTCTATAGAGTTGCGGCCCGAGTACACTACACTAGACTTTCAATAACTACTTTAGAGCTGATATGGAAAGCTTGTAATCAAGGGACTGCGAATATTATGATATGGGCTCTGGTGGCTGGAGGCCCTGGCTTTGACCGTGTCTCGTTGATTGAGGAATCAGATTCTCTTCTCAAATCACCAGTCAATGCATTTAAGCAATTCCAACACGCACTCGCTCTGCCTTTTGGACAAACCACTTGTTTGAAAGTGCACCTTGATATTATCGACTGAGATGGCCCCAGTCCAGTATCCTGTCAAGCGCCTGAAGCGCACACCCGGCCCCGGCTGGACCACAACGCTGTTTGACGGTGCTGAATCCGAGAGGCTGAGGGACTACGAGGAAGGCGGCCTGTGTCCCATCATCATTGATGATGTCTTGTCCGGTGACGATCTGTTTTGTCCAGGACAGACACATTCTTTCAAGGTCGTTGGCAAGCTGGGCTGGGGATCCTATTCCACTGTCTGGCTGGGTCGGGAAATGTAAGGCTTGCGTTTATGTAGTCTAGCTGCACTGAATCTGTCTCTTGCTGACTCGATGGGACAGGCAGTCTGGCCGGTTTCTGGCTTTGAAAGTCCTGAGGCGAGAGCACAGCACACGAGATAACGCTGAAATGAGGATCCTGAAGCAGCTCGGGAGGCTGCAGCTGGCCTTCTTCCACACTCATCAACCTACTCAGGATCAGTTTCTGTGCCTTGGGCTACTGCCGCTTGGAGCTACCCTTCAAGAAAGGATTGCACCCCGGAATATCACTTCCATCTACGCTCTCATCAGTGCCCGCCTGACAAAGGTGCTTGCTCTGCATGAGCAGGGCATCTGCCATGGTGGTGAGTGAATGCTTTGGCTGGGAATCCGTTAAATTACCTAGTCACTGACTTCTTTATAGATATCAGCCATGCAAATATTGCTCTAGGAGTGCACCCTGAAGCCTTGCACGAGACCTTCCGATGGGATGACAGATCATACATCCAGCTTGTGGAAGTCCCTGGGCCACCACCGCCTCGCCCAGCCAATCTCCCAGAATATATTGTCTTCCATCAATTTCCCCTCCAGACAAACAGAGACGATCTGTCGCTGCTGGATATCATTGATTTTGGGAAAGGTCTGTCCGGTGGATGAATCTAGTCAGTTTGGCGGGCATTGCTGACTGTATTGAAGCATTTGATACACCCACCAAGGATGGAATGTTCGGCACTGGGCCTTTTCGTGCCCCTGAGCTGAGGAATCCGGATACCTCAACTGCCAGTAAAAAGACAGACCTCTGGAGTCTGGGCTGTCTAGCATGTCTATCCTCCCGCTGCCCTAAATGGATCATATTTATTAACCCGTCTCTGTCTAGATTGTTTTTGCCCTCACCACTGAACATTTGTTTGCTGAAGAAAAGCTTCTCTCAAAATACTGTGGTACGGGACCTTGTGAGAAATCAGCTGGATTTGGGTAACTGACATAGCCCAGCTGGTGATGACAACGTGCAGCTTGCCATCATTGAGGAAGCTCTACGGTTCCATATGTCCTTGGAAGCTTCTGCGGAATATAGAGCCTTGGTTTGCCAGCTCGTCCATGCCCTGGTACAGGTCAATCCTAGCCAGCGTGATCCCGAGAAAGCCATGCAGTTGCTCCGCCAGTTGGAGTTTTGTATTGCTGATGACCATGTTGAATAGACAATTGAGTATAGTGGATTCGCAATCTGAATAGACCTGATCTGTAGAGATGATTATTTTCAAGCTGGGAATGTCTTTTTTAGATGTTGGCGTAACTAGTTGAGTAGATCTCGGCAGTCTAAACACTGTCGTTGTTCAACTTGTTAGTGCGTCGAGCTTATCCAGTTGGTTTTGTTCAACCTCGAAACTCCTCCTGTCTCTCTTTCTTCTGCTCGAGTCACCAGCATCTCCTGGACGATGTCCCTGTCGTCTCGCACTGCGATAGTCGGGCAATGCGCTGCCTGCATCCTCAGATTTTGCTTTTGATTAACTATTCACTGCCGCCCCAATCTACCCGTGATCTATCCATCTAACCTCGCCCTTCACCTGTCCACCACCTGCACCGCTGACCCGCCACGGCACTTCTACGATGGCTGACAGCCATGATCCTGCATCTCGTGGCCGCTCCCCCTCACCGACGCCCAATTCCCATAGCCCTTCCTCGTCCCGACCGAAACCTGAGCCGTCTCCCGCGTCGCGTCCCCCCCGCGTAAATGGCATTGCTCGCGCGGATCACGACGAGACAGAAGACACAAAAATGGCGACGCCTTCCCGCAAGGCCTCCGTGTTGCCCGCAGCCGCAAGCCCGCCTGCCAACCCGGTGCTGCCGTCAGATGTAGATTCGTCCCGCCAAAAATCCGGGCGTCCCAATGCCGAACCCGCTCAAAGCGCCTGGGAAAAGCCTGTCAAGCCTCGGCGCGCAGAGAACGTCGATCCATCCGGCACCCGTCGCGATACCAACACTCGACGGCCGTCCGACCCCCAGCCGGCTACAGAAAGCGCTCCCGCAAGTACTCGGAAACAGACAAATGGCACGATCGGCTCCGTCTACTCGGGCAACAAAATCAGGCATCTGAAAAAGGATGATGGCATTCCCCTTTGGCGAAAGGACATCCAGTACGAGTTCTTGAGACTCGTCTTCGCAGACAAGACGCCGTGCTTCACTCGGTTTCCCGAGGGTGATAAGAATTTCACGTTTACGGATATCTATCTTGATGCGATGGCGAAAAGCAGCAAGACAAGCAAGATACTCAAGGAAAAACTGCAGACCGAAAAGTCCTCGGCAATCAACATGGCCATGGTGTGCCTTCTTGTGAACTTTGGGAGGATGAATACAACCCTGAACTGTGAGTGCATGAATGTACGGTCAAAGCATAGCGATTTGTGCGGCTAATACCCAGATAGTCTTCCCGGAAATGCGTGCCCAACTTCGAACCTACCACTCGATCCCGTCCCTCCAAGCCCACCAAGACTCCAATGCGTACAAGCAGCTGCAGGATGCACCCCGTCTCAAATCGATCCTCAAAGGCGCCTCCGAAGACGTCGAGCAGCCGGGTACGGTGGAGAAAGTCAAGAGTCTTCCGGTCCCTCGCACGAACCCCGTCAATCTCATTTTCGTCTTGTCCCACTACGCTCCGAAGATATCGGAGCTCCACTTTCAGCCCCCGGGAGATTTCTTCGACTTGGTGATGCGACCAACGCTGAGTAGTAAAAGCCGTGCCAGGGCGTTTTTGTGGCTGATGTGGTATTACCTGGAAAGTGATTTCTCTGAAAAGGCCGCCTTGGAGAACCCTTTCGGTCCCGGCACTGTTGGGGAAGGGAGCCAGGGTTTGCCGCTCAAAGTGCCTGGGCTAGAGGAACTCACAGAACAAGAGGCTGAAGCTGAGAACGTGGACTCACCGGAGGAAATCCGGTATGGTGAGGAGAAGCAACGGGAGCGAAAGCGTATGTACCCGCGCTTTACTACTTTGACAAACTGATGACGGCGGCTGATTTGTATCAACCAGGGATCTTGGAAGAGGACGATGTTATCTTCCGGCATGCCAAGCGCCCGAAAAAAGGTGATAACCCGCTACACTCGACCGACCCTTGTGTCCATGTGTGAATTCTATATTCTGACCATTGCTTTCTTTTTTGCATTTAGATTATGCAAGCGACGACCAAGCTTCCGAGGACACAATGCTCACCAGTCATACTTCGAGACGAGATCGGAGCGCTGCCGGCGGGCGTCGTAGTGACGTTTATGGGTCGGTTGCGGCCACGCCTCTGAACCCAGCCAAGCGAGCTCTTGAAGATGAGGATGTTGGTGAAATGCAAACACCCCCCCAAACCTCTAGGCCACGTTCCAAGCGCCCTAAGAGAGATTCTTCGGCCAATCGACCGCCCGGCAGCCAACCGCAGCGCTTGGTCCTCAAGACCAGGATGGAGCAGACTCCCGACACCTCTTCCCCTGCTCCCCCTGGCGCTGCACATCCAATCCTAAGTCAATATGTCTCCGGCAATTCCGTTTCCGGCGGCCAGAGTGGATCTCGCCGACCACGCCCAATGACTCAGCATCAGATCGCCCTTGAATTGAACCGAAAGCAACGCGTTGATTATGCATTGGCTCAACGTCGAATGGAAACATGGGACGCTCTCCGTGTGCGCCGAGAAAAGGAAGTCCCGTTTGCCCGTGCGGGACGCTTACTTCAAAGCTTGCCGACCAGCTATGACACGGAAGACGAGAAATCTTGGGGCAAGGGTGGCATTTGTCCCAACCCAGAAGAAGAAGAGGATTATGGAGAAACTGCTAGCTTCTACTTCTCCGTGATTAGAAAAGTTGCGCGGCGACTGCAACGATGGGATTGGGATTCGGTTCTGTCTGACGATAAAGATTATCCGGTTAATGGCTTGGGAGCTAATTACAATCGACCTCCGGTTGAGGAGCATCATGAGTTGGAGATGGTTAGTCATGCGACATCCAGTTTCCATAAGCCGAAGAGCCGGTCAGCGGCCAGGAGAGAAAGGAAGATGATTGAGGATGCGCCCGAGGAGCATGAGCAGACAAAGAAGCTCTCAAGCCGTGGTGGCACAGGCCAGAAGAAATCCACTGCGACTGGTAGTAAGCGAAGATCGCGACCATCGAAGGGCACTTCCAAACCTCACGCCGATGCTCCCGAACAAGCTGAAATGCCCGATGACTCTGTGCTGCATGGCGACCGTGGCGCTGGTCGCGGCGATGGCCCCATGGACACAATTGACCAAGAGCTGCTTGGTGAGAGCAGCCTCCCTGACACCCGAAGCCGCCAGGATGACACGAGCAGCATTGGTCTTGGACCCGAAGTCGTGCAGGGCGACGGTGATGATACCGAAGAGCTCTCTGACGTGGATATGGAGCTGTCCAAGCTCGGTGAGAATGAATACTCCCGAGGCGACAGTTTGTCTCCGGACAACGACGTGGAGGCCAGCCAGCTGGACGATGACGAGACTGTGCTTGAAGTTTGAACTAGTTATCGCTTTTAATGTGTTTGATCTACGCCTTCGAAAATCACTACTTTGTATAATCATTGCATGCAGAAGAGGCAGCTCGCCTATCTTATGTATTTAATTCCTACTTGCCTTTTTCAATTGAAGCACAATTTCACGGCCTCTCCGTCTATCAATCCGTTGTTTATCAAGTTGAAATCAACCGCCGCCTTCACATGTCAGCTTACTAAGCACTGTCCCAACAGATCGCATCAACACTGCAGATAATAACTAGACGCCGACGACTCTGGTCACAGCGTCGCGCAAGGCCTTTTTTCTCTCCACGGTGTCACCCGAGGAGCTCGCCGTCATTGTCGCGAGAGAGCCATTTGATATTCCTCCGCACAGTCTCTCTTCACTCTGCTATCAGCGGGCGTATTCTGTGAGCCAAAAAAAAAAAAAAAGTGTTTACTTCATGATGGAACCCAACTCTCGAGTCCTCCGACCTCGTCCCCGGAGACCGTTTGAGCTCCCGTCTGCGGACTCCTCCCAGCCCGGCACGCCAACCGTTGAAGAATCCGCGTCCTCCGATTTCCTAGACGCGAAACCCTCGAGCTCGCAGAGCCAAGATGGATTACTGCCGTCCCGATCGATGATGAACCTCACGTCCCCAACGCTATACGGGATCTACTCGCCCACTGCTTTTGAGGGCGTGCGAGATGGGTCGGGCACGCCCTGGGACACGGGTGCACAAACGCCGAATTTGCAGAACCTGTCGCCTTCGCAGAGGGAGGCGTTTTTCTCGCCTGGTGGAAAGGGAATCTCGGAACAGAGTGTGCTGCAGGCGCATGCTGTGAAGAGGCACGGGTTCAGAGGTTATGTGCTTCCGCTCGTGCGGAAGAGCGTCTTTCTGTTTTTGTTTGGAATGGCGTATGGAGGGATCATCACGCATCTACACGGGCACCCAAAGGTGGCAGGGCGGGTTCCGGTCAACATGGACAATATTGATCTTGACCAGAGGTCGCTGGGGTATCTGGGGCTCTGGGGGCTGGCAGGTGTTGCGCTGGGGAGCTTACAGCCATGGTTTGACCTCTTCTGGGGAGATAACTTGATCGTCGGCCGAAGTCAAGCCACAGAGAGGAGGAGCAAAGGGAGCGGGCTCTTGGAATGGAGCCCGATGGTGAGGAGCATCGGGGCATTTGTCGGGATTGCCTTTGCCATTGTGAGTGTTCTCCTGTACTTGATTTTTTGTTTCATTGGTGTGTACTAACAATGGTACGATGTCTCCAGAGGAAACTGCCCTGGCAATCTACGCTTCAGGTGTCTCTCACTCTCGCCCTTGTGAACCCTGTCCTCTGGTATCTTATCGATCGGTCCAAACCAGGCTTCGTACTGTCTACTGTGGTTGGATTGACCGGTATGCTCGCCCTGCTTGGGATCAACCCTACCATTGTGCCGTCCCCAGCGACCGCCCAACCTTCCTCGTCGTCTGCCGCCGTGTCTCCAGGGACGTTGCTGAATAGCTCTACGCTCCTGCAGACCGCAAAGGTCATCGGAGTGACCCAGGAAAGCCTTGCGGTTGGAACGTGGATTGCGAGCGTGCTCTTCTGCAGCTGCGTGTGCTTTGGTAATATTGGGAGGCGGCTAGCGGACTGAGGATGGCTGGATGGGCTGTCTGCTTTATTGTTCCTTTTCTCCGGTGTTTCTCGACATTTCAACAAGAGATAGTTTTCATTACTTATAATAATTATTATTAATCGGCATGAGTATCGGTTGGGACAGGCAGAACATTTCGGGTGCATGTACAGTACTATCTACTCTCGTATACACTCCCATCACGACCGCTGAGCAGCCGGAATGTATGTAGATTCAATCATTGCAATCCCATCCACGAAGAGACTTCAGGAATGGCACTGCACCCAAGATCGAAGCTGATTGTGATTTGATCTCCATTCTATACAAGCATGTTGTATACTTCCTGACATCATGGATTTCCCAGAGAAACCTTTGAAAGGAGAGGACTGTAGAATGTTGAAATTTGCGTTGTTCATGGAGAGAAAAAGAAGAGAAAAAAAAACAGAAAAAAATCGAAAGAAAAACAGCCGGGGCACGCTAGGCCCGTTTGAGACGGCGGGCTGTTTGCTGTGTTTGCCGGTGCTTGGAGGGGCAGCAAACTTGACCGGGAACGAAGTGCGCCCGTCAACAAACCCATTCTCGTCTCCTTCTCAGGGTCAATTGAGGACATCCAGCTGGCTTTTCAGTCTCTGGTCAACATGGCAAAGTCTGGTATGCCAGTCACGCCCCCTCCATGCTACGCTCTCCCGCGATCGAAAGCTAACTGCCCCGTCCAGCTATCCTCTCCGTCTACGACAAGACCGGCCTCCTGGACCTGGCAACAGGCCTGGCGGAAAACAATGTCCGCATCCTGGCGTCTGGCGGCACGGCCAAGATGATCAGGGAAGCCGGCATTCCCGTCGAGTGAGTCTCGCTTGCTACCAGGATGCCGCTGAGCACCTGCATTCGTTTCATTAAAAGCCGATGATAATGTATCTCATCGTGGGAAATTATTCAATAGAGACATCTCCGCCATCACTCATGCCCCCGAAATGCTCGGCGGCCGCGTCAAAACCCTTCATCCTGCGGTCCACGGCGGTATCCTGGCTCGAAATATCGAGTCCGACGAGAAAGACCTCGCTGATCAGAAAATTGACAAAGTCGATTTCGTCGTCTGCAACCTATACCCGTTCAAGGATACCGTGGCGAAAGAGGGGGTCACAATCGCTCAAGCTGTCGAGGAGATCGATATTGGTGGTGTAACCCTGCTCCGTGCCGCCGCGAAGAACCACGCCCGTGTCACGATCCTAAGCGACCCGAACGATTACACCGAATTCTTGAACGAATTGAAAAAGGGCGATATTTCCGAGAGGAACCGTCGCTTGTATGCCCTGAAGGCTTTTGAGCACACGGCCGACTATGATGAGGCTATTTCGGGATTCTTTAGAAAACAATATGCTGGTGACGGTGCGCAGTACCTTGCGCTTAGGTATGGCGCGAACCCCCACCAAAAGCCGGCGGCTGCGTTCATGGAGCAGAACAAACTGCCGTTCAAGGTCTTAAACGGTTCTCCTGGGTATATCAATCTCTTGGATTCTCTAAACGCTTGGCCATTGGTGAAAGAGCTAAAACAAGCTCTTGGGTATCCCGCCGCGGCTAGCTTCAAGCATGTCTCGCCAGCGGGTGCTGCGATTGGCATTCCATTGAATGACAAGGAGAAGAAGGTATACATGGTTGAAGACATCGCCGGTATCGATGAATCCGGACTGGCGCAAGCTTATGCACGTGCTCGTGGCGCAGACCGCATGTCAAGTTTCGGTGATGTTATCGCGCTGTCTGATGTTGTTGATGTACCAACCGCGAAGATTATTTCTCGCGAAGTGTCTGATGGCGTCATCGCTCCGGGCTATGAACCGGAAGCACTCGCATTACTAGCAAAGAAAAAGGGAGGCAAGTACCTCGTGCTTGAAATGGACGATAACTATACTCCCCCTGGTGAAGAGACGCGTACGGTGTATGGGGTCCAGCTGCGACAAAACCGCAACGATGCTGTCATCTCGCCCAACTCGACTTTCGGCACGATCATCACGCCGAAAGATTTGAAGAGCCTGCCTGAATCTGCGCTTCGTGATCTGACGGTGGCCACCATTGCTTTGAAATACACCCAATCAAATTCTGTCTGCTATGCGGTCAACGGCCAAGTCGTTGGTCTGGGGGCCGGCCAACAGAGCAGAATCCACTGCACCCGCCTAGCTGGTGATAAAGCAGATAACTGGTGGATGCGTTTCCACGACCGTGTCCTCAACATTAAGTGGAAGACTGGCATTAAGCGACCTGAGAAGAGCAATGCCATTGACATGCTATGCTCGGGTCAGGTCCCGAAGAATGATGTTGAAAAAGCTGACTATGAGCGAGTTTTTGAAGAAGTTCCCGCGCCTTTTACGCCGGAAGAGAGAGAGGAGTGGGCGAAGAAACTGGGCGAGGTCGTTGTTTCATCGGATGCTTTCGTACGTGACATCTTCAGTGGTGATGACGTCTAATACTGACCTGTGGTTTAGTTCCCCTTTGTTGATAATGTATTCCGTGCCGCTCGCTCGGGTGTCAAGTACATTGCCGCTCCAAGCGGGAGCCAAAATGACTCTGCCGTGTTTGAGACTGCGGAGAAATTGGGCATGGTTTTCGTCCAGCAGAGTATCCGCCTGTTCCACCATTAGTAGGAGCGAGGCATTGAACACGCAGTCTGCTTATGAATATCAGAGAAGGAAGCCTTTTATAACCATCCCTTATTATCATGATAGTCGTAGCCTTTGGGAAAAATGGAGATATCATTCAACAGTGGATAGTTTTGTTGTGCTCTTTGTCCAGGGATTCCGGGTGTCCCGGGTTTCTCATTAACTATCCAATTCAGCCGGAAGCGGCTCGAAGCCGCTACCATTGAGCCTTCAAATGAGGTCCGCCCTGTGCCCCCATGGCTACTGTCATCGGGCTGGGGCTATGGGAATGAGAGTATGGTGCTTATAGACTTCCTATAATGCGCTCAAGTAGATTAGCCAAGATCGGGACACTGTAAGTCAGCGCCTTGGGGGGCTGACTGTAATTAGATGGCTGGATTGTAAGTTAAGCAAGCATTCACATCTGAATTCCGTTTCCAAAGCTCCCAGACAAAGCATCGCAGCGAGCAAGACACGGCCTCAAGGCTCTCTGTGGTGAATGCGGCCAGCAGCAGTCACATGACCGTGTTCTGCCGCAACCTCTCCTGAACAAGCAAAGCGGCCAGAAACAACAGCTGGGAACTTCCTCTCAACATCCATCGTCCTCTCTCCCATTCCTCTCTCTCCCTCTCTCTCACTTCATTCCTTTTTCCCTCTCTTCATTCTTGTCTTTTGACTTGTGGCTTACGGATTACGGGATTACGCTTTTCTTTTTAATTGCAGCTCTCGGACTTTACCCTTTTGTTGGTTTGCTGGCGTCATCTTCACCTTGACTCTTGCTTTGTACCGGGGATTGTTGGATGAGGTGGTGCCTCGCAGCCATCGATAATCATGGCACCGCTTCCAATCAAGTTTACGGAGTTGCTACAGGTATTGTATCCTCTTTTGTCTTTGTTCCAATGCACCAGCCGCGTTGCGTTTGCTAATCCATGGTGGTTACCTAGTTGACGAATCTTGACATCGTGGTATGTATCGCATCCCCCTTCTCACTCTACAATCGGCTCGGGATTTGCGACCTCGGATTGGGACATGCGGCCTCTTTCAAATGTGTGGCCAAAGCTGACATGGTATCTGCCTTAGCCGGCATCCATTGGATTCAATTCATGTGTAAGTGTCCTCTCTACGCCTCTGCAGGACGAGCATCTGGCTCACTGTCGCGTGTGAGATCTATTCAGACCCTTGAATCCGATAAATTCGTCTGCATTCGCCAGAAACTATCGGAAAATGACAAAACACAAGTCATCATCATCGACCTAAAAAATAACAATGAAGTCGTCCGCCGCCCCATCAACGCCGACAATGCCATCATGCATTGGAGCAAGAATATCATTGCTCTAAAAGCTCAGGGTAGGACCGTCCAGGTATTCGATCTCCAGGCCAAGGAGAAACTGAAGTCAGCTGTCCTCACGGAGGATGTCGTGTACTGGAAATGGTTCAGCGAGACAAGCTTAGGCTTAGTGACGGAGGCCGCGATTTATCATTGGAATGTGTTCGATCCGTCACAACACGCCCCATTGAAGATGTTTGATCGCATCTCAAACCTCAACGTACGTTGCAACTGCCGTTCTGCTCGGGCCGCCTACTGATTTTGCGCGATAGGGATGCCAAATCATTAGTTACAAAGTCAATGAAGACCAGAAATGGATGGCCGTTGTCGGTATCAGCCAGCAGCAGGGACGCATCGTAGGAACAATGCAACTTCACTCTGTCGAACGGGGCATTTCGCAGCACATCGAAGGCCACGCCGCCACCTTCGCTTCCATCTCCGTCGAAGGCTCGCCTTTGCCCCATAAACTTTTTGCTTTTGCGGTCCGCACCCAAACCGGAGCAAAATTGCAAATTGCGGAGATTGACCACCAGGAGCCGAACCCCAAGTTCCCCAAGAAAGCCGTCGAGATTTACTTCCCACCAGAAGCTACAAACGATTTCCCAGTTGCGATGCAAGTTTCCAAAAAATACGACATCGTATACCTGGTTACGAAATTCGGTTTCATCCATCTTTACGACCTAGAGTCAGGCACCTGCATTTTCATGAACCGTATCTCTAGCGAGACGATTTTTGTTACTACCCCGGATTCCGAGTCCACCGGTCTTGTTGGTGTCAATCGCAAAGGCCAAGTTCTCTCCGTCAGCGTCGACGAAAGCACCATCATTCCTTATCTTCTCGATAACCCAGCTAACACATCTCTTGCTGTTAAACTGGCTGCCAAGGCCGGCCTGCCAGGCGCAGATAACCTGCTCCAGAGACAGTTTGAAACGCTCCTTACACAGCAAAATTATATGGAGGCTGCCAAAGTTGCCGCAAACTCGCCACGTGGGTTTCTCCGGACCCCGGAAACTATTAACCGTCTAAAGAGTGCACCTCAGAGTGCTCAAGGAATGTCTGTCATTCTTCAGTACTTTGGGATGCTGTTGGACAAGGGTACTTTAAACAAACATGAAAGCATTGAATTGGTTCGACCGGTCATGCAGCAGAGTCGAAAGCATTTGCTTGAAAAATGGTTGGGCGAGGACAAGCTTGAATGCTCTGAGGAGTTGGGCGATATTGTACGGCCATACGATATCGGACTTGCTTTGGGGATTTATTTGAAGGCAAATATTCCACACAAGGTTGTTGCTGGCTTTGCGGAAACCGGGCAATTCGATAAAATCCTGGCGTACTCAAGGCAGGTCGGGTTCCAACCCGACTACGTCCAGCTTCTTCAACATATTGTCCGCGTTAATCCTGAAAAGTGTGCTGAATTTGCCGGGCAGCTAGTCAGTGAGGAAAGCGGAGCGGCCGTGGATCTCGACCGTGTAGTTGATGTTTTCATTTCCCAGAACATGATCCAGCAGGCGACAGCATTTTTACTCGATGCTCTCAAAGATAACAAACCGGAACATGGACACCTTCAAACCCGCCTTTTGGAAATGAACCTTGTCAATGCGCCCCAAGTTGCCGATGCTATTCTTGGAAACGAGATGTTCACCCATTACGACAAGGCTAGAATCTCACAACTCTGCGAGAACGCCGGATTGTACCAGCGTGCCTTGGAGAATACTGAAGATCCGGCGGTGATCATGCGCAACATTGTGCGGACCGACAAATTGAATCCTGACTGGTTGACAAACTATTTTGGGCGATTGTCCGTTGAACAGTCATTGGATGCTATGAACGAAATGTTGAAGGTGAACTTGCGGCAAAATCTTCAAGCGGTTGTCCAACTCGCTACTAAATTCTCGGACTTGCTAGGCGCAAATAACCTGATTTCTCTGCTCGAGAAATATCGAACTGCAGAGGGCCTGTACTATTACCTGGGCAGTATCGTGAATTTGAGTGAAGATCCCGACGTCCATTTTAAATATATCGAGGCGGCGACTAAGATGGGACAAATGACGGAAGTGGAGCGGATTTGCCGTGAAAGCAACTATTATAATGCGGAGAAAGTCAAGAATTTCCTCAAGGAGGCTCGCCTTACTGAGCAGCTTCCTCTTATTATTGTCTGCGACCGGTTCAACTTTATTCACGATTTGGTACTTTACTTGTATCAGAATCAACAGTACAAGTCTATCGAGGTGTACGTTCAGCGAGTGAACCCATCACGAACTCCGGCGGTTGTTGGAGGACTCCTTGATGTTGATTGCGACGAGGGTATTATCAAAAACCTGCTCTCCACTGTGGATGCCTCGTCCATACCCATCGACGAGCTCGTATCTGAAGTTGAAAGTCGAAACCGCTTAAAGATCCTTCTCCCGTTTCTTGAGAACACCCTTTCTACTGGTAACCAACAACAGGCGGTCTACAATGCTCTCGCAAAAATTTACATTGACAGTAATAACAATCCTGAGAAATTCCTGAAAGAGAACGATCTCTATGATACATTGGTGGTCGGTAAATACTGCGAGAAACGCGACCCTAATTTGGCTTACATTTCGTACCGAAAAGGCCAGAATGACCTTGAGCTGATCAACATCACCAACGAGAACTCAATGTACCGCGCCCAAGCACGATATCTTCTCGAGCGCGCCGATTCCGAAATCTGGGCTTTTGTTCTCAACGGAAACAACATCCATCGTCGCTCTCTTGTTGACCAAGTCATTGCGACCGCCGTTCCAGAGTCCGCTGAGCCTGATAAGGTATCTGTTGCCGTCAAAGCCTTCCTCGAAGCGGACCTCCCTACGGAATTAATTGAGCTTCTAGAGAAGATAATCTTAGAGCCATCTCCGTTCAGCGATAATGGCAGTCTCCAGAATCTCTTGATGCTCACGGCAGCCAAGGCGGATAAGAGCCGGTTGATGGACTATATCCACAAACTCACGGAGTTCAATGCGGAGGAGATTGCCAACATGTGCTTATCGGTTGGCTTGTACGAAGAAGCCTTTGAGATTTACAAGAAAGTCGACAACCACATCTCGGCGACAAACGTCCTTGTGGATTATATTGTCAGTATTGATCGAGCACAAGAGTATGCGGAGCGAGTGGAACTCCCCGAGGTGTGGAGTAAAGTTGCCAAAGCTCAGCTTGACGGGCTCCGTGTTTCCGATGCGATCGCTTCGTATATCCGTGCTGGCGACCCGTCTAACTATAACGAAGTCATTGAAACCGCGACCCATGCTGGTAAAGACGAGGATCTTGTTGAGTACTTGAAAATGGCCAGGAAGACGCTCCGAGAGCCGGCTGTCGACACTGCACTAGCGCTTTCGTATGCCAGATTAAATCAACTCCCTGAGCTTGAAGACTTCCTCCGTGCCGTTAACGTCGCCGATGTTGAAGCCTCTGGTGACAAGGCCTATGAAGAGGGATACCATGAAGCGGCCAAAATCTTTTTCTCCAGCATATCAAACTGGGCGAAACTGGCAACCACTTTGGTCCACCTTGAGGACTACCAGGCGGCAGTCGAGTGTGCCAGGAAAGGAAATAATGTCAAGGTGTGGAAGCAGGTGAACGAGGCGTGTGTTGCTAAAAAGGAGTTTCGACTGGCTCAAATTTGCGGACTCAATCTTATTGTCCACGCCGAGGAGCTCCAGGATCTGGTCCGGCAGTATGAGCGCAATGGGTATTTTGACGAACTCATCGCATTACTCGAGGCCGGTCTCGGTTTAGAACGGGCACACATGGGCATGTTCACTGAGCTTGGCATTGCCTTGTCGAAGTACCATCCGGATCGGGTCATGGAGCATCTGAAGCTCTTCTGGACTCGCATCAACATCCCCAAGATGATCCGCGCATGCGAGGAAGCGAACCTGTGGCCCGAGCTTGTGTTCCTGTACTGCCATTACGACGAATGGGACAATGCAGCGTTGGCGATGATGGAGCGAGCGGCTGATGCATGGGAACACCATTCGTTCAAGGACATAATCGTCAAGGTGGCAAATCTGGAGATCTATTATCGAGCGTTGAACTTTTATCTCCAGGAGCAACCTCTACTGTTGACGGACTTGCTCCAGGTGCTTACTCCACGAATCGACGTCAACCGGGTTGTCCGCATGTTCGAGAAGTCTGACAATATCCCGCTGATCAAGCCGTTCTTGTTGAACGTGCAGACCCAGAATAAGAAGGCGGTGAACAATGCGATCAATGACCTGTTAATTGAGGAGGAGGACTACAAGACGCTTCGTGATTCGGTTGAGAACTACGACAACTACGATCCGGTTGAGCTTGCGCAGCGGCTGGAGAAGCACGAGTTGGTGTTCTTCCGGCAGATAGCGGCCAGCATTTACCGCAAGAACAAGCGGTGGGAGAAGTCGATCTCGCTGTCGAAGCAGGATAAACTGTTCAAGGACGCCATCGAGACGGCGGCGATTTCGGGCAAGACGGAGGTGGTGGAGGAGCTGCTGCGCTACGTGAGTACTGTTTTCCATGCGTGCGGAGGGGTGTGTGCTAATGATACGATGACAGTTTGTGGACATTGGGAGCCGCGAGTGCTACGTGGGGATGCTGTACGCGTGCTACGAGCTGATCCGGCCGGACGTGGTGCTGGAGGTATCGTGGCGGCACGGGCTGCACGACTTCACGATGCCGTACCTGATCAACGTGCTGAGCCAGCAGGTGCGCACGATCGAGACGCTGAAGCAGGACAACGAGGAGCGCAAGGCGAGGGAGGCGGCACAGCAGAAGGAAGAGGACAACACGCCGGTGCTAGGGGGGTCGCGACTGATGCTAACGCAGGGCCCCGGCAGCCCGGCAGGGCATGCCATGCCGTTTGGCGGAGCGACGAACGGGATCACGCCGCAGGCGACTGGGTTCCGGCCCTTTTAAAGCATTGGACGGAAGGAGGCTGTTCGTTTTCTGTTTCCAGTCCCCTTTTCTGCTGTGATAAGATAGCTTTTTTTTTTTCCTTTAATTTTTTCTCGATTTCCAGTCTTGCGACCACTGCCGCCGGAACCGGAGCATTGGGAGGGGAAAAGATTGGGCGTCTTTTTACTCATTTACACTTTGACCCTTTTTCCTCTCTGTATCAACTAAATAGCTAACTCAATTTCCGATTTCAACTCTGTGACAAAAGGGGAACGTGGTGAATCAATCGTGCGTCAACTGATTCACTTGGTGAGCTACTATATCACTCGGTAACTGCTTGACTGCTTGACTGCGTCTAGATTAAGGCGGGCACTTGGCATGACCAACGCAATCAGGGGGGCGGCGGTCCGATATCGTCGCGGTTGACGCCATCGCGGTGCGTTTTCGTCTTTTCCGCTGCTTTCATCTTCGCTTCTCGCTTTGTTTGCCCGTTCGGAGAAATGTCGAGCATGACGTCGGAGGCGCATGCGCTCGGTCTCGGCCCGACGGCAGCCGCTGGGATCAGAGCGACAGACTGCCATCATGCTGGGATGCTGGGATGCTGGCTGCTGCAGCTGGAGCTGGTGCGACGCAGGCAGTCGGACATCTTTGATATCCCAACGGGGAGCGGCCGAGGGCCGCCAGGGGACTTGCTAACTCCAGCACAGCCAGCGGGCCAGCGCAGGCACCGCAAACGTTAGCTCACCCGGGGGCCTTGTCGCTTTTCCCCAACTCCCCCATTAGTCACGGGCTACTACCCCACCTTCCTGCTTTTCCCAACTTCAACCTCACTTCATCTTCTTCTCTTCGTCCATCTTCTCTTTTTCTCTTTTTCTCTTCTTCTTCTTGTCAATTGATTCTCTCTCTCTTATATATATATCTACATCTCTCCCTCTCCTCTCTCTCTCTCCATCTCCCTCTCCTCTCTCTCCGGCGGACCTTCTCCCCTCCGCCGTCCACTCCCTCCCGACCAGGGTGCCCCCCCCACGACGAGGCCGTCGAGGACCACTCGCCCTCCAACTTCGAGCACTCCGTCCACCGCCGCCTGCGCGCCAATTCCACCATCATCCAGTTCCACAAGATCCTCGTTGCCAACCGCGGCGAGATCCCCATCCGCATCTTCCGCACCGCCCACGAGCTGTCCCTGCAAACCGTCGCCGTCTACTCCTATGAAGACCGCCTCAGCATGCACCGCCAAAAGGCGGACGAGGCCTACATGATTGGCGCCCGCGGCCAGTACACCCCCGTTGGCGCCTACCTCGCCGGCGACGAGATCATCCGCATTGCCGTCCAGCACGGCGTCCACCTCATCCACCCCGGCTATGGCTTCCTCTCCGAGAACGCCGACTTTGCCCGCAAGGTCGAGCGCGCCGGCATGGTCTTTGTCGGTCCCACCCCCGATACCATCGACGCCCTGGGCGACAAGGTCTCCGCCCGCCGCCTCGCCATCAAGTGCAACGTCCCCGTCGTCCCCGGCACCGAGGGCCCCGTCTCCCGCTACGACGAGGTCCGGGCCTTCACCGACCAGTACGGCTTCCCCATCATCATCAAGGCCGCCTTTGGGGGCGGCGGCCGCGGCATGCGCGTCGTCCGTGACCAGGAATCCCTCCGCGACGCCTTTGAGCGCGCTACCTCCGAGGCCAAGGCCGCTTTTGGCAACGGGACCGTCTTCGTCGAGCGCTTCCTCGACAAGCCCAAGCACATCGAGGTCCAGCTGCTGGGGGACAACCACGGCAACGTCGTCCACCTGTACGAGCGCGACTGCAGTGTCCAGCGCCGCCACCAAAAGGTCGTTGAGTTGGCCCCCGCCAAAGACCTGCCCGTCGACGTGCGCGACAGCATCCTCACAGACGCCGTCCGCCTGGCCCGGTCCGTCAACTATCGCAACGCCGGCACTGCCGAGTTCCTCGTCGACCAGCAGAACCGCTACTACTTTATCGAGATCAACCCTCGCATCCAGGTCGAGCACACCATCACCGAGGAGATCACCGGCATTGACATCGTGGCCGCGCAGATCCAGATCGCCGCCGGCGCCAGCCTTTGAGCAGCTCGGCCTCACTCAGGAGCGCATCTCCACCCGCGGCTTCGCCATCCAGTGCCGCATCAGCACCGAGGACCCCACCAAGGGCTTCCAGCCCGACACCGGCAAGATCGAGGTCTACCGCTCCGCCGGCGGCAACGGCGTCCGTCTCGATGGCGGTAACGGGTTTGCAGGCGCTATCATCACGCCGCACTACGACTCCATGCTGGTCAAATGCACGTGTCTGGGCTCGACCTACGAGATCGCCCGCCGCAAGATGCTCCGCGCCTTGGTGGAGTTCCGCGTCCGGGGCGTCAAGACCAACATCCCCTTTTTGGCGTCTCTCCTGACCCACCCGACCTTCATCCAGGGCACCTGCTGGACCACCTTCATCGACGATACCCCCGAGCTCTTCTCCCTCATCGGCAGCCAGAACCGTGCTCAGAAACTGCTCGCCTACCTAGGCGATGTGGCTGTCAACGGCAGCCGCATCAAGGGCCAGATCGGCGAACCCAAGTTCAAGGGCCCCATCAGCATGCCGACCATTGTCGATGCGCGCGGGACGCCCGTCGACGTCTCGGTGCCGTGCACCCGCGGATGGAAGCAGATCCTCGACGAGCAAGGGCCCGCAGGCTTCGCCAAGGCCGTGCGTGCCAACAAGGGCTGCTTGATCATGGATACCACCTGGCGTGATGCGCATCAGTCGCTCCTGGCTACCCGGGTCCGGACAGTGGATCTGGTCAACATCGCCAAGGAGACGAGCTATGCGTACAGCAACGCGTACAGTCTGGAATGCTGGGGCGGTGCCACCTTTGACGTCGCCATGCGATTCCTGTACGAAGACCCGTGGGACCGACTCCGCAAGCTGCGCAAGGCCGTCCCGAACATTCCCTTTCAGATGCTGCTTCGTGGCGCCAATGGTGTGGCCTACTCGTCGTAAGTTGATTTCCAAACCCCCCCTTCCCCCCCTTTTTTTTTTTTCTTTCTGACCGGGCATAGCCTTCCCGATAATGCCATCTACCACTTCTGCAAGCAAGCGAAGAAGTACGGTGTCGATATCTTCCGTGTCTTTGACGCCCTGAACGATATAAACCAGCTGGAAGTCGGCATGAAGGCCGTTCACGCGGCGGGTGGTGTGGTTGAAGGCACACTCTGCTACAGCGGCGACATGTTGAACCCCAACAAGAAGTACAATCTCCAGTACTATCTGGACCTCGTCGACAAGATCGTCGCCCTCGGCACTCACGTTCTCGGAATCAAGGACATGGCCGGCGTGCTGAAGCCCCAGGCCGCCACCATGCTCATTGGAGCTATTCGCGAAAAGTACCCGGATCTTCCCATTCATGTCCACACCCACGACTCGGCGGGCACCGGTGTGGCCTCCATGGCCGCTTGCGCCAAGGCAGGTGCGGACGCTGTCGACGCCGCTACTGACAGCATGTCCGGCATGACCTCACAGCCCAGCGTTGGTGCGATCCTGGCTTCCCTGGAAGGCACCGAGTTTGACCCCAAACTTGATATCCGAAATGTCCGTGCTATCGACTCTTATTGGGCGCAGCTGCGTCTCCTGTACTCGCCATTCGAGGCTGGATTGACCGGTCCCGATCCCGAGGTGTACGAACACGAGATTCCCGGCGGTCAGCTCACCAATTTGATCTTCCAGGCTCACCAGCTGGGCCTTGGGACCCAATGGGCTGAAACCAAGAAGGCGTATAAGCAAGCCAACGATTTGTTAGGCGATATCGTCAAGGTCACTCCCACCTCGAAGGTTGTGGGTGACCTGGCCCAGTTCATGGTCTCGAATAAGCTGACGCCGGACGATGTCATTGCCCGGGCCGGTGAGCTCGATTTCCCCGGGTCCGTTCTCGAATTCCTCGAGGGCCTCATGGGCCAGCCGTACGGGGGCTTCCCTGAGCCGCTTCGCTCCAAGGCTCTCCGTGACCGTCGCAAGTTAGACAGCCGCCCCGGCTTGCATCTTGAACCTCTAGACTTGGCCAAGATTAAGGCAGATTTGAAGGAGAAATACAGCACTGCGACCGAATGCGACGTTGCCAGTTACGCCATGTATCCCAAGGTCTACGAAGACTACCGCAACTTTGTGGCCAAATACGGCGATCTCTCTGTTCTCCCCACCAAATACTTCCTCTCCCGGCCCGAAATCGGCGAAGAGTTCTCCGTTGAGCTCGAGCAGGGCAAGGTCCTGATCCTGAAGTTATTAGCGGTTGGACCACTTTCCGAGCAAACCGGCCAGCGTGAGGTCTTTTACGAGATGAACGGTGAAGTTAGACAGGTGGCTGTGGACGATATTCTCGCTGCTGTCGACAACACGAGCCGACCAAAGGCCGACCCCAATAATAGCAGCCAAGTTGGCGCACCGATGAGCGGTGTTGTAGTGGAGATTCGGGTTCACGATGGGTTGGAAGTGAAGAAGGGAGATCCAATTGCTGTTCTCAGTGCGATGAAGATGGTAAGCAGGATTGATATGGCCCCTGTAATGAAAAAGAGCTGAAACTAACTGTGGTGTTTAGGAAATGGTTATTTCTGCACCCCATCACGGCACCATCTCTGGACTGCTTGTGAAGGAGGGAGATTCTGTGGATGGGCAGGATCTTGTTTGCACCATCCACAAGGTCTAAGAGTGCTTGCTTTTGCCTAGCCTTGGTGGTTCTTGTCGACAGCAAAAATTTTTGGATTTTGTATGGAGTATTAAAAAATTTTCAGCTTGTTGGCAAATATTGCTATTTTGTGCATTTTTGTCTATAACTAACTAGTTGTACCCAACAAGCTAAGACGGCTTGTTATGACCTGTTTGTAAACATGGTTATAGGTTTCTCTGAAACCGCCAATATAAATTCCCCTAAAGATATTAAAGATGGAGAGATTCTTTGGAGATGCTCGCAGAACCTGAACATTTGCAAATCCTCACTCAATATGGGTAGAGCCCTGTGCGAGCTGATTGTGTCAATTTAATGTTTGATTTGGCCTGGTTGGATAGCATGGCTAACTATGGAGTAGTTACCTGGCAAATCAAGCATATCAACAGGAACTGACAAGTAGCATGAGACAAAGGCGCCTGACGGTTTTAGAGCCCCTGAGTACACTTGATCAGTCTGCTGGAAAGAATACAACCACGTTCTCTCTCTCATCATGACTGTTATTCAAAGCCTGTTGCCTGGCACTTCTTTTCATTCCCTCCCAATGCGAATCCTGCCTATTGTCAGGTAACTACTCACAAATCCTACAGTCAGATATTCAACAATAAGGGTGACTGCCGTGTGGAATGTGTTTCGCGCGATTAAACAGCATTCGAGGACCCTGAGCGAGTCTTGGGGAAGCACGGCGATGCAATAATACATACATCAGCCGCTTGCAATAACTCAACAATGAGGTAACTAACGTACTAATAAGGATCAAATAATTACTATAAGCGAAACACCAGCAGCGGCCAATATCAATCGGATATTATCCCACAGGTTGCTCCTTTCATGGTTAGATCCTGAAGGATGACGCCAAGCTAAGTTTCAATGTGCTGAGGAAGATAATGATCACTGATGATGCCATCCCAGGACCACTCGCCAGGTGACGGGCGGCATATTTAACTGTTGGTTTCTTTTTCTGGACTTTCGTCACCCGCTGTTGGAATAACTAGTCAGGGGCCCTGCCACTATTCGCCTTTGCGCCTCCGCAGTCAATACGAGGTTCAAAAGGTGTTTGGCTATCATCAGCAATGCATTCAGGGAGTATAACTGCCGTGCTGGCACGGTGCGCTTTATACATATACTGAGCAATGCCTCGCCTACTAATCCAACTTACACTGCCGCACTCTGCTTCGCTACCCTCCCTATTTATTCAGAGGGCATTCTCGCGTTTCGATTCATTTCCTCCCTGATAATACAGCCGGAAAAAGCGCAAAACAATGTTGTTATCCTCTCTGATCTCGCTGGCATTGCTGAGCAGTCAAGTCGTCGCTGATCCAGCCTGGGCCCCTCCTGATAAGGGGCTCAAGCCTGAGGTAGCCCGCTTGTTGCCCCCGTTTCTTCGTTATCGCCGACCGATCTACGCCATCGCACATCGGGTTGTGACCGTTGGTGGCATCAAAGACGCCATCTCTCATGGCGCCAATGCCTTTGAAGTGGATATGTGCGCCGATAGCATTGGAGAAGGTTGGTGGGCAAACCACGACTGCACGAATGGCCGGAAAGCGGGTGATAGTGCGCGCAAGATCTTTGAAACTTTTGCGGCAGAGCGGAAGCGAGGGAAAACGGTGACCTTTGTCTGGCTAGATTTCAAAAACCCGGATGCCTGCGTTAAGAATCAGGGGTGCTCTATCGAGGCAATCCAGCAGTTATGCCGCGATATACTGGAAAAACAAGGCATCCGCGTCCTTTACGGGTTTTACAAAGCGGAAGACAGTCGCGCGTTCAAGACGATACGTAACAACTTGAATGACAGGGAGGCCATCTCCCTTAACGGCGCGACCACCAAGGTTCTGAAGCTGTTTGAAGGCACCGCACCGAAGGTTTCAAAGCACCAGCGAGTCATGGATTATGGCGATACCTACCTTGACAAAGGCTTCGGCGACTGCACTGAGAAGGATTGGTATACCTGCACGGAGCTACGACAGGGCGCCGACTTGCGTCGCAAAGGGAAGCTCGGGAAGGTTTTCGCGTGGACCAGCACGGTCAATCAAGGCCGCCTAGTTGACCAGCTCCTGGGAAAGGCACATGTCGACGGCATTATCTACGGTTTTAAATTGACCGACTACTATGACCACGCAGACTCACGCGCTGCTGCGAATGACATTATCAGTTGGGTCAAGCGTCGGCGTGCGCTCTATTACATGGCGACCAACGATAACAATCCATGGTAGGCTCTACAGGCTGAACAAGGCTTATGGGATTTTGGCGAGTTACGGCCGGTGTGCACTTGTGATGATAGGCTTTGTTGAGCCTTGATGTGATATTCATGCTTCTTTGCCTCTTGCTTTATGACTAATTATAGGATTGATATCCATAAACTATTCTTGTATCTTTTGAGTTGGTTTAGTTGCATCTTGCTGCTTATGATGAACGAATGGACTTGCCCGCAAGATGGAGCTTAAGGCTCCGCAAGAAGCATGTACTATATTTGCTTGACTATTATGTCAACAAATTGGGTGGCTCGAGCTGCCCTAGGGCATGAAATGCTTTCTAGTTCAAATCATGGTTATCATCTAAATGTGCTGAACAAGGTAATCATGGAGGATGCATCATAGCCTAGTTGTTGCATATATTCAATGATGCTGAAACCAACGCATCATCCTGAATACTATAAATGAGGATGAACTCGGGGCGGCAAGAATTTCTGGTGGTGCTGTCCTCTCTGTACGCATGAGAAACAATGATGCTGGGACACTGAATCAAAGCGTGCAAGCAATTTCATAGTCTAGAGGGCTTCCTGGAAGCCAGGGCGTGAACACTGATGCTAATCCCGGTTATTATCTGCGAATTTATTAGACATTGCTCAACTTTCAAAATCGACGAGGATATATGAATACGACGACCATCGAAACCGAATGCTTTTAAACTCCGTTAGATTCTCAAAAGTCCATGACCAGAAATCAAGAGAGCAATGTGATCCCATACAAATGGAACGCCCAGTTGTGCCTCCGAATCGGTCTTAACCTATAATCAGTTTCGTGGATGGCTGGCTGCAAGTAAACTCATTCATGGCTTTATCACCCTTATTCCATTTCAATAGTCGCTGGAGGCTGGTAGGCCGTTAGAAACGCCATCCCAGACTGAGATTACTTTGATAGAGCACTTACTTTAGAGGAAATGTCATAAAGGACTCGGGAAACTACATTGCATGTTAGAAAATATCTTTGTGAACCGGCTGAATTTTCTATCTTGAGGGTTAGACGTACCACCGTGGATTTCATTAATGATCCTTGTTGACGCCCGCGAGAGAAATTCGTGGGAGAAAGGGTATGCAGTACACGTCATGACTAGGTATATAATTAGCATTGTTCGGATAACAACAATATTTCAAACCGGGCTTTCTCATACAGTCCGTGGTCTCAACTGCCCTAAGGATAATCATCTCGGCGTGGACTCGTTTGTCACCCTAATAAAGTTTAGTATCTCGCCAAAAAGAAGAAATCAAAAGAGGGATAAATACATACCATGACACCAACTGCCCTGGTTGGATCCAAAGCCGCATAAGCTTGGGCGATTTTGTCATAGAGCCCAGCCTCACGGATCATAGAGATGAAAATATGATCAGCCTGTCTTGCAATCTCGACGCGCTCTGGAGTAACTTCACCCAGGACTCTTGAAGAAACGAAAATTGTTAGGTACTCATGGAGTAATTAAGCATCCTTGGTCCACTTACCGGATGGCGATGCCAGGGCCCGGGAAAGCTATACAATGGCCACGTCAACAACTAAAAGCGGTCGAAAGACGTATAGGGCAGTCACTCACGGTGTCTCATAACCAGATCGTTATGGATCCCAAGCTCTCTGCCCAATTGACGAACTTCGTCCTTGAAGAGCTCCCGAAGGGGCTCAATCAGTTTCAAACCAGCTCCTTCTTGCATTCTCTAGAGGGAATGATGTTAGAAAAGGGGGTTGTTTGTAGAGAGCCCACTAACCTTAGGAAGCGCTCCGACATTGTGGTGTGTTTTAATGGTCGCACTGGGACCCTTGAAAGAAAGGCTCTCAATCACATCTTTTACCGTTAGAAGGAGAGCATGGGGCATTTTGGAAAGCTAGTGTATTTTCCAACTTACCGGGGTACAGAGTGCCCTGGAGAAACCACTTGACTTTCGCGCCAGTGTGCTCAACCTTGGCTTCGATCCTGAGGGCCTCTTCTTCAAAAACATCAATGAACTTTCCGCCAATGAATTTTCGCTTCTTTTCCGGATCCGTGACTCCCTTAAGACCATCCAGGAACTGTTTGGATGCATCAATCACGGTCAAGTTGATCCCTAAATGCTTGCCCAAGGTATCATGAACCTGTTGGCATTCGTTGAGACGCATGCATCCGTTATCAACAAGAACAGCATGAAAGCGGTCCCCAATTGCCTCCTTCATCAACTTTGAAGCAACCGTTGAGTCGACGCCGCCACTGACAGCACCGAGGACATGATCTGTCTCTCCGACTAGCTTGCGGATACGTGTGATTTCTTGGTCAACAAATTTGGCCATGGTCCAATTCTGGCCAGCACCGCAGATGTCAACCGCAAAATTTCTGATGAGATGGGTACCATCCGGGGTATGAGTGACCTCGGGGTGGAATTGGATTCCATAGATGGGTTTGGTTTGGTGAGCGATCGCAGCATACTCGGAGTTTGCAGTGGTCGCAATGGTGTGGAAGCCTTCGGGGAGCTTCACGAGCTTGTCGCCGTGACTCATCCACACCTTTGTATTGTCTTTGATGCCGGAGAACAGGCGGTCGACGTGGCCTTGATCGTCGAGCCTCTTACCGGTGAGGTCAGCATGGCCGTATTCTCTGGCAGTTCCGGCAGTGACGTTGGCTTTGTCAAGGCGGTAAGCAATCTCCTGGATGCCGTAGCAGATACCCAGGATTGGGACTCCGAGGTCGAAGAATGCTGAGGGACGAAGCGGTGAGCGGGGTCTGGTTGCGGCAGGACGGGACGTCGATGCTTACCTGGGTCGGCATGAGGGGCGTCCTGTTCGTAGACAGAATAAGGGCCGCCGGAGAGAATGATACCCTTGGGCTTCCAGGTGAGGTCGGCCAGCCGCTGGGTGCTGGGGGGAGCGCGGGTTAGAGCAGCGATGGCGGGGTATGGACCGGGAGGACGTACCAGGGAACCATCTCGGAGTAGACATTGAGCTCTCTCTGGAAGCAAGTTAGGAAGGGAGGCGCAGGAGTGAGTCGGGAGCAGGGCTGACCAGTCTACGGACGTCAGTTTGCAGTTCAATTGGAGGTTGAGACTGAGGCAGCTACCTTCGGATGATGAGATGGGAGCTAGGGAGGGGAGTCAGCAGGGCGAATGCATGGGAGCTGCTGGATGACTTACTACTGGCTGCCAAAATCCAGCACGAGGATGGTGTCGAAGACAGAATGCGGGGGCTGTTCAGAGTCCATGATGAGCGCAGCGGATACCGGTGTTAGAGAGAGAAGAGGAGATGAGACTGAGGGATGGCATCTCGACTTTTTTTTTTTTTTTTTGGGTGGAGGTGTGCCGCCAAGGAATTTCGAGCAAACGAACATTCACGTAACTACAGAGTCAACACGCTGGAACTTCTGGCTTCGAGCAACTGTTTTATTTCATTCACAGGCGTCTCGTCTATGAGTTAGTCAATGTAGTTATACTAGCTGCCGTTGAACTTCGAGAGCTACGATGCTGCGGCGCTCCAAGGCATCATGTTTGGTTATCACCCTTCAATTTCGCTAGAATCCACCCCCTGGAAGGATGAGGGAATCATCATTAGAAGATACTGCCGTTTGTGAGAGCTACTCTGCAACCCCGTTGATGCTGATTAGCCTTCAAGCATGATGTCAGGCGTAGCAGGATGTCTTGTATGGATATACATCCATCCAACGCAGATGGGACCTTCAAGATACATCCAACTGCCACCCGGATCTCTGGTTTCCCACCACGACGCTTCGTACTTTGAAGGACACTCAACATGCATTGCAGGGTAGTTCGTAAACTCCAACCAGGACTTCCCCGCATCTGGCTCAGCCGCCACACTAGAGATATGCAGTAAGAAGATATCCGGTTGAGGGTGGAAGTCAATGTTGAACTCTGATATATGTAGGCCACCCTTACCGTTGACTTGGATTGCAATGCCCCCGGAGTTGCTCATACAAGCTATCATCGCTGTTGTTGATATATCAAATTCGAGCTAGGTGGCTATCATGGCTGGACATCCTGGTGACCGTCCTGAGCATCCTCCGGTATGGGTTCGTGGAGGGCCGCCCTATTATTATCACTCAAGCCAGCATCATGATGCTCAGTCACCACAGAATTTGAGACGAGTATGCACTCCTCAGCATTGCCGGTTTAGCCCCAAACGCCGTTCAGATATTGCCAATCGGAAGTTTTGCTGGAGATAGTTGCTAACTCTCACCTTCTAGGGATCAACTGAAACGATGCAGAGCGCACAGAGTCAGCCTTCGTCTGCGCCAGTCTCTCCCACTGTGACCGCTGCAACTCCACACCGTCCTCCCCCAGCCGAAATGCCTAAAACGCCCCCTCAGACACCAGCAGAGTCCCCCGGACAGGATCAGCGTATGGTTGGTCCACCGACAGCGGCAGCAGCACGACCAGGCCTTACGACGTATCGTAGGGCTAGCCCCAGTACATCCACTCTCGAAGGTCAGCAGAGGTATGCTGGGCTTACATTCCAGAAACGGTCGTCCCTGGACGAGGGTGTAAGGCAACGCAAGGTAAGCTGGAGGGAACAACCTGTTGGTTCGAACCCACAGACTGCACGATGGTTCACTCGGTGGTGGGATACGTGAGTCTCGTTCTCGCCATCATTTCGAAACTGAGGGTCTGATATGCATACAGGTTCACGCGGGGACCACACCATGTGCCTCGACATGAGTAACTAATACTCGTTTGTTTCAAAGTACATACCTTGATCAGTGTTGCATTGTGGGAACAAGTCGCGGCGTGATCACTTTCGTTGCTCGCCTGTATGTAACTGAATATGAGGTCAGATTGTTGAGTTTTGGCTTGAAGAGTTCCTTTCCAGCCACGATATTTGGCTGCAGAGCTACTCTGGGCTCTCATGGATCTTGACAGGGTATAATTTTTTTGTAAAACAATTTTGAAAGTCTGCTGTTATGATTGATATCAAGTCAAGTGCCACGTAAGATGCATTTTCTATGTATGAGCTTCCTATAATGCCTTGGCCGTCGAAATCTAAGGCTACGATGGGAATGCTTCTGGAAATTGAGGAAGATGCCTTGACAGCGTATGGGCGTAGGAGAAAGAGTCAGCTCGACGGAACTCACCTGATTTCAAATGGAGAGTAGCCTGAGGTGGCTCACGCAGTGGATACATTCAAAGATGCACGGATGAAATATCCCTGATCATCATTTGATGGCTAGGAACACGATAGAAACGAGTTGTCAAAACCCGATGCTGAGCATGGGGAAACGTCAAACTCCATGAGGCCGACTGGGACAGACCCCAGAAAATATGGCAAAGTCAAGTTTTCAACAATGGTTAAGCGGACGACACCCTTCGTGAAGCCTCCATTTTGAAAAGTTGAGCCATAAGAAAAAATTTATTTGTTTCATTTTTCAAGACTGTTGCTGGAAACCGCTAGCGCGCCTATGCCTATGCCCATGAGTCCCGTAATAGACAACGAATCATTGCCAGATCAGCAGTCGAGGAGAAAAGTAGAGAAAACGTCCCGTAAGCCCACATAACTAGTTTATCTGACAATACCCTCGAATCTAGATTTAAACCATTTCACGGTCTCGGCTTGGTTGATGCGGTGGGAAGCGCCGATCCGGGATTTGCATCGTCTGCGTTTGGCGATACGTTCACCAGGGCGAGTCCTAAAAAACACTCGGCATCAATTCGACAATCCTTTGATCCCTTCAAAGCCGTGGAGCGACTCACATGCAGCAGTAGAAGTCCATGCCGTAGATACCGATGGCAGGATCATACTTGATACCGAGATCGATGTGTTCGCTGATACCGAAACCAAAGTTACCAGTTTCGGAGAAGTTTCTCTTTCTCAGTTCGTATTCCTTGACCTTGAGTCCGCGCTCGAGGATCTCCTCAGCCTTGGGACCGCGGACGGTGACATGGACAGCGATCTTCTCGTTACGACGGATCCCAAAGGTACGGACGGTGTAGCGAGCCTTGCCTAGAGAGTAGCGCGGTGAGCGGGCGATTCGCCGGCGGCGCAAATTGATAGCAGTGCAGTCTTACTGTAAACTGGGGTCTGGCCGCTCAGCTGCTCCAACACCTTGGCGGCACGAGTAAGTCTGTCGCCAGACTCTCCCACGGAAATGTTGAGCACGAGTTTCTGGATGCGGAGTTCCCGCATGGGGTTGCTGGACTTGTCCTTTCCCTCCGACTGCGGGTGGTTAGAAAGGGCGGCAGAATCAGCAGGGCTGGTCACACTCACCATGGCGACTCGAGTGCTGGATTGTCGACTTGGGGTGCTGCGTACGGGGAGGTGGGTTGGAGGTGAAGTTGCAGAAGTCCAGCGTTGAGCAAACTGGTTTGTGTGCGGCGAGCCGGCCTTAGCGACCACAGCCCTTAGCGGCTTGGCACTGGCCCGATCGGGAACAGCGCTTCAAAGCTTCATCGCGATCCAGAGAAGATCACGGATGCAGAGCGTCGCTGGGTGTCTCGTGCTATTTCTCGCTTTCTCGCTTTCTCGCGCTGAAGGGTTGATGTGCGCCGTTCGTTGATACTTCTTACTCCGGGCGGAACGGTATTTAAGTCGCATTCGTGCGCATCTGAAGCGTGATGGCTTCGAACAAACAAGGCAAGATGGTAAGCCTGCGTCCTTCTGGCATCTCGCAATGGCGACTTTCGTTGACAGAGCAAAGCAGCTAACGGGTCTCTAGCAAAATCTCGTGCGTATAGCTCCTTTTCATCCCGCCGATTTCGATTCCTTGGTTCCCGCCGTGCTGACTGGAGTAGATCAATTACCGGATGAGGGGTGACATTGAAGGATGGCGACAAATGACCGGGCAAATGCTTGCATTCGATAAGGTCCTCCTCTCCCAGCTTACACACCCATATCGACGTGGCTAATCTCTTGCACAGCATATGAATCTAGTCCTCGCAGACACGGAAGAGTTTCGCAAGGTCAAGCGTAGACAAGCTAAAGGACCCCAAGGCGGGAGTGGACCTCTGGTTGAGACTGAAGAGAAGAGAACACTGGGCCTTACAATCGTTCGTGGGACGCATGTTGTATCTTGTTCTGTCGATGGACCTCCTCCAGCCGACCCGTCCGCGCGATTAGGCACTACAGCTCCCGGTGTTCCTGGCGCTGCGCCCTCAACGCTTGCGGTGGGCCCCGGTATCAGTAAGCCTGCAGGACGAGGGTTACCAGTTGGGCTTGGAGGACCAGCAGCGGGAGTTGGAGGCCCACCTCCTCCGGCGGGATTCGGTGGCTTTCCGCCATCTGGATTTCCTGGTGCACCTCCACCGGGATTTCCAGGAAGAGGAATGCCACCTGGACCCCCTGGTGGACCTCGTAAGTAACGGGCGACTTCTTCCATACCTGACTTCTGCTAACCTTTCCATACAGCTGGATTTGGACCACCTCCTGGCTTTGGCGGACCTGGTGTACCTGGCGGACCTCGTGAGTTCCCCGCTTCTACTTCTCTTTCTTAGGCATATGGTTACTTATGTTTTCCTCTCTGCCGTAGCCGGCTTTCAACCACCGCCTGGATTCCAACCGCCAGGCCAAGGAAGGGGAATGCCCCCGGGAATGGGGGGACGGTGAAACGGGGATTTTACACTGGGAATCAACAACGCAAGTTAAATGTATTACACTTGGCGAGGATATGTCGCTGGGAAACCACTTTTAAAGTCGAAATACTTTCTTCTTGCTCGCACGACTCAACATGTTTCTAGGCGTTTTGCGGGATGGTGAATGAGGGCCAGAGTATTGAATAGCCGATTTTAAAGCTCTTTGAAGGGCTAGTCTCTCGATACAATCAGTTAATACGTGATACTTCTCCCGCGCACACCCTGGCCTCTGTAGAACTTTTGTCATCGCGTAATCAGATTACGACTGGGCGAGCTAGGCGTAATTTTGCACGCTCCGCAAACCGGAGCACCAGTTCATTAATTACGTCAGCAGCGCGGACTTCATCTCAAGTAAAGACGCCGGGGATTCACCAGAATCGCATTCTTGACGCCTCGTGCTGTTTGGGTTGCTAGCTTTGTCTCTTCTGTTTTCTATTTCGATTGCTCAAAATGGCGGCCGCAATCAAGGCGATCAATGCGAAAATACGCTCGAATAAAGTTCTCGATTATTTCTGCTCTACACGTATGTATTGATGCGCTGAAGGCGATCCGTCCCTCCCACCCTTTTGAGTCATCGTCTGGTATTTAGAAGCAAAAGGCCATTCTATTTAGCCGTCGGTTTGTCGCTACCCCGGCGGGAAACCTCTGAAGCAGATGTGTGAGAATCGTTTGATATGAGCGGCCTGCGCTAACTTCCGAGTTCGATAGATTTCTGGGGGCCAGCGTCGAATTTCGGTATCCCAATCGCGGCTGTAATGGACACACAAAAGGACCCGGAAATGTATGTGTTGCCGTCTTCAAAGAATTCCCGGGTTTTATTATTTTAAAGCCTGTGTGCCTTCATTTTGTTTCATAGCAGGACCGGCTAATGGTTATGACTCTCTCTTAGAATCTCGGGTCAAATGACAGCTGCATTAACGATCTACTCCGGAACATTCATGCGCTATGCTCTCGCTGTCACGCCGAAGAATTATCTTCTCTTCCTTTGCCATTTCGTCAATTTCAATGCACAGTTAACGCAAGGCTACAGATACATGAAGTATTGGCAGTATGTTTCCCTGTTTATCCTCTGGTATCCGCCGCAGCCCGGTTTGATAAAAAATTGTCTAATAACACTGCCCAAATCTAGATGGGGTGGTCGAGATGCGGTGCTCGCACAGCAAGCGGCGGCCAAGGGGCAGGAGGCGGCTGACACTGCTAAGAATCCCTAAAAGTCATTGACCTATGGCCTCTTTCAATTGCAACCCAACTAGGGATAAATCTCACAACACTGTATTGCCCTATATACCAGGGATTCACAATTTTATTTTGAACAGCCTCGTAATGCCAATTTTGGCATCTTGTAATTGGCAATTGAACTGTCAACTATGTAGCAGTGGCGGCTAGGGAACTAGCCACATATTTTTTAAGAGTCAATAATTCCAATTTACCAATACCAACCACTGTAACTCCAGGCTAACCCACATATCACTTGCTGAAATTTATCCAGGGCAAAAACCAAAAAGTAATGGAAATCTTAGACAGCAGAAACCGAAAAGCGATGGCCAAAAACCCTTATTCACTACTATCAAAAACCGTTCCTGAGGCCGGATCGAACCGGGCCTCGCTCAAATGCGTCTAATCTAATATAACTCAGCCATGTATTGCCAATGACGGCAATGTCGCAAGACCGTGTAGTGTCTGCCGAGAAGAGAAATTTGTACGTAAACGCTTATGCTCCACATGAACGCTCAGGAAACAGGAGGCAAACGAAACCGGAATGCTAATCTGGAAAATATTGCGTCGAAGATCACTCAGGGGCGACACGAACGTGGTCCGGGGAAGTGGCCGTAAACCGACATAAGTCTCTAGACATCACAGTAGCCGGGTTTGCCGGGATCGGTGGTGCCGGTAGCCCAATTGCGCACGGTCAATACGGTGGTGTAAACACATACAATGGTTCCAAAAACTGCTAATCCAATGTCGGACCATCGCCTAAATCGAGTAGTTGCCACAGCTTTCAAGTGCAACAACGGCTACAATCGGATTAGCGTTGAGTGATACCGTTAAAAAATGAAGGCTAAAACGTACCGGATATACATATACCAAGGGCACACAGGCAAAGCTGCCAACAAGAGCGACAAACTTATCCAGGTCGGCAGCTCCACCCCAGGCCACTGCTGCACAAAAGACGACAAGAAAAAATCGGAAGATATTCTTCTTCCATTTGATGCCAGGGTTGTATTTGCCACTTCTAGTGAACAGGCCGTTTTCCATAATGCGTATTGCCGGGAATAGTTGTAGTGGTGTGCTGAGTAAAATGGCGACGGAATAGAGAAACTGCACCCCATTGACAAATTTATCATCTTGAGGTAAGTTGAGCAAAACAACAGTCTCTGTAGCGGAACCGAACGCGGCGTATCCAAGGACGCCGCTGGCAAGGAAAATGACGGTAATTATGACCATACAAAGGGCCAGCACTCGGGGGAATTGTTGGGGACGCTTCATAGACTCCTGGATTGGGATGATAAGGCCAACTCCTTCGTATGTGAAAATGGCGGTCCCGATCAAAAGTTGCCAGCTCTGAGGGTTGAAGGCTTGTATATCTGCAACTCCTCCCTGGTCCACCATTGTCTTAATGTCGACACCGAAGAGGTACACTATGCCTAGAAGAATGAAGGCATCGGCGATAAGGGCCGTAAAGGCGAGTTTGCTGATGTCGCGAATAAGTGAGAGCGGAAGAAAGATGACCAATTGCATCAGGATGAAAAATTGGATACTGATAAAGGTTTTGCATTCGCTCACAGCAAGGACGAAAGCTTGTAGGTTCGTAGACACGAAGACCGTGTAAGCAGCAACGAATCCAAATTGGCTTAACGCGATCGAACCAAGGATGATTCTTCTCATGTGCTTTCCGTACAATGCACCGCCTATGTCGCCGAAAGATCCCTCGATTTTTGACCTTGTGCTGATGAGAAGGATAAAGCAATAGTAGCTTAAGAGAGAGACAGTCACCAAAATAACTGAGCTAAAGAGCATACCTCCATTGAGAAAGGCTCTCGGTAAAAACAAGATCCCAGTGCCAACAAACGACTTTAGCAACAGCATCATTGCGCCAGACGCAGAATTCGTAGCTTTGGGCGCCCGTTCTCGGTGCCTGCGCGGATGTTTTCCAGGCGCTCCAGGTGGAAGAAGCGATGTCCTCTCGCTCACCACTTCCTCCCCCTCATGCCACAGCTCTGGAACGAAGTATTCGTCGGGGCCCAGGGCCTCATCGTCTTCTTCCAATTCTTCCCCGGCAAAATGCCCATAGAGGGTTAAAAATTCTAAGAAGCTACGAGTTGGTAGCTGTGGCTCGACGGTGCGCCAGTCATGTCCCGGAGAAGTATAGAGACCGGTGTTATCCGTGCCACCTCCTGCTCTACGAAGGTAGTCCCTTCGAAATCCCCCTGGAATTTTGATTGAGCCAATGTCCAACGTTGCACTCTCAGGCTCTGGCCTGGGGACGGTAAAACTCCGTCTGCGCTTTGAGGCCTCCTGGGCCTCTGCTTCCTCTGCCCATTTATAGACTGGGCGTGTGATGTCTCCGCCTTGGAGCTGTAGACTGGAAAATTCATCCCCATCAACGGGATTTTTCCCATTTCCGGATTCTGACTCTGAGGAGTTTCCATTGTTCCCGTCCGAACTGCCCTGGGGTTGAACTAGGTGTCTTTTGATGATTTCTGGATTTTCTGTGGGCAATGGAGTGCCATGGGGGCTGCCTTCTCCCGTCCCAGACACGCCATAACCGATCCTTGCGCCATTTTCCGTTAATGAAGGAGGGTCGGCCTCTAAGGGTAATTCGCTGGGCTCGGGCTCGGGCCGCGGGGATACGTTTCGCAGGCCCGACGTTAGTATGGAGTCGCCGGGCCGATGTGGTGAAGATGCCATATCCCTGCCTTTGAGGTCTGGGAGCTTATCGACTGCAACTTGTAACGGCGTAGATGCACGCCTAGAGGATGCATCTTGGAATTCGGCACCGTTGGGAACAGGAGAGGCAAGACGTGCGGTGGTAATATGTCTGGGAAGGGAACCAGAGACGGGAGAGTCGGAAGGGAGTGAGGGAGAAGGGGCCCGAACAGCTACCGGCAGGGAGTCTGCGGCGGGAGGAGGTAAAGGATGTGCCTCCCCAGAGTTATCGTCGTGGTCGGGCATGGTCGTCTGGGAGCTGACTTCTTGTTATTAATGCCTTATTATAGTTGAGTCTTGGGAGATGCTGGAAGTAACGGTAGCCACGTAGCATACAGCTCCAAGATATCGTAGAACAGAGTTCAACAGGGTGAATGGCGCGGTCAAACCTCGGTGGTGATGATGGACGGCAGGCCGTTGCTCCGTAGGTACGGAATGCACATCCACATGACGTCCCAAACGGGTCGTCAACGGGGCAGTCAGCTGACGGCGGCTATCGGACATCACGTGGAGATAAGCATGTCGCATAATCCACTAAACCTGATTGGGGCTGTTTGGCGAAAGTGCAAACCCACGATTACATAATGTCATATGCACGGGCCACGCCAATGACGACGGGCTGCAGAACGTCACGCATCATAGAGATGGATGGGCTGAGGATTGTTTGGATTCAGCACTCGACATATTCCCATTTATCCACCCTTTATTCACTCTCTTCCTGTTATATGCTCTAGCTAAATCAACAGGACCATGGTCGGCCATCATCGATAACCGCTACCGGCTCAGTGCTGCGAGTTATGGGTAACCAGGATGTCGATGCACATGCTGCTAGCCAGGGCACGTCGATGAGCTTTGGAGAGCATACTCTCACCGATGCCGCACAACCCTACCAGCCTGTACGATCTGGGTCCGCTACCTCCATACGACCTGAGAACTGTACCCCAGACACGACAGTCCCGCGCAGTCGTAGAAGCATCAGCCGAAATGGCAGCAGGACAAATCCTAGATCGCAAAGCGCGGCCAGGGTCAGGCGCGCATCGCTTTCTTCACAGCACCTTGGCAAGCTGGACTCCCTAGGCCGGAAAGAAAGGGGCGCTCCGCTATCCGCTGCCGCCGAGCTGTCGAAGAAGCTTGGAACATTCTCCGGGGTATTTGTTCCCACAACTCTCAATGTTCTGAGTATTCTTATGTTTCTACGGTTTGGCTTCATCCTTGGCCAAACCGGCGTCCTGGGAATGCTGGGTTTGTATTCTTTGAGCCTTATCATCAAAATGTCCGCTGACCTCTTTCATAGGGATGCTTGTCGCCTCGTACTTGATCAATCTGGTCACGACAATGTCCATCTCCGCTATTGCATCTAATGGAACGGTTCGAGGTGGCGGCGCCTATTATCTTATCTCGCGGTCTCTGGGGCCTGAATTCGGAGGCTCGATTGGGACTGTGTTTTACTTGGGCTGTGTCTTCAATACCGGAATGAATGCAGTTGGTTTAGTGGACTGTCTTACTCAGAGTTTTGGCTCTGCTTCAGGTTCTTTGTCCAACTTCCTGCTTGAGGGATTTTGGTGGCAATACCTCTGGGGCACCATCGTCCTGCTGCTGTGCACTGGGATTTGTTTAGCCGGGAGTTCAATTTTTGCACGAGCTAGTAATGGGCTGCTAGCGATTTTACTGGTGGCAACATACAGCATTCCACTCTCTCCGCTTCTTCTCAAGCCATTCGCAAGCGGCAGACTGGGTATAGAATATACCGGATTCAGTTTAACCACCCTGCTCGGCAACCTCAAGCCCAGATTCACCAAGGGAGCCGCAGGGAGTCAGATTTCGGTCAAAGAGTCTTTCCAAAATCTGTTTGGCATACTGTACCCCGCGACTGGTGGAATATTTGCGTGAGTTTTGCCTTCAGGATATGCTTCTCTGTCATCTAACGTCGACTTTTGTCAGGGGCGCGAGTATGTCAGGCGATTTAAAGGACCCAAGTCGGTCTATTCCAAGGGGTACCTTATCCGGACTCGGTTTAACATTTGTCACGTACAGTGTTGTCATTATCGTTCTTGCATCTACCGCGACTAGAGAATCTTTATATAGAGATGTTAATATCATACAAGATGTATGTGCTTTCCCTTCTTTTCCCACCTTGCATGCTATGGCGGCACTGACTGATTTTTTGTAGACTAATATATCTGCTGGCCTCATCGTTCTTGGGGAGTTTGCGACTACCTTTTTCTCTGCCCTAATGGGCCTCATCGGCGCCGCTAAACTCCTCCAGGCCATTGCTCGAGACAACCTCATGCCTGGTATTTCAATCTTTGCTAAAGGCACGCCAAAGTCTGATGAACCTACGCATGCTATTATATTCACTTTCATGATTGCACAATTAACGATGCTACTGGATATCAACCAGATCGCATCATTCATCACCATGATCTATCTGATGACTTTTTTGGTGACGAATTTGGCGTGCTTCTTGCTTAAAGTTGGATCTGCGCCGAATTTTCGCCCGTCGTTTCATTACTTTAATTCATGGACTGCGTTAGCCGGGACATTAATCAGCGGCGCTAGCATGTTTTTCGTTGACAGCCGCTATGCCGCAGGGTGTGTGTGCATTTTGCTCTTACTGTTCCTCCTTATCCATTATACTACTCCGCCAAAGTCATGGGGCGACGTTAGTCAGAGCCTGATATACCACCAAGTCCGGAAGTATCTGCTACGGCTTCGTCCTGAACATGTCAAATTTTGGCGGCCCCAGGTTCTGTTGTTTGTCGACAGCTTCGAGACACAGTACAAGATGATCCATTTCTGCAACTCGTTAAAGAAAGGTGGACTGTTTGTGCTGGGGCGAGTGATTGTTACTAGAGAGTTTGCTGGCGCAGTCCCTGAAGCGAGACGAGAGCAAACGCTGTGGAATAGGTTTGTTGAGTATTCCAAAGTCAAAGCTTTTGTGAATGTTACAGTCGCGCCCACGATCGAGTGGGGTGTTCGAAACGTGGTTTTGAATTCGGGACTGGGAGGAATGCGCCCTAATATCGTTATTATCAATCAGTTCAAGCATAATTCACCCGCTGGCGAGATAGGCAATCGTCCTTTGGCGCGAGGTAATCTTCCTACACGCCATAAAACCGATGGAGTCGAGCTGGAAAGGGAAGTGGTCGATAGGAAAAGCCCTATGAGCATACAAAGCTATGTGACGATTTTGGAGGATCTTCTTTTCAAGCTTCGCATCAACGTTGCGATCGCAAGAGGTTTTGAGGATCTAGAACTACCTCAACCTAAGCATCGGGGCGCAAAGCGGTATATCGACCTTTGGCCGATTCAAATGTCGGCTGAGATTTCTGGTGAAGGTTGTTACAGTAGTCAGAACATCGTGACAACCAACTTTGATACCTATACACTTATTTTACAGTTGGGCTGTATCCTACATACAGTGCCGTCTTGGAGAAATTCATACAAGCTGAGGGTAGCAGTGTTTGTTGAATATGAAACGGACGTCGAGGAAGAGCGTGGAAGGGTTGTTGCATTGTTGGAGAAGCTACGGATCGAGGCTGAGGTGCTCGTGTTTTGGCTCGCGAGCGGAGGCCTGGCATCATACAATATCATCTTAAACGGAGCGCAACCGGTTGCAGAACAGCACATGATGGAACGAGTTGACAAGGTTTTGGGGGGAGACGACTGGTGGCATGACGTCAAGAGATTTCGAAGGGGGGAGCATGATCGAAAGTCTAAAGGGAAGCCAGGGCAAGCTCCACGGTTGGGATCTATGTTGCCAGGACAACAAGAGGAGTATGAAAACGGTCGACGATACAACGGGCTGCGACGGATCATTGAGTCCTCCCGTAGAAGGCGATCTGTGGGAACCCTTGGCGGCATGGCACTCAGTCTGGGTATGCAAACCCAGCGGCTTCTAGACTCGATGGTCGAGTACCGCTCTGACGAAAGTGACGAGACTTCGTCTGATGACGAGAGCGGGGTGGAAGCATATGTGAGTGAAGCAGACGACGAAGACGAAGAGGTTGATGCGGAGGAGATGGCAGATGAGCCGACACCGCCAGCCGATGATGCACCAAGGCCAGGTCTCCTGGAAAGTCCAAGAAAGCCGCGCATCAACCTTGGAAAGCGCCGTGCGGATTCCGTATCGGAGTCCGCAGTGACAGACTCGGCAGACTCTGGGACGGAACCTTCAGTCTCCAACCCGCCACACCCGGCACTCTCTAGGCTCAAGGCTGAAGGGATCCCGTCGCCCCGAGACAAACCTGGCATGGTCCGAACATCCTCGACGGCGAGATTCTCTTCGTCCCCGATACCCGAAACGAAGGTTGCGACAGAAGAAGGCACAGGGCCATCGATCATGTTTGCGGCGGCAGAATCAGCGCGACAGGGGGCAAGAGCGGGATCTATCTACAAGCGGTCGATTTCGCCAGAACCGCTTGGGCGTGGATCGGCGGCCGAGGAAGGCCGAGCCTCTGGCTACCCATCGCAAGCATCCATTCAGCTATCTTTCAATGATCTGCCATGCCGAGCCCAGCACCTCATCGTAAATGAACTGATGAAAGCCCATAGCCAGCGGACGGCAGTCATCCTGACCACGCTCCCGTCTCCGGTCGAAGGCACGTGCCAGGATCCCGCGGCCAGCCAGTTGTACTTGAGCGATCTAGAGGTCCTGTATAGTGGCCTCCCGCCCTGCTTACTTGTGCACAGCAACAGCATGACGGTGACAATGAACCTGTGAAGGAGCAAATGGATATCAACATGTAGTTGTTTCTTATCAGAGCCTTTTAAGGTGATCGGCTTACATTATCCACGGCGTGATTGGCCGGCAAGGACCCCACTTGTTGTATTTAGCGTTTTCGGCTAGTCTAAAAGCAGTTAGCTTATTCCTTCCCGTCTAGGACTAGCGCTGCACCGCCACGCTGCTGACAAACCAGCCCCTGAGGCTTTCGCGTACTGTGGCTTTCCGGCTGGTTTCCCTTTTGGGACGCTCGTCGCTCTGGCTGCCCGACTTTGACTTGCTTCAACTCCCGGCGGTTCCGTCGTCTTCACCCTCGCCATCTCTGCTGTGATTTGATGCCCACCCCAGGAGCCGACCCTTGTCGCTGACCCTTGACCGGTTTCCTTTCGAATCCGGCGCATTGTGTAACGGCACCTCGTACTGTCCTCGCCGCATGACCGCGTCGCACACGTCGCTCGAGCAGCGCGTTGAACAACTGCAGACGGATATATTGCACGCATGGACCGCAAGAAGGGGGGAAGCGTTCGGTCCAAAAAGGCCAACGGGCGGCGAAAGGGAGCAAGTGTCGTGGTGCAAGAGTGTGCTGGTCGAGACAACCTGTCGATAAACACCACAACCTCGACGAATAACACTCAGCATGAAGAATCAATGACTGAGAGCTCTGACGGGATGCCTACTCCTTCTCCAAGCCAGTTTGGTGGAGATGGCCCTTCTGTGGACTCCCAGCGATCGCCGAGTTCGACTCGAAGACCGAATATGCTGAGGAAGCCTTCGTCGCCAATGGCTCCTCCCTTCATGGTCTCCGCTCCCGGCAAAGTTATTGTTTTCGGGGAGCATGCCGTAGTCCATGGGAAACAAGCCATGGCTGCGGTAATTTCCCTCCGCTCATACCTGCTCGTGACCACCCTGTCTAAATCCCGCCGAACCGTCACTCTCAATTTCCGCGACATCAACTTGGACCACACTTGGGATATCGATTCCCTTCCCTGGGACCTTTTTCATCACCCTTCCAAGAAGAAATTCTACTACGACCGCGTCACCTGCCTTGATCCTGACCTGCTCGAGGCCCTTCAGCCACATATCTCGAACGTTTCGCCCGATCAGCCACCAGACGTGAGAAAGGTCCACCAGGGCTCCGCAAATGCCTTTCTATACCTCTACCTTTCGCTCGGATCTCCCCAATCGCATGGCGCTATATACACTCTTCGATCAACAATACCGATTGGCGCTGGTCTGGGGAGTAGCGCAAGTGTCTGCGTCTGCCTGAGTGCCGCCCTGTTGCTTCAGATTCGCGCACTAGCGGGTCCGCATCCAGATCAACCCTTTGATGAATCAGAGGTCCAGATCGAACGTATTAACCGGTGGGCTTTTGTTGGAGAATTATGTATACATGGCAACCCAAGCGGTGTGGACAACACGGTATCTGCTGGGGGCAAGGCTGTTATTTTCCGGCGAGGCGACTACTCGAAACCACCGTCCGTGGTCCCGATTCTAGATTTCCCAGAGCTGCCACTATTGCTTGTGAATTCTCGGCAACCCAGGTCTACGGCAACGGAAGTAGCAAAAGTTGGCGCTCTGAAGGAAGCACACCCTGCCATTACTGAAGCGCTACTGGATGGAATTGATCAAGTCACATCGTCGGCGTATGAGTTTCTTTCATCCAAGCGATTCAGTAAGGATTCTAGCGAAGCCTTGGATTATCTGGGAACGCTTTTCCGAATCAACCATGGGCTTCTCGTTTCCCTCGGCGTGTCGCACCCCCGTCTAGAACGCGTCCGAGAGCTGGTCGATCATAACGGTATCGGTTGGTCAAAGTTGACAGGTGCCGGCGGGGGAGGCTGCACCATCACTCTAGTGGGAGCAAACCGTCAGTCGGCGGCGTTGAAGCGCCTCGAAGCTCAATTGGCTGAAGAAGGGTACGACCTGTTTGAGACAACACTGGGAGGGCATGGAGTGGGGGTTCTGTGGCCTGCTGTCTTGAAGAATGGTTCAGATGAAGAAGGCGGGGAGGAGATTGACCAGCAAAAATTCGAGACCGCTGTTGGAAACGATGGCATTGAGCGCTTGGTCGGCGTCGGCGTGCCAGATGTTCGCGAGGGATGGAAGTTTTGGAGGCGTGGGCTAATGGGTTGAATTCAAGTCTCCGGTGAGCGGGAGACGATGTATACTATATTCCATGTGTTACGGATTTTCTTCAAGCGTATTAGTATCTCTCTTCTAATAACTATAGGCCGGTCCGCATGCTTTCTATATTTCAAGCCATTCGTCTTTGCCATTTGTACCTAGATTCGTTGAGTTAGCAATAACCAGTTAGTATTCTATAGCTAGTACTCTGTAGTATATCCATGCTGCCTGCAGCCGGCTTTGTGATGAATGCGGCTTGTTAGTGAAACCTTCAGCTGACAATGAACGCAAACCCAGTTGCTTCATCAATGGAAGAATAATAGGAGATTCTTCTGTTGCTATTGTCCCGACTTTGTTCTGTCTGGCTGCTTGTGGCCAAGGGTTTCGCTGCACCCCTCTCCTAGCTGGCTGGTGATCGCTATTAAAAGAGCCCTTCTTTCAACACCGGCAACCACACAAACAGGCCTATTTCGCCGCATATCCTTCAAGCCGCTGCTTTTTCTCAGCTGGATCTCGCATCTCGGTCGTGATTATGGGCAAATACTCCTCTTCTCCGCTGTGGTCTTCGATCACTCCCATTCCCCTTGATGATGGCGCAAGCTACTCTGGAGACACTGGCACAGGCACGAATGAAGCCGGCAACGAAACATATCCACTTGCCACAATCACGTACACCGAAGAGTACGCTGAGGCCACAGCCTATCTGAGAGCCGTGATGGCTGCCAATGAAACGTCGGAACGAGCGTTGGACCTCACTGTTGATGTGATCATGATGAATCCAGCCCACTATACCGTGTGGTATGTCGCTGTGACGTTTTGTTTTCGAGTTTGTTTACAGCAGGCTGCTTGTGATGCTATGTTTATACTGGCTACTGCTATTCTGGTTTGATATTCGACGGAGTGTCTTCCGCACGCCGCTGCGGGGAGTAGCAGCTGTTGCATGGGAAGCCGTTTTCTAACTGGGATAAATACTATGTAGGTTATACCGGGCTAAAATCATCAAAGCTCTCGGGAAAGACCAACACGAGGAGATTGCGTGGCTAAATAAGATCTCCCTCAAGCACTTGAAGAACTATCAAATCTGGTATATCTACCCAACCCCTGTCTTCTGTATACAACCTTCCAACTAACGAACCCCCTGGCACCATCGCCAATTGATCATGTCGGATCGCCAAGTGTTTCCCAGCCTCCCAGAATCAGAGCAGGATTTTCTCGGCCAGATGTTTGCTTTGGATTCCAAGAATTACCACGTCTGGACATACCGCCATTGGCTGGTGCGACATTTTTGCCTCTGGGACTCTCCCCGTGAACTGAGCGATGTTGAAGCTTTGATCGAATCAGATGTACTGAATAACTCAGCGTGGAATCATCGCTGGGTGCTGAGATTCGGCCCGCGTGGAGGGACACCTGACTCCGGGGTACCAAACCCTACCGACCAGGGTGGCAGCCGTGGCCGACTCGATATCGCCGACGAAGATCTCATCGACGCCGAAATTGAATATGCAAAGAGCAAGATCGTCATCGCCCCAGAAAACCGGAGTCCCTGGGTTTATGCTCGTGCAGTGCTCCGCGCCGCAGGTCGACCTCTGGCGGACCTAAAAGCGTTCGCTTCCAGGTTTGTCATCGAGGAGATCAAAGACGACGAGGCAGTTGACTACCAGGTTAAAAGCAGCCTGGCGGTAGAATGGCTGGCGGATGTTCTCGCCGAGGAAGCCCAAACGGTCCGAGAGCCGACAAGGACTGCGGAATGCAAAGTAGAGGCTGTCAAGATGCTGAATTTGCTGAAGGAAAAATACGACCCCATCCGAAAGCATTATTGGGACTATCGGATTCATGCAATCGAGCGCTATGATTGAATCTTTCTTTCTGGGATGGAAATGATTCCAATATTTCAGGCCTTAGCTTTATTGCTCAATATACTCTATGCGCGTTGCAACGCAGGTGGAAACTATTAGTTATTCGCTGCGTAATTCCAATTCCAAGAAAGCAAAAAAAAAATATATAGAGTAACAAATGGGAATTTTACCCTCCCAAGTGAACGCCAAAAGTCCCATCGCCGGCATGTATCGCGTTAACAAACAATCATTATAAATGGCAGCCAAAGGCTGAAGAAAGAGACATGGATATCCACCTCTATAATACTTTTTCATGCAACAATACCATTTTCGGTTCCCCATCCTTCCTCGAGTTTTTGCCTCCATTCTGCGGCCATCTCCAAGGAAACATTGCTTCCTCCGCATATAACGATCACGACTCGACTTTTAGAGTTCAAGTTGGGAATGAATCGGCGAAGATATGACTGTACTTCTGTTTGCGTTCCGTAATCATTCACGGGGCTAAAAGGTTTCTGATGACCATTCACTCGCTTCCCCTGAAGTTTGCTTTTCCGCCTCGATGGTGTTGGCCCAATGGCTGTTTCGACACAGATGCCACATGCAAGTTCGACGAGTAGTTTCTGGTCCTCTGCCAGGGTCAACACTCCCTTGGCCGCGTCTGCGTCGTGGAGCACCAATGTGTGCACTTTAACTCCAGCCGGTGGGTAGAGTGCATTGTCCAGTGTTCGTTGAGCGACTCGAATGGCGCCCAAGGACGTTGCGAGTGATGTAATGCCCGGTAGCGAGACTAGGGATCCCTTGGCGACTGCCTGAGCGAGGGCATCAGCGCCTTGCGTTTCTGTGGCGATGATGTGTATATTGTTGCGTCTTTCGGTGGAATTGGTGTAGGTAGAGCCGGCACGCGCTTTGCCATACATTCTCTCTTGGCGTTCAATTCCCATGATGATGCCATTCATCAGCCCACCACCGCCGACGCTGCAGATGATGCCATCGATGGGAAGTGACTCGTCGTCGAATTCGCCGCTTTCGGCCTCGTCCTCTCGTGGAGGCATTTGGTATGCCAGCTCATCTACCATCGTGCTCACGCCCTCCCAAATCTTCTCATGGTCGAAAGGATGTAGCGCAATGGGGACAACAGGCACTGCACTATCGCCATCTGCCGGCTTCCCTCGAAGGGCGTCCATGATGGATTTCATGTGGGTACTGGCTTCGTCGAGATTAGCGCCATGTTGCACGACCGTGGCACCGGCTTCCTGTAATTTGGCTACCATGACTGGCTTGGTGGTGATTGGCACGCAGACGGTGCAAGGGTAGGAGAGAGCGTTGGCTGCAAAGGCGGCGGCCAGCCCTGCATTGCCAGCGGACGCAATGAAGAAGTGGAGCTGTTTTCCTTGGTTTGCTGGGTCCGAGGCGTAGGATAGTACGAGGTTGCCAATTGCTCTTAGGGGGAACGTTAGCCTGGCCCTGATAACTCTTAAGCTTGCGGGTGGCAGCATACCTCGATTTGAAGGAGCCACTGGGCTGGAGGTTTTCAAGTTTCAAAAAGATGCGGCTGGAGACATGTATTAGCAAAGTTGATGTCGAGATCCCACGCTGTGCCGCCAGACATACCAGCCTGCTGCCTGTGAGAGGGAGGTGGATTCGATCAAAGGAGTTTCGATCCATGGCTTCGGCTTTCTCTGCTGCCGGGGGTCTTCGAAGCTGCCCATGGTGGACGATAATGTGGGAGAAGATCTCAGACTGGTAATAGTGGATGCCAATTAAGAGACGGGTATAGACTGAAAAAGAGATGCGAGCTGATGGATTCTTATACTTTTATCTATATGTATAGTGATACAACACGGAAGAGGCAACGGGAGAAAGAAAAGAGTGCCCGCTGGGGGGTACAACGGGCCGGCAGAGAGAGTTGAAGGCACGAGGGAGTGGGATTGGTCCAGGGTTCCGAGGGAGTTTCTCATAGTCTCCAAGATCCATGGTGGCCGGCATAATGGCTGGTTTATATAACCAGCCCGGGGGGGGAGAGAGGAAGGGTGGAACAGCGCAGGGAAGATTTGGCTATCAGCGGAAGGCGAGTGGATATTGCAGCCATCATGAGACACAGGAATGAAACGGTACATGGCCCCGACGAAGAATCGACGGAGCAACAGGCAATTTCCAGGCACCGCGAAAGGCCATGCTGCTGAGAGAATTCTGGATCGATGATGCTCGACTGGAGTCAGATTCGCCAACTTTGCTGCTTAGCGGGAGTTTCCCGCGCCCACCGCCAGGACTTTCCCGTCGGAATGCGCGCCTTGGTTTGCCGAGCTGCCGGGAAGAAGAGAAAGTCAGAAAATAATCATAATGAGGATGACTGAGGAAGCGCAAAAGAAAACAAACCTGTCCAACGGTGAAGGGTTCTAGACTCGATGGTGGCCAGTCGGCCGACATTCAGTGAGCGTCCTCACTCCTCAGCGGCGGCCCTTGGCGCAAAGCGTTGAGCTCTGAAGAGGCTGCGGTGGCTGTTTGCGTCGGGGTGCGTCGACCTGCAGCAGATGGTCATGCTGAGATGGTGGTGGTAGTTGAGGATGATGTTTTGGAGGTGATTGTGATGAAGATGGTGGTGGTGGTGCTGCATAAACGCCTGCCTACTCCTCGCTACACAGCGTCTGGACAGCTCTTCTACTGCGTCGGCTCTTCAAGGCCAGCATCGAACACCACCTCCGCCCCTCCAGTCTCGCCTCCATCTCAGGTGTTGCCATCAGGGCGCTTTCAACAGCTTGACAAAGAGTAGACGCAAGCAGTCGACTGCAAACCCATCCGCAACAGGATTGGCGGTGATGGCTGATATCCAGATAAGCGCGTCAAAGTCGAACCTTGGTTACCACTGATGTACGCTATATCTCGTGCCTTACGCGCTTGATCGGTTTGAGAACGGCCAGAAATATCCAGCAGAGACTGACCCAGGCCCGACGGGATCGGCGCTAATAGCGATCCAAAATGAAGTACACTTGTGAGAGTATATGATGCCAGTTTCTGTATAGTAATCGGTTGTGCAGCCCAGACAATCAGCAGGGAAAGCCCGCTAGTTCCATTTTCAAGACGCTGAACTTCTATCCTACAACATCCATACATGGTAGCATACAGATCGCAACCAGAGGAGAGAATGTGAAACTCCAGTCGTGAACAGATACCTCGATTGTCCTGTCAATATCCCTACTCAACCCTACCAGGGCGAGGTGGACCGCCTTCTCCGAAAACGACGCGCCGAGAGTGGAGAGAAAACGATCGCTGTCGCTAAAAATATTTCTTTGGTCATCGCGGACGAGAGCGGAATTGCTCACAGCCTCCCCTGCATAACTAGACACGAAAATTGCCCATCACGCGCTGGAGACAACAGTCCCAAAGATGCAGGACGACCGCATCTCGAGCATTGCGATTCCCCGGCATTAATCCTCAGTCAAGAGCGGCGGGAAGAGGGTCCCCTCCGTCCCTCTCTTCACATCCACCCGCGGCACCCCGTAGTCTCTGTCTGCTCCAAACGTGGCCGCATTGAAACTTCTCTTCGCAGGATCCCCCGCAACGCCAAGCATATCGAGGAGTCGCGCGGCCTTCTCTGGCATGAACGGCTGTAAGAGGATCCCGGCGATCCGCAGGGATTCTGCGGTGTTATAAACCACGCGGTCGAGCCTGTTCGGCGAGCCCATCTCGGACTGGGTGGCCAAAGACCAGGGGCTTGAGTCCTGGAAGTATTTGTTTGTCTTTTGATCGAACAAGTCAGCAAGCTACGCGGTTTCAGCCCCAGCCCTGTGCCCCTTACCTCGTAAATGATCCCCACGACGCTTTCGGCCGCCTTTCGTGGATTGACATCGTCCATCCACGTCTTCGTCACGTCGCGAACCTCTTCCAGCAGTTCTTGGTGCTTCCGATCGGCCTCGGACGGCTTCGAAAGCTCACCCCCAAAGCTCCGTTCGATGCTTTGTCGGACGCTCCATTTTTTCGACCGGACCAGCCGACTGGCCAGGTTTCCGAGAGCCCATTGCAATGTTTTCTTATACCGTTCTGTGACAAACGCGTTTTCATAATCAGCGTCGTCGGAGAGCCCTCCATCGCGAGCAAGGTAAAATCGAAGCGGATCCACCCCAAAGCGGGTAATCGCATAGATGGGATTCACCACGTTGCCGGTGGACTTGGACATTTTCTCGCGCCCAATTGTCCAGTGCGCATGAGACAAAATCTGGCGAGGGAGAGGCAGATCGAGTGCCATGAGGAATGCTGGCCAGTAGACACCGTGAAATCTAGTCTCGCATCAGCCCTGGGAACAGCTCCCTACTTTAATCGGAGCCAGCAAATACCGGAGGATATCTTTGCCCACTACGTGTAGGTCTGCTGGCCATATGCTCTTGTTTTCTTTGCCTGGGGTAAATGGGTATCCTGCATAGGTGAGATAGTTCACAAGAGCATCGAGCCAAACGTAAATAGTTTGCGTTTCATCACCAGGGACACGGATTCCCCATGTTAGCCGTTGGACCGGTCGCGAGATCGATAAATCCGACAAGCCAGAGGAGACTGTTTCGACGACATCATCCATATACCGCTGAGGGCGGATAAACTTCGGGTTCTCATTGTAGAAATCGAGGAGCTGATCCTTAAAGGCGGAGAGTCTGAAGTGGTAATTCGTTTCCGAAGACCACTCTACTTCCTTGCCCGTTTCGATTGCAGACTACCCGGCCCGTTAGTTGTGGTTTTCAAAGCCTCGTCCGAACTCCTACCATTATTTTCCGACCGGTCGCTGGGTCGAGAGTTGCGTGGACGGCACTGGAGGGATAGAACGTTTCGTCGCTCACGGAGTACCATCCTTCATGCTTTGCTGTGTATATATGGCCACGATGGCTGAGCATTTCCTAGCAAGTGTTAGCCAAATGATTTACCGCTTGGTGTGTTCGGTGACTTACCCAGAAGTACTGAACTGCATCACGGTGTCTCGAGTCGGTGGTTCGGATAAAGTGATCATAGTTGACATTGGCTTTTTGCGCAAGCTCCTTGATAAGTGTTAAAAACGATGGAGCCTCTCAGGATAGATTGCTGGAGGAACTGATACTTTGAAGGTCTTGCAATTCTGGTCGCATAGTTCTAGCGGCTCGAGGCCTTGCGCAGCGGCCGCTTGCTGGATCTGCAGCTTCCCATTAATATACCTCAGAGCCTGCCGTAGAACCGCAGAGCCAGTACCTTTATCCCATGCTCATCTGTCCCCGTAAGTAATCTCGCATCAGTGTCGCCGAGGAGGACCTGCCATCGCTTCAAGATATCTGCCAAAACGAGTGTATATAGGTGCCCGACGTGTGGAGCTATACGAATGCCGTCAGCATTGCCAATCTGAACATTTCAACCTCCGTCGGGATGGCCTTACAAGCGTTGACGTAAAAGATAGGCGTTGTCACGTAGTATGGCTTTTTCGCGGCCAAGGGAGCAGACGAGACACGGCGCTTCGTCAACAGGGGAATTGTACGTCGACACGGGGCACAAACCCAAGGCTTTCTGGCAGCCCTCGAACGATGCGAAATCCGTGGAAGCGCCCGGAGCCCGAATTCCGACATCGCTGCGGGTTGTGGTTGAAGTCGTGATGGGCCAGAGCCGATCCAGTCGAGTCACTGGAAGCTCTCTAGACTCTCTCTCTTCTGGTGGTCAAAGCGTGCTGAAGCTTTTCCACCACCGAAACCCCGAGCTGACTTTCACCCGCTACATAGCTAATATATTCATTCTTCCGACGCATCCTGCTCCAAAGCGTTGGATCGCGCTTCCATCTTGACTATTCGCAACTCAACTTCCATTCCAGCGAGAGCCGTCCGCCCGTGTCCGTTTCCGCCTCAAGGATGGCTGCTGTCGGTGAAGACACCCTCACAAAAGTTTCGACCACTGGTACCGTACACATCTACAGCTGCTGAGCTATATTGAATATCGCCTCTGCTAACCCCTGTAGCTGCGAATGATCTCGTTAATTCGTTCTACACTGCCCTTCAATCTGCGCGAGCACACCATATCTAGCTTCTATTCTCCCACTCCAGCTTCGATCTTATTCAACAGAAACCCGGTTGCCGATAGCGCCTCCGTCCAAGACGTATTTATGACTCAAATGCCTCCCACCCATTACCAGGTACAATCCTACGATTGCCAGGTGCTGAATCCGAGCTACCCGACGGCCACTGGAACACCGACTGACAGTCTGGGGAGACCCTTGGGGGGCATGGCTGCTGCATCAAATATGTCCGTTTTGGTCCTCGTGAGCGGCTACGTCCGGTTCGGAGACGGCAAAGAGTCAGTTGATACACCGAATCGGGGTTTTAGTGAAACTTTTGTGCTTGTGCCCAATCCTCAGGCAGACGGAGGAATCAAAGGAAGAGGGAAAAAGCACTGGTTGATTCAAAGCCAGAATTTTCGGCTGGTTGTTTAAATTGGTACTCCAGGAGACTCTACAACGCTAGGGTTCAGAACAGCCAGGGAATCCTGGTTCTACTGTACAGTGGATGAAGGGTTGACTGGAATATCTTGATTATACAACCCTTTCCTCGAAGGCCCTACACGAAGGCCCTACAAAGAGAAAGCATCACAAACATCAACGTACGGAAAACAAACTCAAAGACTGGTGTCGATACCCCGGAGAGGTGTACCCATTTGGGGGGGAATCATGATCTTGGGGGCGGTCGCATGTTTGCTCGCACTCGTTCGAGGAGTTCGTTTTGCGTTGCCTCCTCGCTGGGAAGAAGACCCCTCTACGCATAGAACGTCAGCGGGCATCCAACCATTTCCCTTTTGGCTATATGTGGGATATTCTTCCATACCAATCGAAGCCATCTCTTTAGCTCGTCATGTGTCCAGAATTCAGGATCTATACGGAAATGCCGGGTTACTTCCAACTATCTCCCTTTCAGGCGGGAACGGGCAACCCCTATACTCACTGCCAGTAGGGTCAGGTTCGGCAGGGAACACGTCGTTTCCCCAGATGCTCCATACGGCGGCCGCAGTTACTAGCCCAGCAAACCCTTGGATTCGTTAGTTAAGGAGGACATGCTCTAGGGCATGAGTGTGTCGATTCACCAAGCAGTAGGTTCTGCAGGTTATGTTATTTAATAGGCTCAAAGGGTAACGATTTTTTTCCGTACCTTGGAATTTAGAGCGCGATCGAGCTGAGTTGGCATCGTCTTCAATTATATTTTATCAATAATAATCCTGTAGTCAGTCTTTTCTCGTCAAATTGCCCATCGCTTGCCAGCCCATCACTTTGTTAATGCTGTTGCCTCCCTTCAGCCCGGGGTTGCTTACATAATCGGCCTTTAGTTAGGGCTTTTCCATCATCGCTAAAACCCACAATCCATCGCGACCACAGGCGACAGCGAGGTTCACAGTGTGCAAACGACAGAACGAACCCTCCGTTCCTCGGTCATTTCTCGTCAATCGTTCAACATGCCGTCCGAAGTTTCAGATATCAAGCAGTTCATCGAGATCTGCCGGCGCAAGGATGCTTCCTGTAAGTGAAGATGCCACCTCCACGCGACGTGATGGATTACGGGAGTCAATGGCCTGGAAACCTGAGGTCTAACGGCGTACCGTTTTAGCTGCCCGCATCAAGCGCAACCGCAAGACCAACCAGATAAAATTCAAGGTCCGATGCCAGCGGTTCCTCTACACGCTTGTCCTCAAGGATTCCGACAAGGCAGACAAGCTGAAGCAGAGTTTACCTCCTGGTACGTGAATAGCGGCGTTCTGTACGAGTTCTGGATCGCGGTGTCATTGGGAGAGGTTCAGACGGAGCAGTCAAGCGCTTTATTTGACCAACTCGAGAGGCTAACGGTCAAGTTTCATAGCTCTGAAAATCGCGGATGTATCTAAGGGCGGTGCGAAGAAGAAGTCGATCTAAGGAAATGGGCATACCGGGGTTGCAAGGGCTGTGACAATGAAGAATGGATCTTCGAGGGAAATGCGGATCAACCTGTGCAATCGTTCCGTCGCCCATTCCCGCTGCATG